TTGTGCTTGCAAATTAAGATCCATTGTAAAATCTGATCGACCCGTGGCAACTGCACCTGAACTTGACAAATCTGATGCTCACACATTAGCAACATCTCCAACATCAACAACTCCTATTGTACCACCATAATTCATTCACTCCAATGGAATATACAGTTTGGCCGCCTGCACCTTTCACGTATTTGACGTTCATGGAGGAGTGAGTATGGTTCTAGCAATATTCCAGCAATATCGCGTCGGGGGACACCAGAAATGGGCTTCACACATTGTGTCTATATAGGGAATCGAGCCCGGGTCTTCAGCCTTCTTCGTGTTTTTTCTAAGTGTCAATTTGAATCATCTGCGAATCGTTACAGCCACAGCGATTATTCGTTTACATAATTAAAACTCGCCAGAGAGAAAACATACGGCAGGGCAGGAAATCAAGCTGAAAAGTCTTCATAATGCACATGACATACCAAAGTTTTAAACGTGGCGTTCAAAGTAGCGCGTGAATAATATAAACATGACAAATAGGGGTCTAAGCCCATTGTAATCTCGATTTTAAATGAATTCTAAACAGCTTGTTGAAATTAATTTCCCATGCACCGGTTCATTTGATAAAGTAAGCGTCGTATGTTTCGATCAATAGTCTGTATTACGCGCAGGAAAAGCTCGTGCAACGGAAGTGTTCCCCGATTGGCTAAACTCGTAACCATGACATCACGTGACTATTCTGGTGAACACCTGCATGAAATATACAACACTTCTTACCTGATTTGACATTTGTTTATATAAGTAATCTTAACTGGCAAAGCCATTGGCGGCGGGGTTTGTCTAGCGAGGTTAAAGCGTTGACTCGTCACACCAATTCACCACATGGGTACACCATAAAGAGCCGATGTTGACGCCCCTCTCCGTTATATGGCTTGGATTCCAAATTTCGCAAATGATTTTGTAATAATAAATGGTAATTTTTAGCGGTATTCATCATAAAAGAATGGAGATGTAATACAGTGGATGGTCGACCATGAGTTAACATTTTAATGGATTTTAATCAAAATGATGATTATGAAATAAGAATATCAAAGAATTATGAACAATATGTATAAAGTGAGTGAGTGAGTGAATATGGTTTTACGCCGCTTTTAGCAATATTCCAGCAATATCACGGCGGGGGACACCAGAAATGGGCTTCACATATTGTACCCATGTCGGGAATCGAACCCGGGTTTTCGGCGTGACGAGTGAACGCTTTAACCACTAGGCTATTAGTAGAGGGTCAGTGGAGAGTATACCGAGTTGGTTTTTTTCATGTAATGGAAAATAATTGAAAGAACTGTTGTTAAATTTGAGGGTTAGCCTTGTGGTGGGTCGTCACGCCGAATGCCCGGGTTCGATTCCCCACACGGTTACCACCCGTGAATTGCCGTAAGAGGCGACTATGCTTGTCGTAAGAGGCGACTATGCTTGCCGTAAGAGGCGACTATGCTTGTCGTAAGAGGCTGCTCATGGGATCGGGTAGTCATACTCGCTGACTTGGTTGGTGCATGTTATCGATACCAATTGTGTGGATCGATGCTCATGATATTAATCACTGGATTGTCTGGTCCAAACTCGATTACAGACCACCGTCATATAGCTGGAATATTGCTGGGTGCGGCGTTAAACAACAAACAAACAAACAAACTGCGCTCTGAAGCCTCGCTACCACAGTGAGGCAGGGGAAGCTCTCGCTGTTGTAGGCTCCGAGCCATGTCTTGGATCCTGGAAGCCCAAGTAAACATTGATGTACCCGGAGAAATCTGGCCACTGGCGGGTAGGTAGATGAGTAGAGCATAAGGTTTTTGTATATTCATGAAGCCGAGCAAAAAGTTCACCTTCTAAAACTCACTGACTATAAATCTTTTCCACAGATCAAATACATCACAATTTTAGTTAGAAATACCTTTATGACGTAATTATCATATTTCATTCCATGTTTTTCTTTAGGCAAATGGATCAACCCTGTCTGATCATTATAATCAGGATCAGGGGGTTCCACAAGGCAGTATTTTGTCTGTTACATTGTTTAGCATAACAATAAATAGTTTATCTAAAGTATTAAATGACTCAATTGATGGGTCATTGTTTGTGGATGATTTTAATATTTCATGTCGTGGTAAAAATATGCGTACCATTGAAAGACAGTTACAGTTGTGTCTTAATAAAATTCAAAAATGGTGTCTTGAGAATGGATTTAAGTTCTCACAGACAAAGACTAATTGTATACATTTCTGTCGGAAATATAAAACCCATAAAGACCCAGAGCTCTCTTTAGATGGTACTCCAATTAAGGTTGTAAAAGGGGCCAAATTTCTGGGATTGATTTTCTACCACCATTTGACGTTTTTGCCACATATTAAATATTTAAAGACTTAATGCCTGAAGGCCCTTGATTTGTTGAAAGTCGTCTCGAATTCTAAGTGGGGAGGGGATCAGACAACCCTCCTTCACTTATATAGATCATTAATCCGCTCTAAATTAGACTATGGCTCCATTGTGTATGCTGGAGCTTGCAAGAGAAATTTAAAAAGCTAGATTCAATCCACCATCAAGGACTTAGACTGTGCCTTGGTGCTTTTAGAACTTCTCCTGTTGACAGTCTCTATGTCGAGGCTGATGAACCCTCTTTGAAACTACGCCGTATTAAATTATCTCTTCATATATCACTAAATTGCACTCTAACCCTTCTAATCCTGCCTATGACTCCGTTTTTCATCCCCAATATGAAGAACTGTTTCAGAGGAAACCAAAGCTGGTTCCCCCACTTGGAATTCGGATGAAATCAAATGTTATTGCTGCCCATATAGATTTAGATCTCATCTCTCCTTACAGTTGGTTAGGCCAGAAGTAGACATTTCCCTTAAATCTGACACTAACCAGCTATTCTATCAACAGGAATATTTACAATTAAGAAATAAATATGACACTCACCATTTAATCTATACTGATGGGTCCAAGGATTGTGGCAAAGTAGCCAGTGCCACTGTCGTTGGATCAAAAATAATATCCTCCAGAATACCAGACAATAGCTCTATTTTCACTTCTGAGGCCAATGCTATTCTTACAGCATTGATATACATTCAACAACAGTCTGCATGTAAACAATTTATCATCTTTTCTGATTCTCTTTCTTGCCTTCAGGCACTAAATAATGTGTCTTCGACTCATCCACTGATTTTAGATATTATAGAACTTTACAATGATCTTTCAACTGGCCAATTCGACATCGTCTTTTGTTGGTTACCCAGTCATATGGGCATAAAAGGTAACACAATGGCTGATGCTGCTGCAAAAGCAGCACTCAACAAATCTGTGACACCACTTCTTATCCCATACAGTGATTTTAAACCTGTCATTAGATCTAACATCAGAGATCTAATGCAGAAGAAGTGGGACACCCAAGTAGGTCTCAATAAATTACATCAAATTAAACCAAATATCGGTTACACCTACTTGGGTTGTCAGTCCAGATTTGAGGAGGTCATTTTACGACGATGTCGTATTGGCCATTGTAGATATACTAATGAATATTTACTAAAAGGTGAGGATCCTCCGTTTTGTATCCCTTGTGATGAGATAATCACAGTCAAGCATGTCCTGCTTGACTGTATTGATTTTTCCATCACAAGGGATAAATATTTTACTGTCAAAACAGTGAAGGACCTTTTTAGCAATGTCAATTCACATTTAATCATTAACTTTTTAAAAGATATAGATCTCATTCACAAATTTTGATGTAAAAAGTTATGTATTTTATAAATCGGTAGTGTATAATTAGTAACTGAGACTGTTCGTGGCTATACCCTCGACGGGGGTTGAAGTAGCGTAAAATTATTGTCCCCCTGAGAGGGTATGTAAGACCACCTCTTTCAAAGTATATTTATATCTACCTCTATTTTAACTGCAGAATATTTGTTAACTTTTAATATCTGGCTAAACTCGCAATAATCACCAGTAACTCGGGGAAGTGTAAATCCTGCTTGGGAACCATGCAGGTAGCAGAGGTACCGTAAGTCCCCTTGGTCCCCAGTATGGTGATCTTACCCTTGTTGCTGGCGATCTATAGCCCCATTTTTATATTGTGTCGTACTTTAATAATCAGAAATTTTTAGTGTTCTACAACTAGTTTTAAGTCAATCTCTGATATATTGCTAGTTATTATACTGTCCCTCGTCGACAGTTTTTATACCTATTGTATAACTTTTTCAAGTCACATTATGGCTGAAATATTGCCGACGTGACCTTAATTAAACTCACTCACTCACTCACTCGTTTTAAAACATATTCTTATAATTATTTATGTATTTCGTATGTACACATTCCGTTATGCATGTGTGAGATAAAGATAACGTTACTTTTAACATTTTGTTGACGTCATTCCAACGATTACACATCCCCATGTAATTTTCTCAAACCCATAAGAAATAAGGCAATAATCTTTCTCGTTTTCGATTTTTTTAAAAGCTTGCCGTACGCCTGTTGTATAACTTGTATGACGGTTGTATAACTTGTATGACGGTTGTATAGCTTGTTGTATGGCCGTGTATAGCTAATTTGGCCGTTGCACAGATTATTGCATGACTTGTATTGCTTGTAGTTAGACCGTTGTATAACTGGTATGGACTTTGTACAGCATGTTGCATGATTGTTGTATAACACGTTGTATAAGCACAGTATAGTGGCATGTATGCCCCTGGTATATGACGCTTTTTTTCACTTTGTTTTTATATCTAAAACACGACAGTATTTCTCGTGTAAGAGGTAGCATAGCCTTGCGTCTACCGGCTACACATATTTGCTTCCATATCAGTCAAGGGTATGGTCCGCAAAACATCCATGCATGGAGGGCTCAATTGACATCCGTGTGTATAAACGGCTTATTTTATTGGTTGACTTCACACTGACAGGCGTCACAACACCGCTTATCGGATGTATGTATACTACGCAAAATAAGTAAAACAGGTTATGAAACAGTCAAGTGGCAACCTTTTATTACAAATGACAAAGGTAAGGTGTTGGCAACGTCACGGTGGTGTGAAGAATCGTGCTGCCAGAAACATTGCAGATCAAGTTTAACCCCACAATCAATATTACCAAGGATACAGTCTTGCCATGAAGAGTTCTAGCGGAAAGCTCTGGAACCATGTGACTTGCCATGGTTACGAGAATCCCTAGGCTGCTTCCTTGCCTTCCTGTTACTGCCGTTCCTGCCGGAGGAGGAGGAGGAGGAGGATGAAGAAGACGAGGAAGAGGATGAAGACGAGGAGGACGGAGAGGGGACGTTAAGGTCAAAGCCAAAGTTACCAATTGATGCCATGTCAGAGAACTTCTTCAGCTCATCTAGAAGCTGCTGAAACTGTAGTTTTGCTGCAAAATAGAGTGGATCGCTGGATGAATGAATTAATTGAATGATTTAATTGATTAATCAGTTGAATGAAAGAATGTTTTTTGCCTCAGTCAGTAACATTTCAAAAACAACATGGCGGTTTGTTCTGAAAATACTCTCGAGGAAGCAAATCAGCAACGGTTCTCGTCGTCGGGGTACGTCACACAATCACGCAAGTTGTAACCATCGATCTTCACGTAACAAGCATGCACCCTTGTGGTGCGTTTTATATGGAAGCGTATTCGTACTACATTCTAAGAAAACTATCATCTACGTAAATTGTAATCCAGTCTGTTTAGGAAATGCAAACCAGGATTTAAAGTTGCTTTCCTGTGACCATCAATACAACTGCGTGGGACCTCAAATCGAATGAGTCGTATCGATGTATGTAGGTAACGGAATAAGCCGGTAGACCCGAATGACACTGAAATCATGGATGCGCGGACTATGTCTACTCTACATAATATAACACAGATGAGTGCTTGAAGCGTTGACAGAACAAGCTCCTCCCCAGCTCCTAACACCTTCCTTACAATTCCGATGTCATCGCTGCCATTAAGCTGATACAGAACGTGAAATAAAACTCAGATTGAAAAAGACAATCGCTAAAAAATCACGTTGCAGTCGGGATAAAACAATAATGGGATACAGTGAATGTTTTATAAGTTGACGGAGGTTGTAGAACATATTCATGATGATGGTGGATATTACGTCGCTTCATCATACAAAATTCTGATGAATGTTACCTGCATATCTATATACAGTATGTGTGCAGTTAAAATCATCCAAGGGACAGTGAGTGAGTGAGTTTGGTTTTACACCGCTTTTAGCAATATTCCAGCAATATCACGGCGGGGGACACCAGAAATGGGCTTCACACATTGTACCCATGTCGGGAATCGAACCCGGGTCTTTGGCGTGACGAGCGAACGCTTTAACCACAAGGCTACCCGACCGCCCAAATGGGATATAACGTAAAATATTAACTCACTCACTATTAACTCACCAAATGGGATATAAAGCGGACACATAACGACAAGCCAAAATGCTTTGGACATATTTTAGAATTAAAAAAACTTTATACTGATGAAATTTAATTGTGTGTATGGATATTGGAATCTAATCATAAACTCGAGATTAGACACCTGTCATTATAGAAAAAACAATCGTAGCGCTTGGGAAATAAATTATGAAGAAAAAAGGTCAACATGGCATCAACCTAAAGAAAGACTGATAGGACTTTTTTCTGATTTGGCAAGCGAGTTATATATTAAAATGTCTATATATGTTTGTGTTGTGTAGAAGTTTATACTGTTATAAGCATACAATGTCTGCCACATAACGGTATATTTGTTTTTGTGTCGTTGCGCATTCTATCATTGCTTGATCGTTTGTTTGTTCAACACAACACTCAGCAATGTTCTCGATATATGTTCTCAGATGGCGGTCTGTAAATAATCGAGTCTGGACCAGACAATTCAGCGACCTTGACCACCCGATCCCGTTAGTCGCCTCTCAGGACAAGTATAGGCTTAAGACCAATTCTAACCCGGATGTTCACGGGGCACAATACATTTACTTCACTGACATTGACATCATGAATATCGATTCACGCAATTAATATAAATGAGTGAGTGAGTATACAATTACTTGGTAATCATCTGGGGCCCGTTCCACAAAGCCATCTTAGCGCTAAGGCGATCGTAAGGCCCATACTTTAACACAGGCTTACGACAGTCGTAGCACTAAGATCGCTTTGTGGAACAGGCCCCTGTACCGGTGTTGCGTTTTACACCGATTTGAACAGTTAAATCAGTTAAATCACGGTTGATCAGCTAATTGTGTTCGGACAGTTACTAACGTTACCAATGGGGGTGACAATCCGCGGATCATAATCGGGGCGATTCGGGGTTCAAACCTACGATCTGTTTATCGTATCACATCTCAGGGGCACAAATAAGCTAATTGCGGCGCCCTGGACCCCGTTCCTCAAAGCGATCTCAGCACTACGATGATCGTAAGCCTATGTTAAAGTATGGGCCTTACGATCGCCTTAGTGCTAAGATCGCTTTGAGGGACGGGGCCCAGGACCACTGTGCCCCACACAAACATTAAAACTATTGATGATAACCTGAAGTGTTGTCTTATCCAGAGCAGTAACTCCAGTGATTGATAGCAAGAGCATCGAACAGGCATTTTTTTAAAGGACACGAGTAGGCGTGAGAGTCGGACAAATCAGCCATTTTGTCCACCCGATCCCAGTTCGATTGATATTTTAAGGTAAATGTAACGGATACCGAATCTTTGAAAGGTTATTTCAATAAGCTTACAATAGTCCACGGCTGGTTTGAGAGGCGGTGAGAGGATGTGGTCCCAGTAGACGGAGAAGTTGTGGACGGCGATGGCCCTGCGGACATACACGGACAGCGTCATGGTAATGAAAATGAGTAACAAATTTGACATATATAGAATTAGGAGATCGTGAGATAATCGTGATGACATTAAGATACACACGGATAATGATTATCGCAATTATTGGAGAAAGGGCATCAGCCTTTTTGAATGAATGCCACCAAGATTTGCAACACTGGCCGCGTTAAGCTCCTTCTAAGGTGACAGGGTCTATACTTACTTAAACCGGATGTCCCAAGGTCGGCATCTTTGACCGGGGTAGACTCCATAGAAAGGTGACAGGGGAAAACTTACTTCAACTGGATGTCCCAGGGTCGGCATCTTTGCTCGGGGTAGACTCCATAGAAAGGTGACAGGGTCTATACTTACTTAAACTGGATGTCCCAAGGTCGGCATCTTTGACCGGGGTAGACTCCATAGAAAGGTGACAGGGTCTATACTTACTTAAACTGGATGTCCCAAGGTCGGCATCTTTGACCGGGGTAGACTCCATAGAAAGGTGACAGGGGAAAACTTACTTAAACTGGATGTCCCAAGGTCGGCATCTTTGACCGGGGTAGACTCCATAGAAAGGTTGCAGGGGAAAACTTACTTAAACTGGATGTTCCAAGGTCGGCATCTTTGCTCGGGGTAGACTCCATAGAAAGGTTGCAGGGGAAAACTTACTTAAACTGGATGTTCCAAGGTCGGCATCTTTGACCGGGGTAGACTCCATAGAAAGGTGACAGGGTCTATACTTACTTAAACTGGATGTCCCAAGGTCGGCATCTTTGACCGGGGTAGACTCCATAGAAAGGTGACAGGGGGAAACGTACTTAAACTGGGTGGCCTCAAGGTCGCCATCTTACACCGGGGTAGACTCAAATACAAAGGTGGCAGGGGCTCTACTTACTTGAACTGGATGGTATCAAGGCCGAACTCACTGACCGTAGAAGGTCGGCATGTTTGACCAGGGTAGATTCAATACAAAAATGACAGGAGTTATACTTACTTAAACTGGATGGTCTCAAGGTCGAGCTCCTGAGCTGTGGGTGCCTCCCAGACAATGGTGACGGAGTCCCTGCCTCTGCTCACTGACTGAGTCACCCCGCAGTCCGTGATGACCTTAGAGTCCGAGGTCAAGTTCTTCCAGGTGCCGCCAGTGATCCCGCTTGACGTCAGGAGAGTCACCAGGAAGCCACGGATCGTGAAGTCGGGGTGCGTGGCCTTCAAGGTCACTGTAACATTGCACAGACGTCATTTAAACATTAACAACACCAAAATGCAGCCATAGCGTCTAGTCAGGACGAAGGGGTAGACAAGTGGACCAGTGGAAACACGCTGATGACCTGGGTTCGATCCCCACAACGGCGCAATCACCGAATTGGGAGTTCACTGATATGATATAGCTGGACTATTGCTTAAAAATGTGAAATGTCACATGGTCGTACACATTCTTCGAAACAATAAGGGCAGTAGATAGCTTAGTGGTTAAAGCGCTGGCTCGTCAAGGCAAAGACACCGTGTTCGATTTCCCATATAGCTGCAATGCGCGCGGTCCAGCCGTTTTATTATGTTGCAGAGGAATATTGTTAAACCGAATTCAGTCGCTGGAGCCAAGACGAGTGACCAAACTAAAGATTTACTCCCAGAAAAATACAACGTCCTTTATATAAAATACACGTAGCTTTATCACCTACGCCATGTGGTAGCTGGTCTGCTACTTTGTTCGAACCCGTGAAGATCAAGGTAAGACTAGGTCTTTAGCAACCTATGCTTGCCCTAAAAGGCGACTATACTTGTCGTAAGATGCCACTAACGGGATCGGGTGGTCAGGCTCGCTGACTGGGTTGATTCATGTCATCGTATCCCAATTGTGTAGATCGATGCTTATGATATCAATCACTGAAATGTCTGGTCCAGACTCGATTATTTAGACCGCAGTCATATAGCTGGAATATTGCTGAGTGCGGCGTTAAACAACAAACAAACATTAAAACAAAACAATGGCTAAGGGCTGCCAGAAAATTATTATCGTCGATTCGAATCCAAGATTTGCCCCCATTATATTTCTATATCAACACCATACCAGTGCTCGTGGGTTTCATCAAAATGGTCTTAGTCTCTATAAGACCCACTTCGCTTGGTTTTGTTTTCCACATTAAGCCTACAGTTCGTGATATGACTGAAATACCAATACTTTGAGATGACTTTGTCATCCGTCAACTTCTGAGAAATGCCTATTAAAAAAAAAGTGAAATAGTGTTTAGAGTGGCGTTAAACCCAACTCCCTAACAATACCCCAACCCGTGTCCCGTGCGAGTAAAACTGACGTAACAACAGTTTATTATGACAAATTATGGAGACATTATATATCAACCATAACATGGTAAAGTCGGAGAGATCACTCGAATATGTTGATTCCGGATAAGCATTCATGCTTTGCCTCTTTTAATCCAATGCCAAAAATGACAATCAGTGTAAACGGTTTTTATTCTTGTATTTTCTTTTGTTGTTTGATGCCAAAGTTACTAATTTTCCAGTGGTGCCACGTGGACCTGTGCACACCAAATCAGAGTCCTTGGATGAGTGACCACGTTTCGGTGGTCTGGATCCTGAGAGTTTTTAGGGATTCGGTCCCGCCCAACACTGAAGTTTATGTAACACATGTTGTGTCTCCTTGGGCTAGTGACTTTGATCGAAATGTGCCTGTGTTCACCCAGCAGTGAATGGGTACCCGGTAGGATGAGATAGCAATGTGGTTGATCTAGCGCCTAACAGGCTGCTTGGGTTGTATACTCCCCAGGGAGCTGAGAATGATTGCTGAGTGCACACTGATGCAGTGACCGGGGTAATAATTGCGCTTTGAGCATGCCCCTATGTGGTGCGGAATTATGTGCAATATAAATGGACTATTATAAATATTAATATTAATATTATTATATAACGATGAGGTTTACGTAGACCATGGATCATGTTTAATATTATAAGCAACGTCCCACGCCGTTGGGGTACGAAAATACGCAATCCATTTTGACGACAACAAACATGAATATATTCAGCGTCTTTCAACGTCTTTCCATTAGACAGAGTCTGGGATCAATCCACTGCGCTCTGCATCCAGTGCCGTAGCCAGCCCGGGGGGCAGGGTGGCCAGTTGCTCCCCTAGATTTTTAATAGAGAACAGTTTTATTTGAATCATGTTGGGGACAAGTGATACTTGAACAAATATACAAGTACACATAGATAGATATCCGTTATGGCCACTGAATAGTCTATCCACTGCTTACATCCGTGTTGGGTGACACGTGTGACGTCATCGTGTCAAAGTGGGAAGGAAGCACGTGTTCCCAGACAGAGCAAATGGCCCCAGGCCGTCACATGAAGTTTTATGACTCGCACTAAAATTATGTTTCAGACAGACAATGTGACACCACAATTAGCAAGGTGAATCATATTTATGCCGATGATTGTCGTAGGAAAAATGGTATGACGAGAAATATACTTCAGCTATTGATATAAAAAGCAATACTTAACAAGAGTTTGCCACTAACGTGGCTATATCCCCCGCCCCTGTTGCAGAATTTATGACATAATTAAATCTAAACAAACCCTAACCTTTTTTAACCGTGGTGGAACTTGTCATGGAAAGTGTAAAAAAAAAGAAGAGTTTGGAACCTAAGTCCATCTTGTTGCCATGGAAACGTATTACATAAACATTTCTAAAATTTCTAAATAGCAAAAGGCACCAGTTCAGCATGTACCGGACAGACCTGCAAAGTTTCATGAAACAATATTGAACGGTTTCAGAGTTTTGCTCCGGAAACGAAACGTGACGGACGGACGTACGGACGGGCGGACGGAGCCCGTTTCTATATCCCCCGCCAAATTTGTTGGGCGGGGGATAACAATGAGATATACGGTATACGACACTGGACGCTTGATACTTCAGGAATTACAGTCATCATCTTTCCAAGAGAATGGGGAGGCCCAACCAAACCAAGTTAAAAAAATGGTGTCATACCTCTTACATCTGAAAATATTATTTTAATTATAATATTATTAATAATATTTCCTTATAAATATGTAGAGTTTTGAACTGAAACTTGACTTCCCGATAATATTCTCGCATCGTGGATTGTTCGGTGGATATCAGTAGCCCGAGGATGTTTGTTTGTTTGTTTGTTTGTTGTTTAACGCCGCACTATATTTCAGCTATGCCTGGGGTGTCGCTAACATAGTTCCGTAGCACAATTAAACACTGGGCGCGCAAAAGAAAATATGCATCCATGTTTGGTGGTGCTAAAAATAAACAAACAACAAATAGTTAACTTCTTTGAGAGGCATTTGGAAGTTGGAATACTAAGTAAGGAGAAGATATAATGATGAACAACTTCTTTATGACAATTAGGAGCGACATTTCGGTGTAGGTTCTCACACTACTTGCTTGCTTGACAGCGTGTTAGAACCTACACCGAAACGTCGCTCCCAGTTGTAATAACGAAGTTGTTCATCCATATTTTATCTTATCCTTACTTAACAAATGGTTACACGATAGTGATGTATTTGACACGGCTATCATAGTTGTGTTTTCGACCTTCAGTTTGTAGTGTTTCGGCGACCAGTTTAAGCCTAGTAACGTTTGTAATGTTTTGATCAGATCCAATTTTAAATCATGTGTATACTTTCTATTTTCCGACAATGTACTTCTTATCGCAAAGAAAACAAACGGATCCGGGTAGCTAAGGGAGGCAACTCTGAACACTGATCTGATAACCGTATAGAAAGAACAGAAACGGCGAATAGAACAAGAATTTGATATCCATATATAGTCGAATCAGTCCAACCCGGATAAATAATATTATATTTTCTGGTCCTGTCTGCGTCCTTCTATATTTATCATCATATTAAACCGGATAACTAACATAGTGTTTGTAGAAAAAAACGTGTAAGTAGAGATTTTTCTTGGTCCCCTCATTATTTACAGGCACATTATTTGTTCTTCAAGAGAGGATTGGATTCTTATTTGCAAACCCTCAGATGTTGATTTGTTTGTTGTTTAACGCCGCGCTCCACAATATTCCACATATAGGACGGCGGTATGTAAATAATCGAGTATTGACAAGACAATCCAGTGATTGACGTCATGAGTGACTACGCAACTAGGATACCATGAAATGCATCTACCAAGTCTGGGAGCCTGACCAGCCGATCCCAGTGGCTTTATTCGACAAGCATGGTTGTTGCAGGCCATTTCTAACCCGGACCTTCACAGACACTCATTGGTATTTGCCGTCTTTACTCATCATTGACCCACATACCATGCTTGTAGGTTTCACAGAAGCGATAAACGTCCAAGATCTGCCAAAGTTTTGGCTTTTCTGCCAGATTAAACTGCCACGCCTCATTCAATTTCGTCGAAAACGACGTTAAACACAAATTACACATTCTCTTGAACCTTTTAAATTTGACACATAGCAGGACAAACGTTTACTGCTCGGAATGTCTTTGAAAATTACTGAACAAAGATCCCCTCACCTGCCACTGACTGTCCGGTCGAGTATGTCCGTGCGCCATTGGTCAGGTTAAGTTCAAGGACGTACGGGGCTGGCGTCCATTGCCCAAGAAATTCATCGTGCATTGGGCGACTTGTGTAGCATCCCAACTCCGGGGCTCCGTCGGGGTAGGCAACGGAAACGGCAAACAATGCGCAAAACACAAACAAAGACATTCTGACACAGAGCTTCAATACAATCTGGCGATGGTGTTCCAGCAGAACCTTTGGGGGGAAGATATTATGGAAGGACCCGTATGTGTGATGTGACGTCGCTTGTCGACGGCATGACCTTTCGTGAAAAATCGCTGCCACAAACACGTATGACATGTGACAGGGCCCAGTGATTGGCACGAGAGTTACACGCCCTTACCACACCGCCGGCGAGTCATACACCCCAACATCCCTGCCAGTTCAGAATGGTACAACCGAGAAAATTAAGCATGTATTTAATCACGACGTCAGTCATTATTTTCATTTCTTTGATTGTTATGTTACAGTTGAAATGAGGAAGGGCATTCACGTGATATTGCTTTATTAAGAATATACCAAAAGTCTTGAGAGACGCTTGGTTGAATAATCTGAGAGATTACATTGTCACATGATTATTACAAGCGCACGTATATACTCATGTGACATGAATGCGTGTCAGGAAAACAGCTGAAGACAGCTGGGTTGTTTCAACTGATGTCTGAAGGGTGGTGGGCTATTTACATGCGTGTCATATAAAACTAAATCTACTGGCACAGGTGGGGCGATGAGGTGGCCTAGTTGTTTTAGCGTTTTGCACGTCACGCCAAGGACCGAGTTCGGTTTTCGACATGGTATAATGTGTGAAGCCAAATCTTAGTGGTCCACGATTTCGCTGAAATATTGATAGAAACGATGTATAACCATACTCCCTCAATTACATCTTATCACTACTTTGTATGGAATGTGCGTTATACTATGTCGCGCATGTCAGTCTCAAATAATGCATTATTATTTTACGTCAGTTTCAAACAAAAACTGACAATCAGTGAATTGTTACATAGGTGTGGTTTCGCCAATCAGTACTTGTATTATACCTTTCGCCAGTGAGCACATTCTCTTATCGTTTACGTTCATAAACACATTGGTCTCAGCCTGTTAAGGTTCAGTTAGCAAACTGTTCTCTGTTAGTTTTGGATCAGTTTACTTGTAGTTATTACTCAATAAGCACAAAGTGCTCTGCTAGTTTGGGCTCAGTAAGCACATTGTTCTCTGCTAATTTGTGTTCATTAAAGCACATTTCTCTCTGAAACACTGTAAATCATGTGTTTAGATACTAAACAGAAACTTCCTTGTCCCATAATAATGAAATGTTTTAGTGAGTGAGTGAGTGAGTTGGGTTAACGCCGCTTTTAACAGTATTCCAGTTATATCGTGGCGAGTCAGCTTTATGTGGGAGGAAAGCCTGCAGTTGTCAGACGTTTACCACTTCGGTGAAACCCACGAGCATGGGTATGGTGCTGACAAACCTAGAAACATAATCGGGGCGAACCGGGATTCGAACCCACAATCATAGGTTTCTGGCGTGCCCAAGGGACGCAACACTGCACAGCGAGTCGCGGCGCCTTAGACGACTGGGCCACCCGTGCCCCTGATGACATGTTTTAGTCAGTCTTTGTTTCACATACTTAAAGGCCACAGGCCTATAGTACATTACAAATTGTCCAGTAGTGAGTGTCTTGCATTGCAAACAAACCTTTTTCCAAAAGATTTTCAAAAATTCATGGCGTGAAATTCATATACATTGACAGTTGTCGCACTAAAGGGATCGGGTGGTCAGGCTCGCTGACTGATGCATGTCATCGTATCCTAAGTGCGTGGATCGATGCTCATGATGTCAATCACTGGATTGTCTGGTCCAGACTCGATTATTTACAGACCGCCGTCATATAGCTGGAATATTGCTGAGAATAGCCAACCAACATGACTACTACTACAACCACAATTGTGACATGGCTACTTCTACTGCTGCTTCTACTACAACTACTGCTGTCACTAGTACTGCTGCTACGACTACAACAACTACTACTACTACAGCTATTCCTGCTGCTACTACTACTATTGCTGCTGTTACTACAACTACTACTGATGCACTACAACTGCTATTACAACTACTACTCTTGCTACTACTGTAACGACTTCAACTACAACTAGTGTTACTACTATTGCTGAGTGCGGCGTTAAACAACAAACCAACCAACCAACCAACCAACCAACTTCAACTACTACTTTAAGCTATTGAGAAACCCATGCCCTCTGATTTTCTAACGATATTATACTTGGGAATTTTGATATAAAATTAATCTAAGATTATTGTTCGAGGCAGGATTTTGTTTTCGGTCTCTGTTTCAATACAGCCACAAGTTCCTCTCTGAAAGGAAGAACCAACCGCAATTTTCGGGACATATTTCTTTCATAAAACAGTTTTTCTGCATGTGTAAAACCCTTATGCAAATTTTATTTTCAGTTTTTCGTCAAACGGACACCAAGCGGTGGTTGGTGGAGACAAAAAAATGTTTCGTTATCAGAAAAAAGGAGCCGGATTTTTTCAACGAATTATATGGAAATCATAGCAGGGTATGAGTGTGCCGTCTTTGTGGCTTTGTCCCCAATCACTCACCTTGGCAACCGTCTTTCTTTTGCTGAAGTTCAGCCATTGCTCAAATGTGGCACTTGTCAACCGTGTCCTGATAGGTGAAGCGCCAGTGTCCTGTGATATAATATTATAATAACAATAATACTTATTTAATACCAGAAGTCATATATAATAAATGCCCATATGCAAATGCCAGGTAAGACTTTATAAAGAAAGGATATATATTCAATGTAATTTGGGGCATTGGGATCGCCTATTTTTTAAAACCTTCGATCATCACAAGGAAGGTCTGGGTTCGATGCCCTTCATGGGTTCACTGTGTAAGTGTCCCCTAAGTGTCCCCTGACGGAAAATAGTGCAGGTGTATTACCAAAAAGAGGCATAAAAACCATCCCTGCTTATCCCGTGTATTATAATTTGGGAAGGAGGCGTCACACTCGCCATCTCTTATCAAAAACGTTAATAACATTGTAAATTAATAGCCAGTCTCGACCTCTGTGTACATGGTTTATGCATAAAATAGAAATGTGTTGCATGTTTGAGCGAGTTGGGTTAGCACTGCTTTTAACATTATTACCGTGCGTCTACTGGAACAAATGTTGCAACCAGATTCGAACAACGTACACTCTCAATGAGAGGCACCTATCTTCCGAAAGCACACAAAGTCAGCGATACGTGTTAAAAGGATGGGACGAAAGTAAAAAAGAACTAGAATTTGTACTTTACTGACAAAGTGTTAACCCAAACATAACGTGTTACATTTGATCGCTTTCTAAACAGGCAAACAGACGTATTCATACCTTTTTACGATGAGGGGCGTGCCAATTTACACTTACCAGAGGGGTACACAATACATGATCTCGACAAGTTACCAGTTGTCGGACTTGCATTTTCGTGGAAGTCTCGGTGGCTGAAGTGGTTTAGATCGCTGAATTTGTGTGCTGGCAACTGGGTACCTCACTCTGCGAGTGTGGGTTCGAATCCCGGATGGGACTCAACCCTCCAAAAGTAGTAGAATTTGTACTTTACTTACAAAGTGTTGTCCCAATTATAACGTGTGTTACGTCTGACAACTGTCTAAACAGGTATTGTGTATTGCATATATGGATTTTATCTAAAAAATAAATTGTCCCTGAAAATTATAGAAAACAAATAATTATGCTTCAGATTGTTGAAAAAAGAAATTGTAATTGTTTTTCTTAAAACAATTCACGTTAAAAAAAATTCCAGCCCCCACAAGAATATGAAATATGAGCAAATATTGGTCCCCTATCAAGTATGGGCTGTGTCCTTTGCAGTAATCTTGAACCTATAAATTTCTCCAACATTTTAGTGATTCTCAAATTTGTAAATTAATTCTGATCTATTTCATAAAAAAGATTAGATGTAAGGGTGCATTTACTGCAGTCAAATACAGTCAGTTCAGACCCTTTGCCCCTGTGGTAATGACAAACCTAGAAACATAATCAGGGGAATCTGGGATCCAAAAATACAACTTCTTACAGAAGCTGTTAAATGAAGAAACAGCCTCATCAAAGTCCTATGGAAAAAAAAATTCTGATGTTTGCCGTCTAACCTCAGATTAAGTAAGTTAAAACATCATCAGATCCACACCAGTTTTACAGATCAGATAGAATGTTTAGTCAAAATCATAGGAAACTTCAATCAAGCTATTTTGTGGCATTCAAGAAATATTTTGTTTATTATTGACCTTGACACTCAAACAATAATGCCAGAAAACTTGTTGACACAATACATAGAAAGTCTTGAACCTGTGGATGCATGAGAAATATTTTTTTCTGCTACTTAGCAATATTCCAACATCATGCACAGATCACCAAACAAGACTTTCAAGGAATCAAATCTTCGACATGTTATTTTGCATTTGGCAGCCCAAGTGAACACTGCTAGACCAACCCACCTTCTCTCTCGAACACATGCAGTCAAATGAGTCAAAATGTCATGTTGCATCAGCAATGCATTGCCACAAGTGATGCTGAAGTCTTAAATAAGCACAGCAGTTGTTACAAATAGAAAAATAAACCCAAAGGAGCTTCTAATTAACTTTAATTAACTTTTGACAAGGCAACATGTATCACATAAATAATGTATATCAACAGTAACTATAATAACACACTTTCTAGTGATTTCGATGTTCTTACAACACGCACAATGTTCTCAATAATAATACTGACAGAAGATAAGGGAATGATACATCCAACTTTTGTTATGTCTTGCATAACAATAAGGGCACAATGTGTAAAACAGGTCTGAAATGCTCCAATTGACCCGTTTGAAAATCCACATAAACAAGAGGTCACCCTGTCTGCAAATTACTACAAACAATGTCTGCAGATTGTTGTCGGTCAAATGAGCCATCAATACATGTACTTGCAACATTTATTCTGGTTGAACTCTTGCAGTTTTAGCAAGACTATGTATAGGACTTTGACTACATAACTGAAACACAACAATTTTGACCTTGTTTTTGTTCTGGAAGACTGTTTTGGTTGAATTCCACCAAAAGGTCTTCAAATTAAGGTATAGAAACCAGTTCAAGCACAGTCACTATCATGTGATGGTTTGAAACTGACACAGGCCCGGCAGTCCAAGACTAGGAAATTTTAGGAAGGTCTCATGAATGTTCCTCCAGGTCTAACACTTTTAGCATCAGCGAGATGGAAAACTCTGTAGCAGCAGCAGCAGCAGCAGCAGCAGCAGCAGCAGCAGCATCTTTGTGCAAAAGTGACAATAAAACTTAATTCCTAACTCTGCATCACATGTCCAATGTGCATGTTGTTACTATTAACCTATGAGGCTAATTATCAAATATGTTGGAAAACTATCAATATTTGTAACCCAGCAACCAAAATATTATGTTAATGATATCAATAACCAAACATTTCCTTATTTTCTGCCAGTGATATATAAGTATACAAGCCTATCCATTCGTTTAACAGTTTAACAGTTATAACAAATTATATTCAGGCCAGACCAATTTGTTCATAGATGAGTTTTCAAAGTTATACAGTCGAGCCCTATCATCTAAAACATGGACGTGTCAAACTCACAGTCCTGTCCCAGCAAACTCACCTTTCCTATCATTACATTAAAAGAAATATGATGTCAGGAAAATCCAGTGATTTGAATATATAACGCATACAGATGCATATTAAAACATAGATGTGACAAATGCTTCTTGTTTTTTTCTTATTACATAACAATATAAACATGCACAATGTGGTATGTTTGCTTTCTGTTTTATCATGTTAACGTCATTTGGTGATAAGGTTGATTTGGATGTTATGAACCCCAGATTAACTGAAGTATTCCTTTGGTTCCTAGGAGTTTCAAGACATGAGGTTTGACTGAATACAATGAAGCCTTACTAACTAATTGCCAAAAATAATCTTGCAGGAAAAAACATCAGCTCAGAGCTCACTTGTGTATTTGCATTAAATACACAAAATATATCACCAGTACGCCATTAAATTTGACGTGCTTGCGTACAAATACACATGGAAAACTAAATCAAATTTAAATAGTCTAACGACACAGCATAATTCCCCTATGTATCCTCTTCAACTTGCATCACTGTATTTCTTTACAGATCTATAGTTACTGATCAAATGCAGGCATCACACATACATGAATTCTACTCCAGTGAATAATGCATATGCCTGGCTAGTTAATAAGACATGCCTATCGCTCGGCACAGAGTTAGTATACTGTGTCTGAGTGGGGTATTCATGTTAAACTGCGGCATGGTATCTCAGTGAGCTAGCACTATAAATCGGCATCAGTCCAGACTAGTACAAGCAGCCACACACACACATACACGTGCATGCACATCACTATATAAGTGCAATAATCTTGGATGCGACGTTAAACCCCATTTCACCTCACATCACCCAATGTATCCTCTTCAACTTGCATTACTGTATTTCTTTACAGATCTATAGTTACTGATCAAATGCAGGCATCACACATACATGAATTCTACTCCAGTGAATAATGCATATACCTGGCTAGTGAACAAGACATGCCTATCACTGATGTGAGATTATGCAACACTACGCTACATACATGGGGCAGCATATAAACTGATATGAGAAGTCACCTGAAACAGCATTCTAATGTCGACTCAATGGTCTGTAAATACATTGGATACCCAAAGAAACCTATCAATACCCGATGCGAAGGATAACTTGTGAATAAATACTCAAAGGCTTGAAACATTATCTGGAGCCCTGTGAGCTTTGAACAGTATTCCAGTTATAACACATTGTGATATCAAAGCCCAAAGTGATGCAGGTCTCTGATATTTAACACCTTGAGCTCGGGTATGATGCTGACACACATTACCCAAAAGAACCATGGGATTTGAACCCACAATCATTGTTTTCTGGCGTACCCAAGGGATGTAACTCTGCAGAGAGAATTGTGGTTTCTTCGACAACAGGGACACCCATGCCCTGTCAGCTAGCTGACCATCACTTCTGATGAAGAAAATTTTAACATTTGTTGGAGGGTTTATAGATGCAAAGTTTCAGTTTCATCAGTTCATGGTGTCAGGAAGGAAACTTGTCACTTGGGTATGTGAGTTAGTGAGTTGGGTTTAACGCCGCTTTTAACAGTATTTCAGTTATATCGCGGCATGTCAGCTTAATGTGGGAGGAAAGCCCGAAGTGATGCCCCTCTCAGACAATTACCATTTCAGTGAAACCCACGAGCACAGGTATATTGTGGACAAACCTAGAAACATAATCGGGACGAACCGGGATTCAAACCCACAATCATAGGCCTCTGGCGTGCCCAAGGGACACAACTCTGCACAGCAAACCGCAGCGCCTTTGACGACTGGGCCACCCGTGCCCCCACTTGGGTATGTTTGCGACTGCTATATGTTGTAATAAAAAATAAATGTTTTAAAAAATGTTTCAGGAAGGATTTTAACAGATATCAGAAGACAGAGAAAGAGGCTTTGATACTAAAATTGGTCTGGCCTCATATATAGCAACAGAAGACTGAACTTGGCCTTGAAAATGTAACCTGAGACCTACAACATGGTGGGAAGACAAAATGCTAATATCAACCAAACGTACACATGGTAACTAGAATATCAAAAACTTCCAATGACATCAGGAACCAATAAATACTTCTTGTGAATAAATCACAAAACTATTACTGCCAACAGGACTTGCAGTTAAATTCTTAATGAAATAAAGATTACACAAGTAGCACTTTAGAAACTGGCGCAATACTATTGCATAACCGTCAGAAACATTAACATTTACTTTCCCTGAAGAACATGAACAATCAATAAAGGGATCACATTACAGATAGGGCTTGTTTTCTGATTGTAATTCACACAAGATAATGGAGGACTCAACTTGATAAACACAAGATTCACAGCAATGGTGATGCTCATTTTAATGCATTATATATACTATTCAATGTTCGATAGAAATAATCAGATATGTCTTTCTATTTATATATACTATACATATTATGATAATAAGCTTTGTGTATCATGGAAAGAAAAAATATCTCCATCAAAAGTGGAGTACCGGGGTTGTACATATGAAATACTCATGAGGGCTTCAGAAAGAATGTTCTATTCCTGCACATTTGTATCAGCATGGAGTGAACATGATGAACTATATGCATCATAGCACTGAGTATACTATCAGGGTGGGCAGGAGTTGTAGCAGGAGTAATATTTTCTACAAGTCTACAACTGTTTAGCCACTCATCTAAAGCTGAGTCTAGGAAAAGTTCTTTCAGTCTAATATGATCAGCTAATAATAGTCCATAAGCTTGTTTTCAAAGTTTATGAAAATAAGGCCAAGAAACAAATTTAGGCTTGCAGACTCACAAAGTGGCACAAATTGCAGAAATCACCTAAAAAGCATCAGACACTATTATGCAGTATCTTCATTATCCCAGCACTTGCAAAAAACATTTGAGTCTACTCTCCCAGACTTGGCTCTAAGGATTATTTTCACTGTAGTTTTAGTATCTACTATGGACTATTATGAATGGTGATTACTTGACCAACAGAATTTCATCCAGTCTGGCTTCAGACATGTGGATTATGTCGCAGACTGCATGTCCCAAAAACTTAACTAAACTTGATCACTGTTTGAATATGTGCACAGCTTATTGCATAAAATGTTTACGTTAATGATGGTTACATGCTAAAACTAAATACATGTATGGTATTGGATAGGCTTTCCATTTGTATAACGTTCTTGAAGGAATGTTTGCAAATCACATCAGAAGTGACTTTTCTAAAGAAGGTACTTGAGATAACCAAAATCAAGAGTGATTTGTGGGAGTCAGGCATGTGAGGGTCTTGAGCAAAACAAGTTTGGTGGGTAGGGTTTGGTATCCAGAACAAAGTAACTTTGCTTCATAATTTTTGTATACCAAACTGAATTAAAAAACGTGAAATTTCAAAATCATCTCATCTGCAACCAAAACAAGTTCAACAGTATCTTAAATAATATCATTGTATTGTAATTATAATAATTTGACTTCAAACTCAGAAATTCAGAGTAAAATGTCCAGATGGTACTAAGTAACAAGAATTGCTATAATCATAAATCTAATCAATTTCATTGTGAGAAATTAAGTAGGGTCACTGTATTGTTGTTAGCAAAATCATATTACTCAAGGGACAAGAGAATCATTCATTATAATATATTAGGACAATGATAAGCATCTCCTGATTTCCATCCTTAAATATATTTCTTGATTGTCTGAACATAAACATGATTATCATCCAAAATTGGCTCCCACAGGAGATATCCTTGGGTGAGATCCAGTGATATCTACATTGTAGATATTGCTGCAATGAAATTGCATCACAATGCTTTGCAGACCATTGTGACATCATTGGTTACCATGACGTCACAATCAAATGACATCACTAATGGCTCTGCAACTGAAGCTGGTAGCAGTACTTTTTACACTGAAGACACTGCTTATTGCAGTCTACAAACTGAAAAAGTTGGAAGAATGATGTTGGATGATAAATAAAATCTCTTGTGTCTGTTAACATCAAATATATCAACAGTCGTTGATAAAAATGGAAAAACTCAAGCCTCAGAGTTTTTTCGCTTTAATCAACTTGTGTTGATATATTTGATATCAAAAGACACACGGGTGCGATTCTCTATATAACACGTGACGAATAACTGATGTCAGATTTCTTATCTTTTCTCTCTCCAGATTTTGGACCCCAAAATTCAGATTGGTAGGTCGGTAAAACATCAAAATAAAAAAATTCAATTTTATTTTTTACTTCCTCTCGCAATTTGTCAAATTCGGTTGTGCTTGGAAGTTTTTCAAATAAATTTTCAACAGGTTTTAACAATAGTATCTTAAATGATATATTTATATTGATAGCAACAGTAAATAACGTTTACTTTTTTTAACATTTGACTTATTCTCTGGTCAGCAGAATATAAAATTCTCAGCTTTTCATTTATAATTTTTTTATAATTCAAATTTTTGGAATAAGTGGATTTCTAAAAGGTCTGGTCTGAGAAGCCTCTCCTGTAATTAGATGGCACAGAATCACAGATTCTATTTACTGCGTCGTCCTGTTAACAATTTCACAGGTGTCAATAAAGCTTCCATAAGCCTCCAGAATCCTGAACTTGCCCGTCGGTGTGTCTCTCTTGGCGGAGAGCTTGGTCCTGGTGAACACTTGGCTTCTTCAGTTTTCTCTCTGTGAAGTATCCTTGGGCTCTTTCTTGTATTTTTTATGGCAGCTCTCGACAATCCAGGGGAATTATGATATTGGGATTCAGTTCTGTTACCTGCTTGTCGAGGAGTCCCAGATGTAATTCTTCGAGAACTTGAACTGTCTAGTGTTTCTGTCAGTTTAGGAATGGCTGGGGACATCACCATTACTTCTCCCACTGAGTTCTTCATTGTCGATCGATGCAGTCGACTGTCACGATGCTCTGACTGTGAGAGTTCACCAGAGTCATCAACTCCTGAAAAAGTATGACGTTCATTTCCAGGAGAACAATTGTTATGACCATCTTCACGATTAAATCTTAGCCTTTTAGTACTGCTGTTAATATTTTCAGGCTCACTAACAAAACTGGACTGTTTACGTTTTTCTGGAAATCTTTCACTTCTCAAAGATGGTGTACCGATCTTCCTAGTAGATCTACGAACAGGAGTGTTTGCAGGGTTTTTCTTCTGTTGATTACAAGATGGCACAGATACTCTAGATAACACAACAACTGGCAAGCTGTAGTTCTGATTAATGTCAGCTATACTTTTAGGCCTGTTGGTCTTTTCTGACATATAGCCTCTCTGTCCTTTTGTCCCATCTGCACGACTGTTCTCTAAGTTCACAGCCCTCTTTCTAGTCACCTCATTACATTTAGGGTTTAACCTGACATTAAACAATAGCATGTAGGGGTATGCTACCAGAGTCTTCCCGTTCTGCTTGAATCCCAGTGTTTCAGAAGCTTTCCAGTACTTCTTTGCACAAGAGACTGAATACTCCTTTGTGTCCACAAACCTCAACAGCCGGCCCCTCTCCTCGGCGTACAACACTGCTCTAATAACAGGCTCCATTGTTTCGAAAGAGATTACTTCCTTTGATTTTGATTTTAAGCTGGATTCTTCAAAGTTGACCCTGATCTTGTAGACATTGTTCTGATGTCTAATGATGCGTGTGTGTTCCACCATGATGTGAAAAGTAAGATGTCTTAACATCAAATGTCAGATTCTTTCCTGAGACTTCACTCTGAAAATAAAATAAAACATGATGACACTATTATCAGTAATAGCAGCCTAACCAGCTAAATAACTAGAACCCCTTGGAGATTAAAATAGGTCCCCAGTAACCCATGCTGGCCATAAGAGGTGGACAAATGGATTGGATCGTTAGACTTGGAGACTTCGTTCATTGTGTGTCATGTACCCTGGTGGCATGGATTGTTGTTCACAATATCAATCACTGGATTGTCTGGTCCAAACATGATTTATTTATGATTATATACCACTTGTCACTAGACAAATCAGAGCACCTTTATAATACAGTACCACAACTTCTCGTGAGGATGATCACTGCCATAGGTCACGTCTCAACCAGTTTTGTGATAATCTGTCGAACACGAACTCGCGTCCCTCAGATTGTTAGTCTGACAGCTAACCAACTGAGCTACATCCACACTGTTAAACTTGTAGTGCAATACTGATTAAAAAGTTACCTTGTAATGCCTCAGACATTACGGAACTGATCAGAAAGGGTTGAACAGGTGACATCCACTTTCAAAGGTTATGGGTGGGCATGGTGTCTCATGACTACAGTCTGTGGACACTTAAGTGTCTGAAACTCAGCAGAGGAAACTGAGAGCCTTTAGGGCAAACACATTTCAAAAACTGTATGCCTGGTGGAAAAACTGTAGGCCCAAACATTTTAGCTGAACCAGAGAGACATGCTCTTGCAATATCAGATAAAGCACCAAGAAAGTGTAGCCGGGGTGGTGTTTATGATCCACCTTGGGCCATTCGAGAACACAGACACAGGTAGATAATGATAATACGTTTATTAGCATGGGGTGGCTGCTATTGAAGAAATAATCTGAAGAAAAGAACATATCCTTCCTCCTCAACAGCAGCACATGAAGTCAGATATTTGCAAATTTACAGGTATTTATCTTAAATATAGAATTACAAAGCCATTTTTTAACCATAATAAATCTAGTATTAATTTAACACTAAAGTGATATGACACTTGAAAAAGCACATGGGCCAAAATGGACAGTTGTGAAGAAATATCAAAAGATAGACAGAAGGTTGAAGGGGAAGATCTGGTGAGAGATTCCCAGAGACTGAAAATAAGCATGATAAGGGTGTCAAGTACTTTGAAGAGTTATTTACTGACATGCAACTGTAGACTAGACAAACAATGAACATAAAGAACCTCACCAGGAATATACTCACATTTAGATTTAGATTTCAGATTTTGATGAGTCTTTGGCTTACTCATGTTATTTTTACCGCTTAAAGCAGGAAATCGTGCTAGGTTACGACCTGTGACAAAGATTTCTCATGCATATGATGAGACAACAAATGCTGAGATGTCATTTGACTTACAATACACGATCACATGAAAAAATGGAAATAGGAATTTAGACGTAAGTTTGACAATTTTCAGAAATCTGTTTGTTGATTTGATTAAGAATTTATTACTTTATTTAATTTATTTACCATTTGCTTGAAACGTCTTCAGATTGCTCTTTGACATGTTTGATATGGAAGCATGTGAACCAAATTTTATTTTCAATAACATTGCGGGGAATAGTTCATAATTTTAAATCCATTGATAAAATATGTTACATCGAAATTAAATACGTATATGCTGTGTTGTGAAAAGTGATAGATTTAATAAATGAATGATATGACAGGTCGATTGTTGAAACTATATATCATTTTGACGTGACTGTGGTCGGGCCTGTGCACCAACCTCTGGTGTTGAATACGTAAACGAGCGGAGTACTTTGAAGCTGGTATGCACTCTTGTGACAAGAGTTGCTTCCCTTGGTGTATGTCAGCCATGCAAGTTCTAATAAACGTTGATGCTTTAACCTGAGTTGGATATGGCTATCCAGACATGTGTACAGCATACACAGCACGTAACAGGATCCTGTTTCAACAGCAATCATAGTGTTAGGATTCACTTTTCATGTTTACAGCCTAAAATACACTACAGGCCATAAGGGCATGCTGAAATTTAAAACTATTAGCCCGTGAACAATTCTGTTGGCCACGGGCCTATGGACCGATGTCTATTTCGAACACTGCTCATGAGTGAGCCTATGCCATTTGGCACTCATCCCATTCCATAATCTACAAGAAACCCAGTGGTGAGGAATGAGCCGATATGACACGAACAGCTCCAAGCATCAGATGTGGAATTCATGAGTATGCATGAATGACAAGGTTTTAATGAGTGTGAGTGAGTATGGTTTTACGCCGCTTTTAGCAATATTCCAGCAATATCACGGGACACCAGAAATGGGCTTCACACATTGTACCCATGTCAGGAATTGAACCCGGGTCTTCGGTGTGACGAGCAAACGCTTTAACCACTGGGCTACCCAACTGGCCCGACAAGGTTTTAATAATTTGTTTGGTTTATCAGAGAAAAGTGTGGGAGGGAACACGGTAAGGATAATGTGGATCATAGCATGGACACTTAATACGCTCTATATTTAGGGTCCATGATCATAGTAAGGAACGACGAAGGCACAGGTTTAGCTACTGACTCCACGAGGGCGAGTTGGCTTTTGAATCATTACAGAAGAAGTGTATTGAGTGAAAGTGCCTGGATGGAAAGTCCATGACAGTTTCCTGCAGCTGAGACAATTTGAAATGACACTACTTCATCCTGGTCACTTGACGTTTTTGTGAAAAGAATACATGCAACTGAAAATGTGAAAACACAGTCTGCGACCTTAGCCACTAGGCCTTGACGTAAGTGCTATTCTAGTCGTAGTAACCTCAGCTGAAATTCTCATAAAGATGGTGCTAAGTGCCAAGTTCGGGCTAGTAAACTCATTTTTGTTTGCAAAGGCAATGACGCAGCAAACTGGACGCAAGATAGATGATCAGATCAGCTAATGACAGAAAGTCTCGTTTGCCTGTCTGTTCACACGCCGTGACATGGTTTCAAAGAATAGTCCTTTGAGAGAAACCACATGATTTACTTTACTCACATGTGCCAACGAAACGCCTATTCATTTGGAGATCAGCATTTAAGATAAACTTGAAACGTCTGCTGTCAAGTACGACATTTGACATTTTATAAATGGCGGCACAATAATAACAAACGTGCTTCTTTTACTGCCCCGCCGTGATATGACGTCTAAACCAATGGATCATGTCTTCGCCACGGTTTAGTGAGTGAGAGAGTGAGATATATATATTCAGTGTATGCACAGAACCATGTAACTAATAATAATAATTTCGCAAAAAAACTCATAGATGAGGCCGAAAGCCGTTTGTTTTTGTTTTGTTATAACATCATTTTACATGGTCCTGTGGTATAAGGCACCAAGAAATATTACTTAGAGCCCGTATCCTCCATTAAAGATATATATGATTGAGCGGCAATGCATATACTTATATAATTTTTGGAGTGGGATACGGGAGGAAGTCTTACCATTCTGGTATTCCAGAACCTTGGACGGTATAGACCACGCAAATCGCATAGCCTTTCCCCCCAGCAAATGATGCAATCTAGAGCAATTTGGTGCAAGCATTAACGACCATTAATGATGAAAAAATATAGATGTAGCCAAATCGACAAGATGAACAAAGTCTGAACAATGTTAAAATGTGTTGGCACAGTTATGGCTACGATGTATCTGCCATACTTCTTAGTTCTACCTGATCCTTCAATATTTAATCATCGTAGACAATCGGTCAAGCTTCGTTTCTCACATCATAGTCCAATCAGAATTTTGATAGCCAAGGGCTATCGGTCAACCGCTCGTTTCGCACAATATAAATTGAATAAAATAACTACTTATTTAATAAACCTTTTCCTAAATTTTAGTGTCAGCAGAAGAGAAAAGTAATATCGTACAAGTCACCAGTACCTTGTTAGGGGTGCAGGCTAAAACGGCACCTCAGCAAAACGGCACCGATTTCTCTGGCGAAAACGGCACCGCATTTGGCGAAAACGGCTACTATGTGTCGGGCGAAAACGGAACCTCTATGTTTAATAACGATAACAACGATTTTTGTAGTAATATATAGGGTTTATTTACATGGTATTTGATGTATTGAGTACATCTGAAGCCGTAATGTGAATTTCCGATAGTTTGGTACTCTCATTTCTTCAGCATCTTCTGGCTGGAAACTGACATGAAAGTTACCGATCACCTCTTCAAAAGGAAAGGGAAGTCAGTACGGCAAATTTCTCTATAACGGGCCATAGAAAGTCCGGTTCCACTGGTCACAGTTATCACATGATACAGCATGTTGATTTTTTTTCTGTCATTCTTCTCGAATGCAACACATCGAAAGGCCATTGTGAATAATTGTGATCTGACAGCACCATGTTAGGCCTCTTAAATACAGTTTCAGCTTAAATTGAGTAAAGGTGACGTTTTGCTGAGGTGCCGTTTTCGCTATAACCCCCTTGTTAGACCCTCTTTTAAGACTGCTTACGGATCACAAATGATGGTCAAATTTGCCACTGGCTGTGTTTTAACCAGTCACACAAAAATATACTAGTTACACATATTGGGGAACTTCCCCTCAGTGGAAAAAATGCAACATCCTTTGCACTGTATCCATGTTTTACGTACATGTTAATATGATGACGTACACATTGAGATTATTGGTAGTTACGGAAAGATGCGAGTGGTAACGAATGGAGAAAGGAACGAGTCTTTTTGTAGGTTACGGAAAGATCGATTCGAGTGGTGACGAATGCATCGGTAAAGTCCAACAGGATTATCTCCCCTAGACCGTTCCTTACCTTACTAAACCATATGTTGACATTTGAATCCAACGATAGCCATCACAACCAAGTTACATCAATTATAACATCAATTATAACTAAACTTCTCCTCGCCACACAGTCAATATCATTAGGAATTAATTATTTAAAATACTATAATTAAAACCAGAATCTTCAAAACTTCAAAACAACGAAATATGACGGATTGCGAGAGCAAATTGTAAAAAAAAATATATATAAAAATAGTTCAGTGTGAAAGACTAAGTTTTCTGAACTTGAGAATATAGTCTTCATTGAACCAGTGTATTTTTATGCAAATATACCCAGCCACGCTTTACTTTGCATAAACTATTGCATCAGAGACCATATAAAAGTCTATTATATGGTCTCTGGTTGCATGAATAAAACGACATAATCACATTTTAAAAACTTTCATTCTTCAATGACAAAACAAAACACACCCCGTTTACTTTCTTTTGCCCCTCAGCCTGACATGGCCTGTTATATATTTTTTCTTCATGAAATGCCATTTGATTGTATTACTTTTTATCTTATCTAAACAGTTACAAACCTGTACATTGCATTTTTGTGTCGCCATTAATTTCTCTTGATGGCAATTAACATAGAATTTTCCGCAATATACGTATGATCCAGACATAAAACAACAAAGAACGCCGCCAAATAATGATAAAATTGTATCAATTTGGTTACACAGGACTTATTTCATGTATCTATCAACATATTTCACAATCATTGCATGGGTTAGAACAAGGGAAATAACTCTTCTCACATGTCTCTTGTAAAGGAGGTTATAAAATGTGTACCGGTGATCTTTCGAATTGATTCTCTTGGAATTGTATCCCTATTATGGCGTTCGGGGAACAATAAATATTGCCTGTATAACTGTTATTTGAGACCCACAGCATTTATTATAAAAACTAATTCATTTCTGAGTTTGGGGATAAATTTGCAAGTTCACACATATAATAACTAAACAAAATAGTTGATACTTTAGGACTTTTTCAACTTGGGTAATAAATATATTTTCACTGGTCGCACGTTTCATCAGCCGGTAAACAGGGTTGGGATATCCTCAGAGAGAGGTATTGCAGACGAATCGTTGACACAACAACCAAGTCGATCATGCCGACGATATCGGTCCAGAGAGACGAGCTGTTCAGGGCACTTGGAAGAACGTATAGTAAGCGATATAGATTATGAGCTTTAACAGAAGGCGTGGTCAGCTGTTGATCTTTGCCGTTTTGGTGTCTCATCAATATGTTGTGATAAGTATGATGACATGAATGTGTAACGGTATGCAGTAGGTAAGCTCAGGTCTCGCACTATTTACACACATCTATGGGGCCCTATCTAACCTTACCTAAAATGTCTGAAAATGATGGCAATTACAAGCTGAATAAGTGCAAGACGTGAATAATGTGCACCAGTGAATGGTTTGCTGAGTTGTGATATCCCCGTCTTTTCGGATGCTTAAGAAACATTTATAATTTTCTCGTTTATAACAAGAACAACTGTAAAACACCTCACTCACTTATAAAAGACGACTTTATCTTACAAACAGGTCATCATCTGAGTATTTACAATGTCTGTGTGATGCCACACCCCTTGTTATGGCACGAGTAATCACGATAACCATGGCCGTCTGAAAATCTATGATGTCCGAAAAACGATGGTCCGAAAATATGTGTATAGATCGTAAAAACTTGATGGTCCGAAGATATATATAGAGGTCGTAAAAACTTTGAAATCTAAGTGTTAGACAGAGTATTCCTAAAATACAAGTAGCACACAAGTGTTCGAAAACTGTGAGTGTAAACCTCCTGGTTGTGAGCTCCGACAGTAGGCCCATGCCTATACATAGCATAGCAAAAGCATAGTCCCCTTAATTTCCACGACGTATACATGTAAATGATGACAATTATTACTCACATCAGGGATGCAAATTAAACTGAATAGTGATAACCAATTGATAACATGAATGGACACCCCCCTAAAAGCTTGAGATTCTACTATCGGCCAGAAGGGTCTAAGAGACCTTTAACATTAGATCAGCTGGTAGCTAGTTGCATCCCTGAAACAGAATCAGCGATAGAAACTAACAGTTTTAGTCCACTAGTATTAAAATGATATCATAATAGCAAAACCCTTATAAATGGCAAAATTCTACCTGTCCTTGGGATACCTTTACTATTGGGCAGTTTTGCAAGGACAATTTGATGAGTGCCAATTGCTAATGCTGACAGTGTTCTTTTATCAGCACATGTTTGTGATGAGTCTTGAATCTCTGTGTGTGCTTGAAACTTCATTTAGTCCAAACATTATTTACCACTTTCCTTCTTCACAGATTATTTTAGTGCTGTCAGCATGACAAATTACCCTTTTGTTTTCAGCTGATGAGGAGTTTGATGAGCTCTGTTTTGAATTTGGCATTGAACTTGATGAAGTGGTAAGTAATCCTTCTCTTTCAGTGCAGCCTGTAGTCTGTCAAACATATTTTAGTGAGTGTTATATTTTCATTTTCTAAATTGCATACTCTGTATCTAACATCCTCATAAATGCATATGATATTTTCTGAGTACAAAAAGGAGCAACGTTTCAGTGAAGGTTCTGACACCAATATCAAGCAAGTGATGCTTGACAATGGTGTTAAAACCTACACAAAAACATCGCTCCTTTTTGTAATAAAGAGGTTGTTCATCCACATACCCTATGCTTACTTAGTACTCCAACTTCTAAATGCCTATCAATTTCTCAAAGAAGAAACCGGAGAATTAAAATAAACTCTATTTACTAACACTTGCTGCAGATTTGTGGCTGAAAAGTGTTCTCTGAGAAAGCCAAGTTGAATATCATCCATGAAAACTGCCACTGTAGCAATGGTGATGGTCTTCTGTGTCTGTGACTGGCCTTATACAGTTATAAGCTTTGTTTCCTTTCACACCTGAACATATCTATCATGAGCTGAGTTTCAGCTGACGTTTTTTTACCAGTCACAGGTCTTGCTTGATTCAGCACCTCAGATGTGGAATGTTATTTTTATTGTAGATCTCTAGAACAGACACTTTCTTACAAATAATAGATTTCATTCATTGAGGAATCTTGTAAATTAAGCTCAGTCTGTCATGGAAATATTTCCAAGAGGGAGGTTAATAGCTTTCCAGTAAACCATGGACAAATGCCAAGGAGATTCTAGGTTAGAATAGGTTCATAGCAAACTACCAGTATACAAAGGAACTTACTGTATCAGGTGGTCATGCCTGGGGATCTGGGTTGCAATTGATAGCATGATGACATAACCCGATGACGTGGATCATACTATCAATCACTGGTTTGTCTGGTCCAAACTCGATTATTTACTGTAATATTTGTTGATTATTCCGTTGAACAAAAACATAAAAATTATTTCATTAATTCATATAAAATTGGAATTGTGAAATTGTCTATTACAGTCTTTGCAAGTATCAGTAAATATCAAGACCATAAGAATTGTGTTTTATATGCTAGGGATAACATTGCAGGTGTGTTGTATTGGTTGATATCGAGAGAAACAATACGTGTCATGGCATTCCCTCTCCTTGCAGACAAGTGAGAAGGAGCAGATTGAACGAGAGCAGGGGAAAGAGAAGGCGTCTGGAGCATCAGATGCAGTGGAGTACAAGGTGGAGGTGCCCGCCAACAGGTACGCATTGTGGTAGAAGGTCCCTCATTGTCTTTCAAACCATACGGGCTTGTGTAACTGCAATCCATCTTCCTGAAGCTAGGGCATTAACTTTAAAAGTCCAGTTTCCACCCTTGCCAAACTAGGCTGGAATTTCCAGGCTCGATCGTAGCGCACCAGTGGCTATAATGAGTTATATCCTTTCTATGTCCCACCTATTGACCAATCAGATTCCATCTCTCATATGACTTGCATTTGCTTCAAACAAAATGGTGGCGCCCAGTCAAGAGGATCTGGTTGATAATCAAGATTGTAAAAAATGGATCATACCCCACGAAGTGCAACAAATGACATCTTTATTAAAAACATGAAAAGATTTGCAAAATATCTGTCGACACCCAGGACTTGCAAATCTGCACGTTGAAATCCATGTTGTTTACGAACTGGATGTCTAGTTTTTACATGATTTTGTTTGGACTATGCATAGACTCGTTAGTCCAGCCAAACTGTAACTCCAGAATTCCAACCTAGTTTGTCAAGGGTGGAAACTGAACTTTCGTTGTCAGTTAACTCCCTTGCATCGGTAAGGTATATAAAATCGCAAGTGCAAACTGTGCGATAGGATAAATAATTATGAATATACAATTTACTGTAAAATATTCAATATTAGCCTCAATTGTAATCAGCATGGATTATTGCAAAACGTAATGGATATTACTTTTGAAAGTCAATACAGTATTTGAACTTGAATCGATACATGGGTAGTCATATCATTATTATATTGTAACATCGCTATACGTTGGTGAATCGTGACACCCCTAGGACATGGCCTGCTGATGTTTGTCCCTGGTCTTGTGGGCTTACTGGAGAACAAGGGACATTATTTTCAACATTTAAACTACCTAAAAAATTTGTGGACAGTACATGTTGTTATTCCATGCTTAATGGTACAGAAAGAAGAGGGTATTTGTAACACTGTTGATCAGATGATTGTTTCCTCTACTTTGTGATACAGTGAGGATGTAGAATCTGTTACAATTCCAAGCCTAAACCAGAGCCAGGCTAATGTGTTAGCAACCATCTTCTAACCATAAAATAACTGATATTTAAGAATTTAATGAATATTTAATCAATACCCTGCATTGAGGGAGGTATAAATGTAACAAATGGTGTCTAAACTGTATAAATCCATGGAATAATGAACAAACAATATCAGCCAATCAGGAAACAGTTGTCCATTAGTGGGAGTGGCTAAAAAACATTTCATGGAAACATAAACGGAAAACAATATTTGCTTGGTTCGCCAATCAAATGCCATAGAGGCACTTGCAATTTGTTATTTAATATCCTTGGACATATTGACTAGATGATGAATCTTGTTTTCAGATATGACTTGCTGTGTCTGGAGGGGCTTGTTCGTGGACTACAGGTCTTTCTGGAGAAGTAAGTGGCTTGTTGTCACTCTTGGACAGAAGTGTATTTATTGTTATGATTATAAAAAAAAAAGGTCTTTCTTGAAAATGCAGTTGTCTTGAGTGTTACTAGTATTGAAATGTATGACACTAAAAAATGACACAGGAAAGATTCTGAATTAATTGCAGAAAATGTTCATTTGTTCTCATAATTGATGTTAATTACTTCAATGTTTGCATGTTAATCACATGCCATCAACATCCTTATTCGGACAACAATGATAATATTAAGATGCTCACTGGAACAGCAGGTTCAAATGGTGACATATCCTATTTTCAGGATGAAAGCTCCACGATACAAGGCAGTGGCTCCCTCTAGTGGCTCGATGCAGCAGCTGATTATATTACCAGATGTATGTACATATGTTGTCAGTGGGAGAAGTTATTAGTTCAGGGTTCATCTAAACCTGCTCAGAGGCAATTGTTAAGGCTAATAGTGGGGCGGTCAGGTGGCCTAGTGGTTCAAATGTTCGCTCGTCACGCCGAAGACCCGGTTTCAATTCCTGACATGGGTACAATGTGTGAAGCCCATTTCTGGTGTCCCCCGCTGTGATATTGCTGGAATATTGCTAAAAGCGGCGTAAATCCATACTCACTCACTCACTAAGGCTAATAGTCTGCAGCAACTGTCGGTAAAAAACCCAAATTGGAATCAAAATTTCCCCAAATTCATGTTAATATAGTTATTGCTTATGTTGTGGAGGTGACTTGTATATCACTGATAACATGAACAATGAAGCGGAAGAGGTTTAAATGCTTAGTTTTAAATTTTGCACTGAATGCAATGTTAAAATACATCAGAATTTAGGCTAATATGAACTATTGGAAGAACCAATTTTTTAAGAAAATATTGATTTTCCCCCCAATTTGCCTGTCCTACATAAAAATCTGTATCTGCTTGATGGATAGTATTTCTTGCAAACCTTGTATTGTTTTGCTATAATAACATGCATATTGATGATTGAAGTCAAAGTCATTCAACACACGTTTCAGCTTGTTTTGTCAGTGTCTGTTACCAGCTCAAACTAGCGACACTCTATTGTACTGTTTCCGTGGTCTTGTGGTAGAGCGTCCGCCCGGAGAGCGGAAGGTCCGGGGTTCGATCCCGGGCTGCGTCATACAAAAAGACGTTAAAAGATTGTACTTGTTGTTACCCTGTCTGGCGCTCGGCATTAAGGGGCTAAAACAAGGACTGGTCGGCTCGGAGTCAGTATACTGTGTCTGAGTGGGGTATTCATGTTAAACTGCGGCATGGTATCTCAGTGAGCTAGCACTATAAATCGGCATCAGTCCGGACTAGTACAAGCAGCCACACACACACATACACGTGCATGCACGTCGCTATATAAGTGCAATAATCCTGGACGCGATGTTAAACCCAATTTCACCTCACCTCACCTATTGTACTGTTACAGACTGCCAGAATTCGACCGTATGCTGTTGCAGCCACTCTGAGAAACATAAAATTTACACCAGTAAGTATACCAATATACCTTCACAAAGTGTAAGCTGAAGAAATAAAATCAAGATATTTTTTATTTTTACAGATGACCTTGGACACTAAGGCCCACTTGCACAAGGACATCTCAGCACTACGATGCCATAACTCCCATACTTTAACATGGACTTACAGTGGTCGTAGTGCTGAGATCTGTTTGTGCAAGTGGGTCCTGGTTAACTTTGTCTGGTGAATAGATGACAAATGCTGAAAGAATTATCCTTATTTACAAGGAATTACCTGTAGCTTGTAAGATATTGTATGGTACTTGACCCTCTGACCAAGGTTATAATTGGTCCTCTATTGCTAGATGATATGGCTGTAATATTGCCGATGTGACGTAAAGCATTAACTCACTCACTCACTCTATTGCTAGTCGAAAGAGATTGAGTGAGAAGTCTCTGTGACTTAGTTGATTGCGTGTCAGTGTATCCGACAGTGTGGATCGGGGGGGGGGGGGGGGTCGGCACAATAGAAAACAGTTTTATTTGAATCAAGTGATACTTGCAGGCCGCTGTCATGTTGCTAGAGTATCGCCGAGTGTGGTGTTAAACAACAAACACACATGATAATGATTCATCACTGAGCTAACTGCTGTATCATTTCAGGAGAATTACAGGAACTTCATCGACCTCCAGGAGAAGCTTCATCAGAACCTCTGCAGGTTTGTTCTTCCAGCGTTGTTGCCCTTGACCTTGCTGACTGGGATTTTTGCAAATTTCTTGTAACAATAAAACCTCTTAGAGTTGAGTTGTGAATCTTCATTTTGAGAGAGACTTGTTCATGAAGTAATGTGTGAGAACTTTTCAAATGTTCAGTGAAGCAAAGACATATTGTATGTACGTCCGTGAGTGAAGGATAAAATTGGCTGACCGAAAACAGGACGATCGTCATCGAGCAAGTGATCGCCGACTGTTGACTGAACTTCATGAATGGGATCGTCATCCTTTGTTGGATTGTACACGATCATGGGATCGACAAATTGACAGATCTCCACACGTCACAATTATTTCATGCCTTAATACCTCGTATAACATAATTTGTTTTTTGTAGCCATTTGCAAAATATTTAAAAAAAATCGAATATGCATTTTCAAAATGTGTCATTATATTATATTCATATGTCTGTGTTGTTGACAATTAATAACATAATGCTCCTGTAATGTATTTGCAGGAGAAGAACTCTGGTTGCTATAGGTACACATGACCTTGACACCATCCAGGGACCTTTCACCTTCAATGCCAAACCACCAGCAGAGATCAAGTTCAGGGCCCTGAACCTGGACACTGAGATGACAGCCCCAGAAATAATGGAGAAGTTTTCGGTGAGATGTGCATTGCTATTATTGGTGACAGACTTTGTTTGTTTGTTTGTTGTTTGATGATGCACTCAGCAATATTCCAGCTGTATGATGGCGGTCTTTAAATAATCAAGTCTGGACCAGACAGTCCAGTGTTTGATATCATGAGCATTGATCGATTGGGATATGATGACATGAATCACCCAATCCAGTTAGTCACCTTTTACGACAAGCATAGCCGCCGTTTACGACAAGCAGGAGTTGCTGAAGACCTATTGTAACCTGGATCTTCAGGGGTATTGTCTCTTGTTGGCGTTATGGAAGTCAAATGTCTTAAGCTTCACTGTGTGTACTTGTTAAGTTTTGTATATTTTGGACGGAACACGTCTGTCAGAAATATGAACAGTAAAAAGATGTTCTATATAACATCATCCCGAGACAAGAGAGTTTACTGACTATAAAAGTCCAGTTTCCACCCTTACCGAACTTGGCTGTGCATTGGACAGTCCAATCAAAATCGCCCACCGAAATCAAAATCCGGTTCGTAAACTAACATGCAGATATAAGGTCCCTAAATACAATGTTTATTCCTAATGCAGGATATTTACCATCCCCAGACACACTCGCGTGATAACCTCTATTTACGTCAAATATTATTACAATTTACGTTGTTATTACAATTCACGTCAAAATTATTACAATTTGCTGCAAGTATTACAATTTACCGTTTTATTACAATTTACGTCGTAACAAGGGTGCTCACGTGATTTGATGCACTTCGCGATGTAAGACCTGTTTTATGACAATATAGATCTTGATTATCGATCAAGTCTTGACTGGGCACTGCCATTTTGTTTAAAGCAAATGCAAGTGATACGAGAGGTGGAATCTGATTGGTCCATAGGAGAGGCATAGAAGGGACATAACTCGTAATAGCCACTGGCGCTACGATCGAGCCCAGGAATTCCAGCCTAGTTGGGCAAGGGTGGAAACTGGACTTTTAAAGTCAGTTAACTCCCTTGCCTCGGGAAGATGTCTGTATCATTGCACCCCATCACTATTCCAAGTTGGAACAGGCCCCAAGCAAACTAAGTGGATCAGTTGGTCAGACTCGGTGACTTGGATGATTGTGTTTTACTGATATTATCAATCACTGGATTGTTTGGTCCAGACAAACTTATTTACAGGCCACCATCATATAGCTGGAATATTGCTGAGTGCAGCATTAAAAAAATACATATTATTACCAAGGCATTTTTAGAATTTAAAGATTTTGTTTCTTCCTGCAAAATGTGATAGTTATGGAATGTGATGTGAGCTCATGAAATGATATTGATTTCCAGAACAAAGTCTGGCAGTGGCCGCTGTGATGATGTCAGAGATTGTTTAATTGTGCTACAATGGCTACAGATTTCAAACATATATATTCCTTTGGAACAAGATATAGCCTGAAAATGCCAGATACACACTCTTTCCTCAATCGTCTTTACAATCAGATCTGAGTTTTCTCTACTGATAGACATCCCATTACAGGTCACGTCAGAACGGCCTTTCACAAACTTTGACAGACCAGTGAAATGCCAATCCGAAACCAGCTTTCTCAAACTATACGGCTCTCGTTTCAAACAGGCCATTTCTGTTCGAGACTACTTTGAGAATTCAAAAAGTCTTTTTTGATTCAAAATTTGAAAACTGAACAATAGAACATTTTTTTGGAACAATGTCTAATAGATGGCTGAGATTGTACGGCAGTACTTCCCACGGGCATTGTAAAGTCTCTTCTGTTCAAATGTTTATCAAATTGAAGCGAGAGACAGGCGATGATTTGATGGACTCAGTTGTATAGCCCGTAACTGTCCATAGGAATACTCCATGTTGACCTTTTCGATGTTGCATGATTGAAAATCTCTTTCTGAATGTCACTTTCCTGGCTAGTGATGCTCTGATTGATCGGATTAATGGTCATTCTGAAGTGACCCTTAATGAGATGTCCTCAGATCTTTATCAAGCAGAGCGAGAACAAAATGATTTTAATGACATTGATCTTTCCTGCACATCAAATCCCAATGTTGATGTTTCAGACTGACAGTCACTTGAAGGGTTATCTTCCCATCATTCGAGACTCTCCTGTCTACCCCGTCATCTACGACCAAAACAACGTGGTACTCTCCATGCCTCCTATAATCAATGGTAATGTCATAGACCTGGGTAGCTGATATGTAGCAAGTCTGTCTGTCACCCTGCACAGACATGTCATTAATAGAAAAGTTCAGTAAACGTGAAGCATTTACAAAAAACATTAAAGGTAAAATATGAAATTACATTTGTTTTTAATTTCAGACGTAAATTGGTTAGTTTTGAATTTATTATTGCAAGTACAATATAAACAAAAAATATATAAAAAAACACTTTTTCATGAATGCTCCATTTTTACAAGTTTTCTTACTATTCTGTGAAAAGTTAAGTTGAAGTCTCGTGAACATGGAAAATAGGTGGCCACACATTTACCAGTGTGACACAACCATACAATATGAATGTGTTGCCCTGTGGTCTTACAACACTATGTTATATCAACCACTTTCCAATAATTATAATAGGGGCGATAAGGTAGCCTAGTTGTTAAAGCGTTCTCTCGTCACGCCGCAGACCCGGGTTTGATTCCCGACATGGGTACAATGTGTGAAGCCCTTTTTTGGTTCCCCCGCCGTGATATTGCTAGAATATTGCTAAAGGGGCGTAAAACCTTACTCACTCACTCATTCACTCAATAGTTATAATAAGTTTTCAAAGTTAATTCTTGTTGCCAGTTGTAGTATGAATAATTGGGACATATCGCCTTCCCCCGTCATAACAATACCCCCATTGTCTATACTACTGTAGTATTCTATATGATACACAGAGAAGTTAAGTACAGTTCAAAGTTGTCAAGTTAAAAACCTCAGGACAATGAAAATAAGTTGTATGACTATATCCGTAATTTGAAACAAGCAGTGTGCACATGTAACACCACTGTGTCACAAGGATTCTGCAAGAAATTCAATTCTTTTAAGTGATATAGGCTATGGAGTAGCCAAGTGATTAAAGCATTAACTTGCTGCACTTAAGGCCGGTGTTTGATTCCCACCATGTAGGAAGCCCAGTTCTGGTGTCCCCTGCCATACCACTGGAATTCTGCTAAAATGTGTAAAACCATTCTCAGTCATTTAAATGATGTGTCAAGTCTATGGAGTCTCAGATAAACAAGATTTCACTGTCAATAGAAATGTGGATAAAACTTTAAAATTTAAATGTTCGTTTCTTACTGGCCAGGGTTAAAGCGTTCGCACGTCATGCCGAAGACCAGGGTTCAATTCCCGACATGGGTGCAATGTGTGAAGCTCATTTCTGGTGTCCCCTGCCGTGATATTGCTGGAATATTGCTAAAAGTGGCGTAAAACCTACTGGCCAGTACTTATAATGTTCCTAAAATTTACAGTGTCATTTTCCTACTGTCAATAAAAATGTCAACTTCAAACTTTTTAATTTCATATTCCTGCTGGTTTGTGTATTGTTCCCAACAAAATGTTCACAACAGTAATTTTTGATGAGAATCTTTGTGATGTTTGTAACTGATATGGGGGCACGGGTGGCCCAGTCGTATAAGGCGCTGCGATTCGCTGTGCAGAGTTGTGTCCCTTGGGCACGCCAGAAACCTATGATTGTGGGTTCGAAACCCGGTTCGTCCCGATTTTGTTTCTAGGTTTGTCAGCACCATACCCGTACTTGGGTTTCACCAAAGTGGTAAACGTCTGAGACCTGCATCACTTCAGGCTTTCCTCCCACATTAAGCTGACACGCCGTGATATACCTGGAATACTGTTAAAAGCAGCGTAAAAAACAACTCACTCACTCACTTTTAACTGATATTGTCCTTCCCTGCAGGTTTTCACACAAGGATTACCCTGAACACACGGAATGTGTTCATCGAGGCAACGGCAACAGATCTGTACAAGGCGCAGGTCACTCTGGACTCACTGGTCACCATGTTCAGTGAATACTGTGCGGAACCCTTCACGTAAGATTGCCTTGACATGTAGCAGGAGGTATCATGCTCATATAATGGGTCCCGTGAAGATCTGGTTTAGATTAGGTCTTCAGCAACCGATGTTCGTTGTAAGAGGCGACTAACGGGATCAGGTGGTCAGCATCACTGAATTGGTTGATGCATGTCATCACATCCCAATTGCGTAGATCGATGCTCATGATGTCAACCACTGGATTGTCTGGTCCAGACTTGATTATTTACAGACAGCCGTCATATCGCTGGATATTGCTGAGTGAGGCGTTAAACAACAAACAAACAAACAAACATAACAGAATCTGGTCCTGTGGGGATTCCGGGTAATAATCGGTCCCCAGCAACCTCTGCTGGTTGTCAAAGATGACCTAATGGATCAGCTGGTCTTGGTTGACAGTGTGTCGTCATATCACAATATCAATTCCTGGGTTGTCTGGTCCAGACTCAGTTATTTACATACATACTGCCATCATATTGCTGAGAGTGACATAACAAACAAACAAACAAACAAACAAACAAACAAATAGATTCAGTATTCCAGATCCTTCATATTTGCCCTGATTCTGGGTTAGAATAGGTTCCCAACAACCTATACTGATCGTAAGAGGTGACCAAATGGATTGGGCCGTCAGACTGAGTGACTCAATTGATGGCATGTTATTGTACCACAATCACTGGATTGTCTGGTCCAGACTGGATTATATACAGGCAGCTGTAATACAGCTGGAATATTGCTGAGTGTGTTGTTAAAACAAGCAACAAACGTAGCGTAGTCCTCTTCTGAGAATTTGATATTAATATTTTACAATTTTCAGTGTTGAAAGTGCAGAAGTTGTGAATCCAGATGGTTCTAAAGTCGTGTATCCGGTAAGCGTATACATGTAATCAGATACTTTTGGACATGTCACATCGATAACATTGAATTAATAATTGTGATAGAAGTGAAATATTTCTTAACTTCAATACTTGCATCATTAGCCAAGGCTTTTGTCTTTTTAACACAGTAAAAAGGGGCGGTCGGGTAGCCTAGTGGTTAAAGCTTTCGCTCGTCACGCCGAAGACGATTCCCGACATGGGTACAATGTGTGAAGCCCATTTCTGGTGTCCCCCGCCATGATATTGCTGGAATATTGCTAAAAGCGGCGTAAAACCGTACTCAGTCACTCACTTTAACACAGTAAAGGTATATACTGATACACAGTTACTAGGAACAGGTTGTTTAATTGTATTTCACATGTTGTATATTTCAGTTGTTGACATATCGTCATGAGACTATTGATGTCCAGGAAACCAATAAGCGAGTTGGAATAAAGTAAGCATGTTCACCTGTTTGATTTGATGGCACATCTGAAACCTGGAAGTGCTTGTCTGCTGATACAGAATTGTGGGAAATCAGACAATGTCATAGGGAATACAGCATCGTTACATGAAGCTGATTCAGTAAATGTGGAATCACATCCAGCTCCCTCCCTTCCCCCCCCCCCACCTCTCACTCACTCTGACCCAAGAAGATCTGGATTAGAATAGGTATCCAGCAACCCATGCTTGCCTTAAGAGACAACTATGATTGTCGTAAGAGGTGACTCACTAGATGGGGTGGTCAGGTTCGCTGACATGTCATCGTATCCCGTACATTGATGCAGATGATGTCAGTCATTGGATAGTCTGGTCCAGACTCAATTATTTACAGATTGCTGTCATGTAGCTGGAATATTGTTGATTGCAGCGTTAAACAACAAACAAACAAAACAATCTCTCCCTCCACACAATCACTCCCCACTACTCACTCACTCTCGACCCACCTACTCACCTACCCAATGTTTACGATGTGATCAAATATTGATCCTACCATGGGGATTCCAGGTAAGAATTGGTCCCCAGCCACCTATGCTGCTCGTAAAGGCAGCCAAATGTATCGGGTGGTCAGACAAGGTGACTTGGTTGATAGCGTGTCAACATACCCAGGCGAAATGGACAGTTGGTCACAATATTGATCACTGGATTGTCTGGATGGACTTGACTATTTACAGGCTGTCATGTACCTATTAAAGAAATAAGTGACGAGTGGGAGTTGTTTATAGTGCAATTCAACACTGCAGGGAGAATAAACCATGACGGGACCAACCCCAAGTGGTTTATTCCTCCAGCAGTGTTTTTTTGCATGATAAACAACGACAGTGAATCATTTATTTCTTACATGAGATATCAATATTTTGTACAGCCTTTTTAATGATGTCAATAAAATGTAAATGCTTCAAAAACATTTACTCATATTTAAATAATGATAACTCCCTGAATACAATTTGACCTCAACAATGTTCGACAAGTCCAATTTATTAACAGTTTGGTATTTGGATATTCTCACAATTTTCAAGTCAATTGTCTGTAGCTTTTCTTCCAAAACCGATTGTCATATCTTTCCCACTTTTGAATGCGATCGTTCAGCCATTGTGTTTATCTGCATTGCCCAGCTACATCTATGGGGAACAAGTCACGAGACACTTCCCTCTAAAACAAAATGTCGTCCAATTAACGACGTCATCAAGTTGCCGTTGCATGTTCGAATCTCCAGAAATGATGTTATGATATAACAATGTTTTGTTATGAAATAAACCATGCTTCATTCTTCATTGTTCTTTGCGGTTTATGGTGTAGCTATCTGAAATATTCAATTAATGCAATGATAATTAAATATAGTTGCTTCATAAAAATGCTTTATGTTATAAGTTATAACATATTCTCATTGGAGGGAAGTTTGAATGATGTAATCCTCTTTCAGCCTTGAAGCAGAGAAAATGGCAAGACTGTTGACGAAGATGTGTTTAGAGAGCGAGGTTGTGGACAATGGCAAGACCATCCGAGTCGAGATCCCGCCCACCAGAAGTGATATCCTTGTCTCAGCAACTATTGTACACGTTGTATTTATATGATATGTATCTAGAAAGTATGGTTTTGGTACAAGCACATGATTTAATGCAGGAAATCATGAAATCAACAAATGGACTCTTGTGCTGACACTTTACCTAAAGTGTGTAATGAAATTAATATGATTCGCCCTATTTTGAAATTTACAAATTAACAATAGTGCTGACAGTAGCCTTAAGAGTGTCATGAAAGTAGTATGAGTAGCCCTGTTTTTTTAATTTACAGGCAACCACCTAGGCAAACACACACCTGTGACAGAGCATATTTCAGTTATCAGTGAAACTCCGTGTTTGCACATCTTCCAAAATGCCAGGACTTTTGAACTTCCCTGAGAAGTGTTGCAATGGCTTGAACTAGTTTCTGTACAAGACAGGGATGAATTGTTGAAGTATATGAACTTTATTTAGTTGGAAAATAGGCAATTAAGAAATGGCTTAGGCTAAAAAAGATGATAGTCTTGGTTCTCAGACAATGTCGCATCATCAAAAAGTCTGCTGCACGGTTCGTTTTTATTTCCATTTAATTTTTTTTATTAATAATCCTAATACTTTAAAGCAATGCGATCCAATAAAGCACACAGTTACCTCCCTTTACATGGGCACTGCTTTACTGTGTATCTCGTGTTATGGTCATGGCGTCAATAGGGGTTTGTATGCTTGTTTATGTCAGGAGGCCCTTTCCCAGGTTGATGGTACACAACTGTTTATTTGGTTACATACAAGTTTGAACAAGCAAAATAAAGACCAAAAAAAACACCGCCTGCCCGCACTATATTTTCAAAAGTCATTGCCTGAGGACCAATTCTTTTATTTTTTTAAGCCTTAAGATGACCTAGGTTTTATGTAGCACTTGCCATAGTTAATGTTTTGGTGGAAAATAGCCATTAGAAACATGTTATGATTTTGACAATGTCATTGGATTACCTTGGAAATTAAAGGCTTGTTATTTGTTTGCATTTTGTCCCCTCAGAGACACACAGTTATCAATGTGTCCTGTGATACTCCAGATCTGTTGTTATGATGACTTAACTCTCTGCACATGTGATCCATGCATGTGACATCTACGAGGACGTGGCTATAGCATATGGCTACGACAACATAAAGATGACAGTTCCCAACTGCAACACCATCGGACATCAGTTCCCCATCAACAAGCTGACGGACCAACTCAGATACGAGGTCGCATCCTCAGGGTTCACAGAGGCGCTCACTTTTGCTTTGGTGAGTAGGTGGCCTTGGAAACATTTCACAGTTCCCATTTGTCTGAACATTGACACCAAGAACACCAGTCTTGTCAAATTAGTAAACACTGGTGCTGTTCCATAAAGTCATGTTAAAACTAGAGGGCACCGGTGGTACAGTCCATGAAGGTGACGCAATTCATCTTGCAGAATTCTGTCACTTTGGTTTACCAGAAATTTGTGATTGTGGCTAATCCAGATCCGTCCTGATCCATTCTCATTAAAATCAGATCTTAGTTCTCGCTATCGCCTTGTCACTAAACAAAGATCTGAGGACATCCCATTACGGTTCACATCAGAATGACCTTTCATCCAACCAATCAGAGCGTCGCTTCCCAGATCATGAAAGCGACAGTAGGAATGTGTTTTCTAATCATGCAACCATGATATATTAAACACTGGGTATTCCGAACGACAGACACAGGTTTTATGATAATATCCATACAATCTAGGCCATCTAAAAGCCATTCTAGAATGTTCTTCTTATCAGTTTTAAAATTTTTAATCGAGAATACGTCAAAATATGTTTCGAAGCGTAGTCGCCAGTTTGAAACTAGTGTCGTAAAGCTCAAGAAAGCTGCCTTCTGATTGGCCAATGTCGATTTGTTGTCAAGTCATTTCATTGGTCGGTCAAAATACGTGAAAGGTCGTTCTGACGTGACCCGTAATGGGATGTCCTCAGATCTTTGTTTAGCGGTAGCGAAAACTTAGATCTGATTTTAATGAGATTGGTCCTGATCATGTTTCTAGGTTTGTCAGCACCATACCCATGTTTGTGGGTTTTATCTGTGACCTACATCACTTTGGACTTTCTCCCCAAATCAAGCAGCGACATAGTTCTGTTCAGAGTAAAGTTAAACCAATCAACCAACTAACAAACAAACCATGGCATGGATCGTTGCTCATGCCTTCAGCCACTGGTTGGGTCTTGAATATGATTATTTACAGGTGGGTGTGATAACAGTGATATGGTCATGACAGTTGGGATGTAACTGTGATGCAGCTTATGGCAACATTCTTCCACCCATTCACTCACTCACAGTGAAGATTAAATTTAGCAAATTAACTCGTCATTTTTTGCGTAGTATGCACAAAAATTAGATCTCATATGAATTTCAGTTATCAACGTACAGTGGTGATAATCAAGTATAAAACTGATTGTATGTTCAGTGTTCCCGGGATGATTTGTCGGACAAGATGTGTCGGAAGCTAGAAGACATCCCTGCAGTTCACATCGCCAACCCCAAAACACAGGAGTTCCAGGTACTTGTGAAGCCTTAGGAGGCCATTCTCACCAGGGGGATTATCAATGGCATATTGGAAGTTGCAATGTGAAAGTCCAAAATAGTATGGACATAGTATTAGTCAAAAACAGTATTGACATACCTGATATCTACTTGACTATTTTATCATTGGTATGTATAAGTTCTACCCTTACTCTTTTAGATATTTGGGTGGGAAAAACAAGACAATATACTTTTAACAACTCACAGTTTAGACCAAAGATATGATATGAAGAATGGTATAACGTTGTTGTTCTACTAACAGGATCAGGTGGTCAGGCTCGCTGACTTGGTTGATGCATGTCATCGTATCCCATTTGTGTGGATTGATGCTCATGATATCAATCACTGGATTGTCTGGTCCAGACTCGATTATTTACAGACCGCCATCATATAGCTGGAATATTACTGAGTGCGGCGTTAAACAACAAACAAACAAACAAAATTAGTCAGCTGCAACTTCCACTGTTAACAGTGACCAGTGCTGTTTTTACAAGACATGATTATCTCAACAGGTTGCCCGGACAACCCTTCTTCCTGGTATTCTGAAGACTGTTTACTTCAACAAGAATATGCCGCTACCACTCCGACTGTTTGAGATCTCAGATGTTGTCCTCAAGGACTCACAAACTGGTAAGTTTTTTTCATTTAAAAGTGCAATGAGTTGATATGTAAACAATTTATTTGTTGGTCTTGCCAAGGTGCGTTAATTGTTAGATGTTCATCACAGGCCAGGGACAGTCTGGTAGCCTAGTGGTTAAAACGTTCGCTTGTCACACGGAAGACCCGAGTTTGATTCCCGACATGGGTACAATGTGTGAAGCCCATTTCTGGTGTCCCCCACTGTGATATTACTGGAATATTGTTAAAAGCGGTGTAAAACCATACTCACTCACTCACTCCTACTGGCCAGTACTTACAAAGTTCATCATCATCACAGGCTACCTCACTATCAAACGACCTGTCTCACATCATGTTATAGTTTCCTAGTAACAACAGACAGGGAGACTTGCTATGTGTGTTACCTTCTTGCTTGTTATGTGTGTGAGTGTCTTTTAATGCTGTACTTCGTGATGGCCTGTAAATAATCGAACAAGGGCCAGTTATGTCCAGTGATTGATATTATGAGCAACCATCCACACAATCTGGGTGTGTTGACACACCATCACCCAAATCAACTGATCCATTATGTTGCCTCGAAAAACCATAGGATTTTTTTAATAAATATATTATCTTGGGTATCTTGCTTGTTATAAGGGGTAGAAAATTTAGTGGCAATCAAATTGAATCGGGTGGTCGGACCTGGTTAATTGTTTACAGAACCTGTGTGAACATTGCTCATGATATCAATGACTGGTTTGTCTGGTTCCGACTAGGTTAGTTACAGGATACTGTCATAGAGTTGGAAAGTTGCTGACTGGGCATTAAACAAACATATGATAAAATGCAATTTGGTTTTGTGAAGCCCTGGATTTACTGCTGTGTCTGCGGGTTCTATTCACATTTCATCTTTGTTTATGTCTTGAACATGCTAAACACAGCTTTTCCTGTCTAGGCCACAGGCTACTGTGATGTCACTGATCTATTGTCGACTGCAATGTTGACCACCATTAGGCCATATAAATGTAATTGTAATAAAGAAGTCGTACATAGAACTATCTCCCTTCTTCATCACACCAGCTTCTAAATGCCATTTAAAGAAGTCATAATTTATGATTTATTTGATTTTTGACCAATATTGTTTTTTTAGATGTTGGTGCCAGGAATGAGAGACGTCTCTGTGCTGTCAACTATAACAAGACGGCAGGGTTTGAGGTCATCCACGGACTCCTGGATAGAGTGATGCAGCTGCTGGAGATCACAAGAGATGCCAAGACTGGCTACCACATCACCGAGGCTCAAGGTAGGTCCACACCACTGTTAGGTCCACATCACCGAGGCTCAAGGTGGGTCCACTGGTAGGTCCACATCACTGAGGCTCAAGGTAGGTCCACTGGTAGGTCCACATCACCGAGGCTCAAGGTAGGTCCACTGGTAGGTCCACATCACCGAGGCTCAAGGTAGGTCCACTGGTAGGTCCACATCACCGAGGCTCAAGGTAGGTCCACTGGTAGGTCCACATCACCGAGGCTCAAGGTGGGTCCACTGGTAGGTCCACATCACCAAGGCTCAAGGTAGGTCCACTGGTAGGTCCACTGGTAGGTCCACATCACCGAGGCTCAAGGTAGGTCCACACCACTGTTAGGTCCACATCACTGAGGCTCAAGGTGGGTCCACTGGTAGGTCCACATCACCGAGGCTCAAGGTAGGTCCACTGGTAGGTCCACATCACCGAGGCTCAAGGTAGGTCAATCTTTTAGGTCTACATCACTGTTAGGTCCACATCACTAAGGCCCAAGGTAGGTCATTTGGTAGGTCCACATCACTGAGGCTCAAGGTAGGTCCACTGGTAGGTCCACATCACTGAGGCTCAAGGTAGGTCCACTGGTAGGTCCACATCACTGAGGCTCAAGGTAGGTCAATCTTTTAGGTCCACATCACTGTTAGGTCCACATCACCGAGGCTCAAGGTAGGTCCACATCACTGAGGCTCAAGGTAGGTCCACTGATAGGTCCACATCACTGAGGCTCAAGGTAGGTCAATCTTTTAGGTCCACATCACTGTTAGGTCCACATCACTGAGGCTCAAGGTAGGTCCACTGGTGGGTCCACACCACTGTTAGGTTCACATCACTGTTAGGTCCACATCACTTAGGCTCAAGGTGGGTCCTCCACATCACTGAGGCTCAAGGTGGGTCCACACAACTGAGGCTCAAGGTGGGTCCACACCACTGTTAGGTCCACAGCACTGAGGCTCAAGTGGGTCCACACCACTGTTTGGTCCACATCACTGAGGCTCAAGTGGGTCCACATCACTGTTAGGTCCACATCACTTAGGCTTAAGGTGGGTCCTCCACAATCACTGAGGCTCAAGGTGGGTCCTCCACAATCACTGAGGCTCAAGGTGGGTCCTCCACAATCACTGAAGCTCAAGGTGGGTCCTCCACAATCACTGAGGCTCAAGGTGGGTCCTCCACAATCACTGAGGCTCAAGGTGGGTCCTCCACAATCACTGAGGCTCAAGGTGGGTCCTCCACAATCACTGAGGCTCAAGGTGGGTCCCCTGGTAGGGTCCACATCTCTCAGGCTGGGAAGGTTCACATCACATAGGATGGTGCCAATGTCTTTTCAATGTATGTTACGTTTTAATAACAATACTAATACATCAACATTCTCAGATTACTCAATTGCATTGCATCCCTCCCTTGATTCAAAACAAGAACCTAACTTGTTGATCTCAGAACAATTTTGCCTTTTATGTTCCAGACCCAGGTAGCTTCTGCTTGTCGTAATAGGCGTCTAATGGGATCGGGTGGTCAGGCTCGCTGACTTGGTTGATGCATGTCATCGTATCCCAATTGGGTGGATTGATGCTCATGATATCAATCACTGGATTGTCTACTCCAGATTCGATTATTTACAAACTGCTATAGTTGCTGAGTGTGACACATACCAATTCTGTTTTCCAGATCCTTCATATTTCCCTGGAAGATGTGCGGAGATTCTTGTTTGCGGCAAGTCAGTTGGAAAGTTCGGTGTGCTACACCCAGACGTTGTCACTAAGTTTGAACTGAATATGCCCTGTGCAGTGCTGGACCTGAACATCATGCCATTCCTCTGATCCACACCACATCGTAGATGCAATCAAGTTCAGTTTAAATTCAGGGTTTCTTCTTTTTTTTTCACTTTCTAATGAAGCTAACTAGTGGTCTCATGGTGGCCACAGTTTATACTATGCAGCACTATTGGGATCATTTGTGAAGCTCAACTGCCAGCAGGGACTGGTCTGGTGGTACACCTTGGACCATTCTATTCTCATTAAAATCAGATCTTAGAAAGCTGACATCTTTAGAAAGCAGGAACCAAGACATTTAGATTGGGTGGTTAAATTTCGTTCAGGGTCAACCTGATGCGACCTCATATGGAAGTGTTCTTAGAATAAACAATTTTATTGATAGTGATATTTTAGTGATATTTGGATCACTTTCACACTATCGGCCACTCTAGGGTCCATTACTCATTGTAGTTTGACTATGGCAATCTGTGTCAAAAACAGTTAAACCTACTAACCTGAACTGACATCATTGCCAGTGGATGTTCGTGTCAATTGTTAATATGAGAACATTTATTTGCTTATAAGACCAAAGAGATTTGAGCAGATCGGAGCTCTTGACTGTTGGCTCAAGTCACAGACAGCTTTGGTTTAGAGGATCATTCATGATCTTTACACTAGTGGTGATGACTTGGTCTTGAGAATGATGACATGAGGATGGACCATGCTGCTGGTCATGTGATCTTACCATGGATTCAAGCACCTGCAGGACCAACAACAGAAACCTCGTCTGTGACACCTGGAGCTGATCCAGCAGTTGTAGTTTACGTAATGAAGGGTACGCTGGAGAAGATTCCAGGTTATAATAGGAACACAGAAACTTATGCTGGTCATATGACGGAATTAATCTGTTGTCAGAGTCTGACTTGATTGTATGTTATCTTACCCCAACTGGTGGGATGTTGCTCCTAATATCAATCACTAGTTTGTCAAGACTTGTTTCTCTACAGGCCACTGTGATACAGTGAAACAATACATAGAATGAGCATTAAGCCTTAAGAAATTTATTATAAGCTTTTCTTTCAAATATTTAACAAATGTGGGACTTTACTTTTTATGTATAAATGGTGAATTACATCACGCAGAGAAAGAAGGGAATACTTGGGGATAAAAAATGATGTAAGGTGGGCAGGGGTGAACGTCCACTATTAAAAGATGATTAATTTATTAGTCCCCTTCTTAGAATACGAGACAGCACCCCCACAGAATTCTACCTCTAGACATGAAGTCATGTGTAGCTCCTTGCTTCTCTCGCAATCCAGGGTTGTCACGATTCTTTGACCATTGTTTGAAATTAAGGATGAAAGTGAAAAAAGCTTATAGGTTTTCAAAATATAATAAAATCATGGACCAGTGACACAAAAAAGAAGTGAACAGCCCCACCCATCTGTACTGAAGGAAAAAATTCAAAATGTCAATCCCTTGATCCGCCTCTTAGAAGTGTGTCAAGCTTCTCTTTGTTGCCGGGTGACCCGACTGTGGTGAGACATATCTCATGGTGACAGAGTACTGGTATATATCGTCACAGCCCTTGATCATAGTCTTCAGGAAGATATCAACACTAACAGCCTAAATATATCATGACAGCTGTTTGTGATTCTCTTTGTCAGCTTCTTCAAGGTTGCTTTCACATTAACTCCAGTGGATTAAAACTGATATTAAAGTTTCTCATGAGTTATTCATGCTATGTGTCCTTGTACCATTTGCAGTAACTGGAGTGCAGTCATGGAGTAGTATCTGGGACCATCACTTGAGTACTCGTATTTCAGGATAAAATGCTTCATATTGTGTTCAAGTCTTTCTCAGTTAATGTCAATACTTATTGTGCAGATTGTGAGATTATTTTGAAGGATAAAATTTTGAGGCATTGTAACATTTGAAAAAGAATCAAGTTGGGAAATATTTTTTTTTAATTGTCCTGTTTTATGGTTACCGTATTCGACGTAATAAGCGCCCAGGGCGCTCTCAAAATTAGAAATAGGGGGCTCTTATTAGAATATTATTTTGGTGAAAGATAAAGTTCGTGGTTTATGGTGACAGCCTGAAATGTTTATGTACGACAGATATATATATTTTCCTAGAATTTAATTGCCCGTAATTAAGGGTGCATATAACACACGAGTGTGTATTATACGCGAATGAATAAGTCTTGTGTCCATTGATCAATTGGAACGGGAGCTAATTGGGATTGTTCACCAGCCAATATATCAGCAAATATTGCCATGGGCGGTTATTAGAACGGGGCGCTTATTACGTCGAATACGGTAATATGTCATTTGTTGTTGTTGGTGCACTGAAATGAGTAAAAAAGATATAATAGGATAAGAAAAGACACCAACAAGTGGATGTTTGTAAACATTAATTGAAAAGCTGGTCTCTGCCAACTGTAGCTATGAACTGATCCAGATGATAGATCCCAACACCACAGAGAGCAAAATCAGGAATTGCTGGAAGCACTCGTTTGTTTAAGACAATTTACCTCCCTCCATTTGTTGGTCAAAAGAAATTTGATTTGTCCTTTTGTTTTGTCTTCATAAAGGTTTTCCAGTGGTAATTATGTTTGAATGTTTGTGTCTTTTTCTGAGGGCCATGAATGTTTTGTGAACATTGTAATGTGGCTTCATGTCAAGACATATTTTCCACGTTGGGATCATGTCTATAATTTAATGAAAAATGGAATGGGCAAAACATGTGAAATACTAATAAATAACCATGAAATATTGCCTTTGTTTTTGTTTTCAGTTAATATGAATAAAGATTAATTATTTTTTATAAGATAAAACATTACAACTTATACTTTGGACAACAGAATCACTTCCATGAGAGGCGATAGATAGTAAGACCTGAGGTCTCTTCTCAAGGGTTTACAATACCAAGAATTACCAAACAGGAGTGTTTTATCCAGCTTAGATCCCTACAAATAAATATGAAGTATGCCAGAATAAATTGAGAAATATGTCAAATATCACGTGGAAACAAATACTCCAGTTGTTGATCCTTTTGATGCGGAAGTATATAGCATGTCATTGCTTGCATCTCCAAATACAGAAAACACAAGATATTCTCATAATTATTTATTGCTTTGGAATGTCCATAAAATAACACCTGAAACATAGTCTAATATGTTGATTCACTTTAACAATAAGTAAATACAAACCATACATAGAAAAATATCACAGATATGACAATGTCAAAAGTTCACATTATTATTTCACAGTTTTGTAGTATTTTAAATATCAGTTCACTTGTGGACGGATGAACACAAATCATGTTTGAAAGAAGACGAGAGTTGATGGCATCCAGCAGTGAATCTGTCAACATATTTCTTTCTCTGCATTTTCAGTCTCAATGTTGTCACAGACATTCGCATATCTCAGGCCAAAAAAACAAGTTTCCAATTTCAGCACTCATGTTAAGCGGCTTTAGCCCATTCAAAAATAGGGTCGGAAGGTCAGAGTATTTTTAAGGTTTATTTATGTTTTTTCTTTGAAATACCTGCCTTCAAATGACAACTCAGTTACAATGCTTTGAACACTTTGAATCTGTTCAGTGAAGCATAACAAATTCAGACTTTTGGCATAAATTATTGACAATACTGGAATGGTGATAAATTGGTCCAACATGGGGAAAACAAATATCTGGAAACCGGAAACATTTGTTTTGACATATTTTCAAACAGCAATCGCTGTTTTCTGTAATAATTTGTCAATCACTTCCAAAGTCTCCCAAGCGGACTTCTCTGGTGTACAGGCACAGATCAAGACACTTCTGTTGATGACCAAATTCCTCAGAATGTTCATACATGTGCTCTCTGAGGACTTCAGTCAGTGCTATGGTGCTGGTCACTCTGTGATGACCATGGCCCTGACGATGACCTTGTACTGTTCGGTGACGTCCCCCTTCAGTGTGACGATCACTGAGCCTTCTGTGGGGACAGTGGGCTGGTGGCAGAAACATGGGTATCAACAAACCAAAGATGTGAACACATGATGTGAAAGATGGAGTCATGGAATAAGTGAGTGAGTGAGTGAGTATGGTTTTACGCCGGTTTTAGCAATATTCCAGCAATATCACAGCGGAGGACACCAGAAATGGGCTTCACATATTGTACCGATGTCGGTAATCGAACCCAGGTCTTCGGCGTGACTAGGTTACCCGACCGCCCCCATGGAATAGTGATCAGCTGGGAGGTCAATGACTTTGGAAATGAAGATTTTGTTATGTTCCCTGATATCGTAATTCAACTTACCGTATTGGACGTAATAAGCTCCCAGGGCGCTCTCAAAATTAGAAATAGGGGGCTCTTATTAGAATATTATTTTGGTGGAAAAAACAGAGTTGAAAGATAAATTTCGTGGTTTGTGCTAATGGCCTGACTGTTTATATACGACAAATATATTTTTCCAGAATTTAATTGCCCATAATTAGGGGGGTATATAACACACGAGTGCGTATTATACGCGAATAAATAAGTCTTGTGTACAGTGATCAATCGGAAGGGGTGCTAATTGGGATTGTTCACTTTCCAATATATAAGCAAATATCGCCGTAGGCGCTTATTAGAGCGGGGCGCTTATTACGTCGAATACGGTAAATCAGAAAATCAAGCTAATGGGAAACATATTTTTGTCAAAAACAAAGACACTTGCTGTTTTCTCAAAGTTGTTTTTGTGAGATTTAGTGTCACATTTAGCTATATAGTCATATCCCTCAAAATCATCCCAAGATTTTAGAAATACATTGATTAATACATCCTCGTCAATCAGTATATTATATACACAGGGGTGAGAATCTTCTGCGAATTTTAGTGACCACAAATTTGTTAAAATCTGATGGCTTCCCCATAAACACCCCAATTTATGGACCATGCTCCACTGCAAAAAAGTTTCAGCTGAAAAGGAAAATATCCAATCTTATCCATGTATACATTAATCCATGAGGATTTTGAGAAATTGTGACTGTTATTTTGATATTTGTTTAATTTTTTGTTGAACACCCCTCAACAATATTCCAGCTATAAGAGGTGGTGTAGTCCATCCTTTGACAAGAATAGGCTGCAGGGGACCTCATGTTGTTGTTTTTAACATTGATGAAGGATTGGTCACATCTCAAGACAAAAAAATAACAACTCTTCGTTCATTTTTAAACAATTATTGTGTCAAATAATCCAATCCTTCTGTCACTTCTACTCACGTCATATCCTGAAGGTGGTGTCCATGTGACAGTGATGGGCTTTCTGCTGCCAGCTTCTATCATTCCCTGTTACAACAAAACAATACACTTACACTATGAGAAACCGGTAATCAACCATGACATTTCCTCACAAAAGCTGTTGGAATAAAAGTTTACCATCAATCCAAACACAAGAGTATTAATATAGCATACTTTAGGGTAGGCTCCTTGGTAAAACAAGAAAATAAATTGATCTCAGCAATGATGTTTGACTGACCCTCTGAGGATCCATGTTGAATCCTTTAGCCTGCAACGACTGCAGGTTCTCGATCTGGAACTCCCCGTTCTGAAACACATACACACAAACAGTGATCAGCATTCTCTGCACTGAAAGCATTCAATATCCAGGGCTCGATTTAACTACAAAAAACTTGCACCAAACTATTATTGCCAAATACAACTTACTATTTATGTCTACACCAAGTGCATGTTAAAAAAAATTAAATTTGACTTACTTTTCAAGTGTCTGGTGCAACAAAGTTTTCATATTAACACGCACTTGGTGCAAGTAAATTCAAGTTTCTTAATTCGAACCCTGCTAGCAGCGATAGCTGGAATATGTTTTTATTACATACTTCAGTGTGAAAGACTGACAGAGCTATTGTCTTTCAAGAGTTACCTCCCCACAAATTATGTACCCTATATCATAAGTGTCTGACTTCCTATTGACTATGACTTTGTTTTTCTCTTCAAAGTATTTCGTTATTAACTGTAAATTTCTCATTTAATTTGTCAATCAAGACTGTTTGTTTTGCAAAGCGACATTTTTTCTTAACCAGAAAGTATTCTTTCGCTTCTAACAACGGTCTCGTAGATGTCAAGAATATTTTTTGTTGAAGTTGATTTTGTAAATGATCACATCCAAGGTGAAAGGTCCCTGTATGTAAGGTAGGGAGAATTTATGTTTCAAGGTTTTACATTTGCAATGAATAATTTAATTTTCTGGTAGACAACATTTCCATGCGGGGAAGAAGATATTTTCACGCCTATAAATGTTATATTTGGGATGACACTTTCTTCGTAAAGTACAAACTCTCGTAACTCATTGGGTGGATTCCCACTCAGGATTTGAACCCACTCTTTGCAGAGTAAGGCACCTTAATACCTGTACTCTTCTCATAAGTGTATTCCCTGTTTCTTAACAAAGTGTTTTTTTCAAGACATCATAGTTACTTCACAAACATTTATTATATTTTGGTGTTTCAAACATGTATGTACATTCTATAACAATTGTTATTATGTAAAAAGTGTTTCGACATTCACATACACAGTATTATTGAGCATACATTTCTGTTGTTTCATTAAGCTTCAGTATTCACTGCACTCAGATGTACGGACACAATAAAAAGCTTTGATTGCATGAAATATAAACACAACAGTTCTACCATCCTCAATCAGCCAGTATATCCCAATTCTTTTGTGATGATTACCCTCGACCATTCGCCACCAGAACTTGGTTTCGGAAGTGACAGCACAGAATTTCTCTCGCTTATCAATTTGTGTGCGTTATAAATGTTTAACACCATATCAGCAATTTTGCAGCTCTCACAGCAATTATTTTTTTGATAACCAATCAAATGCACATGCAAACTCTAAATGTCACTCTAATAAGAGTACTCTTGTCAGTGAACTTTTACTAGGCAAAGATGTTTTCTGGGTATTAAGGGAGAGTGAATCCTTATGTTAACAGACATTTCCAGTGACATGTCTTTGTAGCACATGGGTCTAGAGTATTTAGCACGCTATAATGACCTGTGAAGATCGGAGTAGAAAAGGTCTTCAGCAACCCATACTTGCTATAAAAGGCGACTATGCTTGTTGTAAGAGGCCACTAAAGGGATCGGGTGGTCAGGCTCGCTGACTTGGTTGATGCATGTCATCGATCCCAATTGCGTGGATCGATGCTCATGGATCGATGTTCATGATATCAATCACTGGATTGTATAGTCTAGACTCGATTATTTACATTTAACATTACACCAACCAACCATCACGCTATAATTGAGATATAATAACCTGGCTAATTGAGGATGCAGTTATTCTTGAAGACTGGACTCTGTGACAAGAGGCAGTACAAAACCAAACATTGACTAGCGTGAGACAATATGGTAGTGTTGTGTGGCTGAGTGTAGGTATGGCAACCATATCTCTGTGCTGCTCCCAATAAACAAACTGGATATGGACCTGTGGCTACCGTATCAAAATCGCATAGTGATACAGCAGCTAGACTGTACGTGTCTGTGATTTCATTTGGTCCAACTGCTAAAGTCCTGCAATACTCTATGAAGAATTCTGTCACTTACAAATACCAGGATCCGCTGATTATGGGTTTGAATCCCTGGTCACCTATATCACAATCCTTGATCCATCAGCACAATACAAATGGCTTTCACAAAAGTGAGAGATTACCACCAACATCACTTTGGGCCTTCTCAAATGTTAAACTGAAATGTTGCGACAATTTAGTTTACCGGGTACAATTAAACTTGCAACTGAAATATGAAAATGCATTTTGTTTTGTTAGGGATAGCATATTACTATGTGGTCATGCATGCAAGTGTGCTAGTTAAATGTGCTTTTTAGTGGGTTGTGTGCATGTCATGCAGAGTTATGTCCCCTACCTTCTTTCCTTCCTGGATGCCGAAGATGGTGAAGAAATAACACAATACATTGGGACGAGCGCACGCCATGCAATCAGATGTTGGTTGAAGCGTTAGGTAGGGGGAGACAATCATGGTTGACACACATTAATATGAGGCAAAATATTCATCACATTACAGGGGTTAAAAAGTTTTATAAGTCACCGACTCGTGAAAGCAATTGCACTTGCTCTTGTTAATATATACTGCACTTTTAAACTGTCACGAACAGAACTACCATATGTGCAATCAGTTTGCCGACAGTAATGGATGTCAGCATTACATAACTTTTCAATGACTCACCAAATTTTGGTATAGTTTATATATAAACCATTTTAACTTTTCTTGTAAGGTTGTCAAGACTCAGTGACTCATATATTTTAATCCCTGTATAATCAAGTGCAACAACATCATTAATCATGCATCATGGTGATCAGATAGACAGATATAGTACACTGAAAGATCTCTTTGTTGTGAAATACTGTTATTTACTACATTAAATTAACTGTTCCTCTTATTCATTTTCCTTTACCGTAGTCAACGCAATTAGCGCCCCACTCTAATAAGCGCCCACGACGATATTTGCTGATATATTGGCTAGTGAACAATCATAATTAGCACCCCTTCCATTTGATCAATGTACACAAAGACTTATTTATTGGCATATAAACGACACTCGTGTGTTATATGCACATTTAAGTACGGCAATTAAATTCTGGAAAAATATATCTGTTGTATATAAACATTTCAGGCTGTCAGCCTTAACCACGAAATTTACAATCTTTTAACTGTTTTTTTTCCACCAAAATTATATTCCAATAAGAGCCCCCTATTTCTAAGTTTGAGAGCGCCCTGGGCACTTATTACGTCGAATACGGTAACTGTCAGAAAATGAGAAAAATAAACATGATACACCATCAGTCCCTTCATATTTTACTGTATTCTTTTGTGACGTGTTTACCATTCACATGGGGTGTCATTGTATGTCGTGATATCGATAAATCCTTAATGTCAATACTGGATGGAAACAAATTTAATTGAACAGCTTAGTTTATATTTTATTGATTAATTGGCATAATTGCATGTGTAAATAGGTAATTTCCATCTATACATATTTAGAGTTATGAAGTTTATAATTAATTAATATATTGTGATACTTTTGAGTCGATATATAGACACTAAAATTTCATATCAATGACACCTCTTGTGTTCACCCCTTTTTCCAAAATCTGCCTCTGTGGTTGGACAATTATTTCTCAGTCAGGTCTCAACAGTGCTGTTCTATTGGTCAAGAACCTTGACCCTCTGTGTGACCATATCTGTCTATAAGTTGATTACAAACTGTGACAATATCATATGCATCATAAATATATTTGTATTAGGCATTATCATTTGGTTATGCGGGTATTTTTTCATAGATCTGTTCAGTTAGTAAACTGAAGAATTCAAGAAATGGATCATGAATATCAAAGAAAATTCAATAAAAAGAAAGGAGTTTTAAATGATGGAAATAAACGCTCACAAGAGACAGGTGACCTTTGGCTTTTCAAGTCTCATATCAACGAATATGAACTAAATATTGTAAATAAATAGTTATAAAATACTGAAGGTAACTTTCTAGGCATGTACTATTCCTACAACACCATACTGTAATCTTCAATAAAAAGTTTAACTGTAAATCTTATAATTAAATCCGAAATCAAAAGAAACATACACTAAAAGAGTCTATTCTATGATTCAAAATATATATCATGAGCATGTGTTGCTATCAAATAGGGATGATACCAGGAGCTCACAAAAAGTTTGCAAAAGTATTTTCTTTAAAATTTTTAGGTTTTTTTTCAGAAATCCAAAGAAATGCATTGAGTTATTTTGCCTATTAACATTTTGACAGATGATAAATAGTTACAACATTTTAAACTTGTGATGACAGAGAATAGTATCAGTTACCAGTGGCGGATCCCGAGGAGGGGTTCCTGGTGTGGCCACCCCCTGTTTTTACATCTGATGACATTTAAATGCTCATTTCCTACCATGGTAACATGTTGATTTGGTTGTTGAAGTAAACTTATTACAAAACGGCCCAAGTGGACCCCCCTCACCCCCCGCACTTTTGTTTAAAAACCCTGGATAGCCCCTGGATAGTACCTTGACACCCCAACACAAACTAATACCTGTAATGTACTTGGATCATCACAACAGACAGTTAGAGATGATCAACTTTCTATGATCCAACACACATGCCCTTGGTTAAGTCAATAATGCAGTATTAACCATAACCCTACCTCATGAAGTGTAAAGATATGCCGTGTGTTAGACATTAGAAAAGACATGCATCTTTCTTCCACACTTGCCAACTCTGCATGGTGACAACTGTATGTTTTACCACACGTTGCATGTTGACTCTGTTCTGTTTGTTTACAATAGGATGGAGCACAGGGGGTCAGAGGTTGAAGGTGCTGCGACCACTGTGCAGAGTTACCTCCCTTAGTAACTGCTGATCATAGGTTCAAATGACAGATTTGGCTGGATAATGATCCAAGATCTGTCAGCATAATACTCACATTTCTGGGATTTTTTGACAACTATTTTGCTAAGGCAGATCAAATAAAAATTGACAATGACTTTGTGAAGGTCTGTATTGTTTTGGTTGGGTTGGGGATGAAGCTGTTTGGGTCTTCAGGGACCGGTCATTTATGATAGGGATGGGTCCGAGGGAGTCAAGTGATATAAAAATATGACACTCTCTAGGGGAGGGTCTTAAAAAATAATACACATATTTCAGTAAGCTCATAAACAAATGGACATTATATCATAAAATATAAAGTGCATTTGCATTTTGTCTTTCAGGGAGAGTCATGAAAAAATTAACAAGGACATGGGGAGAGTCATCCAAAAATATGACCACCGCTTTTGCATTCCAGAAACCTGAAATATTGGGTTTGAACCCTGTTTGTCAACATCATTCCCACTCTTGTAGCTTTCACAAAAGTGGTAAACATCTGAGAGCTGCATCACTTCAGGCTTTCGTCAAGCATTAACTGACATGCCATGATATAACCAGAATATTGTTCAAAGTGGTGTTGACTCCAACTCCCTCACTCACTACAACAAGGCCTGGCTGTCAGGTGTTTGTGAGATTTTTTAAGCATTTCAGCTGTTGGCAAGCATGCAAGATGTTAAAGTTATTAGTCTACAAGGTTGTTAATAACTCAGCATACCAATGATGGAATGATTACATTGAAACATCATTAACTTGATGCTAACAGTGGTCATACAGGATCAAATGATGACAGCTCAAGGCATCTTCCCGAGACAAGGGAGTTAACTGACTATAAAAGTCCATTTCCATCCTTGCCGAACTAGACTAGAATTATGGAGTTATATATTTTGGCTGGACTAACAAATCTATGCATAGTCCAATCAACGTAACAAAATTGACATCCGATCATAAACTGCCATGCAGATATCGGTCGACTGCCAGATTTGCAAAGCATATGTACTGCCAACTCGACGTCAACTGATATTTTCCAAATCTTTTCATGTTTGTAATCAAGGTGCTCACATGATTTGATGCCCTTTGCAAAGTAAGACACGTTTTGTTACAATATATATCTTGATTATCTATCAGATCAGCATGACTGGGCAATGCCAATATCGCTGAAGCAAATACAAGTAAAATGAGAAGAGGAATCTGATTGGTCAAAGAAGGGACATAACTCGTAATAGCCACTGGTGGCGCTACGATTGAGCCCAGAAATTACAGCCTAGTTTGGCAAGGGTGGAAACTGGACAGTCAATTAACTCCCTTGCCTCAAGAAGATGAGGCATACATCACGTTACAAATTCAGATGAAGACAGTTCAAGGGATACGTCACACTACAATTTCAAGTTATGCGGTTTCACTGTATGTTCCTTCATTCCTCAAACCATGCAGTGTAGTTCATTGTGAGGCATACATGTCTTCAAATAGGACATGAACATGACATGTCACAGACACAGTGCACACCCGATCGGACAAAAATCAGGTACAAAAACATGTACACTTACTTTTACAATTTAGATACATATATCACAAGGGATACAAATTAAACCTATTAGGCAATTAAAACTAATTATTACATTTCCACCCTATCCATCTCAGCTTGTTTTAATTTCTTTTTTTCAAAATGTGCTTGCTGCCTTATTTTTATGAAATACTGCGATGAAAATGTTATAGTATTCAATTTTTTTGGCCTGAAAATAAATGGTTTGGGTGTCTGAAAAATGTTTTCAACATTTATTAATTAAATGGCTTTGGATGATAAATCTCATCTGCAAACTTTGTTGAGAAAACACATAGAATAGTCATGGGCAGAAGTACTTCTGAAAGTGTTATTCACTTAAGAGGCATCAAGATACATTGCAAGGAATCACTGACAACAAGCAATAGGCTACAGAGAGCCAGGGATGATTCTCAGAATAGACCAGGATCAACAGACGCCAGGGCAACAGCTAGTCTACTGGAGGAAAAGGGAATCATGTTCACAGCAACGGTTTTGTGCAATCACTACATTATCAGCTCAAGGACACTGAATGTTACAACTCTGAATGGTAGAACCTGAGTTTAAGAATTGGTCCAGGAAAAGTCAAAACATAAGCCAGAGCCCGGAGCCCGGAGCCCAGAGCCCGATCTTACCTTTTTCTGACTGACTGCCATAGTTCTGACACAGCCAACATAGATGTCCCTCGTTGCTGTCATGAACTCGTCGTCCTTGGCAACGCTAGATAATGTGATGAGCAGGGGTTTGATGGATGGCTTCAGTTCTGGAAGACATCAAGTGTGTGGGATTATCAGCATACCACCATATTGATTGGAAACAATACAGGATTAAACATTGCAGTATTCTTCATAATCTTGTACGTAACATTGGCTTTAAATGTCGTTGCCTTCTTTAGTAACTTGGCACATGAAAGCTGCTGGTTCAAATTGTTAAAAAAACATTGCATAATGTATGAGTGTGTTAGGTAGTGTAGACTATTCAAGTCTGAAAAGGAAACGGTTTTGTGCATTGTGGACTCTTAGAACTTAGATCTTAGAACAGATCGGATACTCCTAACTTAAAGTTGTTCATCAAGTGCTATGGTCAGCAGACTATGCTGTTTTGTTTTCTTCACTCAATTTATTGTGTGACCTGACTGCATTACCCTCTCCATCCTCCTCTGTGGGAAGCGGAACAAAAGACAGAGACTCGACATCTGGAGACAGATCCTCTCCGCCCTCCAGGTACATGATATGATCTTTGGCTACACCAAGTAACCGGAAAAAGTGACTCTCCTCCTGAAATGAAAATAAAGTAGAACACGGATATAACGACCACAGATAGAACGAACAAACAGACACAACAAACTGTTACAAAATCCCCAATTTATCTCCTATATATTATCATATAAACTTTACATACATAACAAACAAACAGCAAACTGACATACATAGCGAACTGATATTTGATCCCCAACAAGCCCAAATACCACTAATTAGTGATGTGTATAGTGAACTGACAAATCTCACTCAGTATCAATTGTCACTGACAACAGGCAATACGCAATCAGTGGCGAATCAACACAATCGCGGGAATCAACACAATCAGCGGTGACGATTCAACTTGTTGAACTTGCTTAACGTTAATCTTGCCCGTACATGTAATTGGACTAACCTTGACGGTAAAACAAACATTAAACCTTTGCAGTTTCATGAATGACACAAAAACCAGATGTTTCACACCACTCAGCAATATTTCCAGCTACATGATGACATCTTTAAATAATCAAGTCTACCAGACAATCCAGTGATTGGTATTGGAGAATGGATTCTGACCTTTAGCCTTACACAACACTGACACTGAATGTCAAGACAACCATTGGCTTCAGTATTACAACTTTATGAAGCAATGGTTTTAATTCCAAACTCAATAAAATTATATTTTTGTAATGTTGACAACTGACTCAATACTAACAACTACAGTTAATCTCTCCCTCTTACTGTGGCATATGTCTCCCTCATGCTCAGGTCAGGTGAGGTGAGGTGAGGTGAAATTGTGTTTAAAGTCGCGTCCAAGATTATTGCACTTATATAGCACCGTGCATGCCTGTGTGTGTGTGTGTGTGTGTGTGGCTGGTTGTACTAGTCCGGACTGATGCCGATTTATAGTGCTAGCTCACTGAGATACCATGCCGCAGTTTTAACATGAATACCCTACTCAGACACAGTATACTGACTCCGAGCCGACCAGTCCTTGTTTTAGCCCCTTAATGCTGAGCGCCAGACAGGGCAACAACAAGTACCATCTTTTAACGTCTTTTGGTATGACGCGGCCGGGGATCAAATCCCTGACCTTCCACTCTCCTGGTGGACGCTCTACCACTAGACCACGGAGGCGGTGTCATGCTCAGGAATTACATAATAATGTCACTTAAATCCACATTTCTCATAAGTCGATATCCAGCGGGACATGTTTTGTGTGTTTTGTGTTGCTATAATCCAACAAAGGATGGTATCTTTCCTCATCTTCATCTCTGACTTACTTGATTGAAGAGTTCTATTCGGACCCCATCAGAGTAGTGGTCACTGGCATGGTCAGGAGCAAAGGTGACCAGGATTTCTTTGGAAGCACCTGTCATAACGTTCAATGACAGATGCAGCTGTATACTATTTCTCACAACATATCATTGTATTAGTGAAAAACAGTTTCTTCAAATAAAGCAGTACTCGTGATCAGTCTCATTAAAATCAGACCTTAGTTCTCGCTACTGCCAAACAAAGATCTGAAGACATCCCATTAGGGGTCACGTCAGAATGACCTTTCATCCGACCAATCAGAGCGACGCTTACCAGATTATGAAAGTGACAGCCCGAATGTGATTTCTAATCATGTAACCTCCAACACTTTAACACGGGGTATTCCGATAGTTACTGGTTTAATGACTGAATCCATACAATCTAGAATGTTCCAGAATACAGAATGTTTTTCTGTTCAGGTTTCAAATTTGTAATCGAGAATTTGTCAAATGTGTTTCGAAGCGTAGTCGCCAATTTGAAATTAGTTCCATAAAGCACAAGAAAGCTGCCTTCTGATTGGTCATTCCATTGGTCGGTCAAAGTTCGCGCAAGGTTGGTCTGACGTGACCCGTAATGGGATGTCCTCAGATCTTTGTTTAGTGGTAGCAAGAACTAAGACCTGATTTTAATGAGATTGGACTAGTGACAGATATTGTGATACTATTTCATTAGTATTTCCAGTCATGGTATACTGATGTATGCGCACCTCCACTTATAACTGTATGTATCATCTGAACTCCGCTAACAATACCCTCAAGGTGGAGGAGGGAGCTTGGTTTTACACAGGCCTTAGCAATATTCCAACAATATCACAGCAGGGAACACCAAAATTACACAAGAATATGAAGTTCTGATTAAAAATAATATTTGTTTGACTATCAAACATCCATATCAAAAACATAAATCAACACAAAATACATGGGATTGGACATTTGGACGAGAAACTTCATTTTTATTCTTTTGCAATCAAGACTGCTGAGCAATCCTACCACTGTGACAATCTGTATCTTAAACGTCTGCAGAAAGCTTCAGAGGTTTGTCAGAATTAGGCTGCCATGACAATGAGGAGTACTTATTGTCAGCTCTGATTGTACCTACCAGCTTCTATTGTGCCTTCTGATGGAACTAGGTCAAACACATTTTGCCCGTTATTGTTCTGAGTTCCTGCAAAAAGGAAGAAAACAGAATGATGCAAATTTTGATTAATCCCAATTCTCATCACCTCAAAAAGGAACTTATTACAAGACTGCTGGTCGCTGTATTAACAAAAACACATTCAAGTTACGCAACACATGATGCATTGCTCCTGATAATAATCACAAGCATATACCTTCATCATTGGCAAGGGAGTGATGCTGATGTCACTCAATGAGGTCAACATGTTATTTGTTTACAAAAGTCAAATATCCTCTCTATATATATCCTCATCTTTGGCATAGGAATGATAACGATGACGTTGATGAGTGAATGGGTGAGTATGGTTTTACGCCACTTTTAGCAATATTCCAGCAATATCACGGCGGGGGACACCAGAAATGGGCTCAACACATTGTACCAATGTTGGGATTCGAACCCGGGTCTTCAGCGGGAAGAGCGAACGCTTAAACCACTGGGCTACCCGACCGCCCATGATGTTGATGATTGTTATGATTGATACAGTGAGTAATTGAAGGGCACCAAGAAACGTGTTTGTTGTTTAACACAACACTCCACCTGTGTGACAACGGACCAGATAATCCAGTAATTGATGCTACGAGTAAGGATCGATGTCATCGGGATATGGTGACGTGCCATCCATCAAGGCACTGAGCCTGATCAACCAATCCATGAAGTCGCCTGTTATGGCCAGCAAGGCTTCTGGGACCTGTTCTAACCCTGTCCCCATGGGTTACATTGCATATACCCATCAAACCCTGGTATATTATGAATAACAAGGAAACATGCTTGTGTCTCTATTGCTCTATCTGCAAATTGCTCCAGTGTTGTAAAGACTCACTCACTCACTCAACCTGAGTGGTTAAGGTGTTCGCTTGGATTCGACTCCTCACATAGAATATTACTTGTGTGAAGACCTGTGAAGATCCAGAGTGGAATAGGTCTTCAGCAACCCATGCTTGCTGTAAAAGGTGACTATGCTTGTTGTACGAGGCGACTAACAGGATCGGGTGGTCAGGCTCGCTGACGTGGTTGATGCATGTCATCGTATCCCAATTGCTTTTATCAAAATTATCATGTTTCCTTTTCTGACAACTGATTGGCTTACCCTTTTCGCGAACCCCTTGTCATCACTAATCTTCAGTGTTCCATTAATATGATTATCGGTAAAGAGAAAAGGTCCCCAGCAACCTATGCATGTTGTACGAGGCGACTAATGGGATCGGGTGGTCAGGCTCGCTGACTTGGTTGATGCACGTCATCGTATCCCAATTGTGTGGATCGATGCTCATGATATTATTCACTGGATTGTCTGGTCCAGACTCGATTATTTACAGACCGGTGTCATATAGCTGGAATATTGCCGAGTGTGGCGTTAAACAACAAACCAACCAAACAACCACTCCCTGACTCATGCGACTTACCGACAAATACTTTTCTGGATTTGTCCCTCTCCACAAAGCCTGGCACCACCTGACTCTTGGCATGGCGGAGGAGGGAGAGGCTGTCCATCTTAATCACATAGTCTATGGACAAGGAAGATGTGTTATGGATCTGAAAAGAGGAGCATAAAATAGGTCAGGTGAAATGGGGTTGACATGTCACGATCAAGATGATTGCACTGACATGCATGCATGTTTGTGTGAGGTGACGTGTACTCTCCAGTACAGGGAAAGTACCCCAGAAGTACTCACCTTGAAAGGCCTCTCCACATACTCCCCAGATAGCACAGAGCCCATGTCAAACAGCCCCGAGTCAATGGACAGGTTGACGATGGGGCTGACACCTCGTCCAGACAGTGTCAGGAACATGATAGCTGTAGGGCTGTGAATCTCCAAAACCTCATGGAACTTGAAAGAAAAAACACCTCAAATACAAAACAGTGCAACGCCTACATGATATTATTTGTGTTTAATATTAATAGTAATGTGTTCACCTCGAGACAAAAAAATCAAAACACATTGTCTGTAAGACTTAATGTGTACCCTCTTTACAGCTGTATTTTCTGAAAAAATGTGTGCATTGAACATTAGAGAATACAAGTCACATTTACCAACAATTGCTCATCTTGATGTACTTATATACTACTTTCTGAAGAGAACTCATGAAACTTGAAATAAAGACAATGTTTTTTTTTTACTTTTTAAGCAAAACAGTGTTCATTCCTGCATAAATATCAAGTAAAATATAGAAAATACACTTACAGCTTGTCATGACCCGAACATGATGATAGCTGAGATGAGGTTTAACTCCACATGATGTTTGTTTGTTTGTTTTTTGTTTAACGACGCACTCAGCAATATTCCAGCTATATGACGGCGGTCTGTAAAATAATCGACTCTGGACCAAACAATCGAGTGGTTAACATCATGAGCATTGATCCACGCAATTGGGATCAATGACATGTATCAACCAAGTCAGCAAGCCTGACCACCCGAATCCTGTTAGTCGCCTTTTACGACAAGCATAGTTGCCTTTTACGGCAAGAATGGGTTGCTGAAGACCTATTCTATTCCAAAATCTTCACGGGTCTAACTCCACATGAAAGATTATGACACTTATATAGCATCTTGCATGTACGTGTGTGTGTGGCTTCCTGTACTACTCAGTTTTACTGTGCTAGCCCACGGAGACATCATGCCACAGTATAACATGGTTACAGACAAAGTATACAGAAGTCGAGCCAACCAGTCCTTGTTTTAGTACCTTAATGCTTAGCGCCAGGCAAGGTAACAACAAGTATCATCTCTATACTTCTTTTGGTATGTCGTGTCTGGAGCTCAAAGCACTGTCCTTCTGCTCTACCATTTCCACTACGGAGACGGTCATATAATGACATGAATAACCAAAAGCATACTGACCACTCTGCCCGCTGTTGGTGTAAAGGATATGACGGCTGTGTGAGTGCCCCCTGGTGGCAGCATCCGGAGGGCATTCAGGTTCTGGAATGGTCCTGTCGTGTCCAGTAGTGATGCTTTAAGCTGGGCGTTGTTAAGGAGCATGTGATCAATATCATCAGTCTACCATGATCTCATCTTCCTGAGGCAAGGGAGTTAACTGACAATAGAAGTCCAGTTTCCACCCTTGCTGAACTAGGCTGGGATTCCGGAGTTACATTTTGGCTGGACTAATGAGTCTATGTATAGTCCAATCAAAATTGGGTAAACAAACTTGACATCCGGTTCGTAAACTACATGGATTTCGAACGAGCAGATTTTCGTCAACTGCAGGATTTGCAAAGCCTGTCTACCGTCATATGGACGTCAACAGATATTTTCCAAATATTTTCATGTTTTTTATCAAGGTGTTCAAATGATTTGATGCACTTTGGGAGGTAAGACCCATTTTATTACAAAAGAGGTCTTGACTATCGATCAGATCCTCTTGACTGGGCACTGCCATCTTGTTTTGAAGCAAAGGCAAGCGATATGAGAGGTGGAATTTGATTGGTCAATAGGAGGGACATAGAAGTGACATAACTCAGAATAGACTTTATACGAAACCAAGTTTGATACCTGAATTTGCTGAAGGGATATGATGTCATTTCTTACTGCGCATAATACTCAAAAAATGTTTTTCAAAAGACTGAATACTCATATAATATATACACAAGGATGCACGCTCCGTGTGTTTGGAAAGTGTATAACATAAAACACATTATGAAAATCGCATTTTGAAATCATCCAATATACTGAGCATTAAAAAATATTGTGATATGTATCGTGGAAAGAGTGAACCTTAATATACCAATATACAGGCAATACTGTGCACCCTAAGTATACAGCGTGTCATTATACCTTGAAGGTGTGGACTGCTGCTCATATCAAACACTGGTTTGTCATAGAAGTGGAATATTGCTTAGTGCAAACAACACACAAACAACACATGACAGTAAGGATACTTCCAGGTTTCTGTCTGAAATGTTCTGTATTGTCACAGACTTGGTCGTATGTTGACCGATAGACACTTCACCGAAGTCCAGAGTGGTCTTGCCATTGTCAGAGATGACCACGATGGGAGGTTTGACCACTGGGCAGTGCACATCCAGGTACAGTGTGTTGTGGATGCTGAATCAGAGGATGGAAAAACAGATTAAACTAACAGCTTGCTTGTTCAAGGTATCTAAAGCACTATGTGTCACAGCTTTGTCCACTTGAATCCTCAAAAGTCTTAAATAAGACTTGCCTCTGGTCAAAAATGGATGTGTATTTTGTTGTTTACTAAGAAGACTAAACTGTATGATGTACTTACTCTCATGAAATTCGCAGCATGTAAAAATCAAGTAATCTAATACCCTGGCCTTAGCCCTTCCACCTCATAGCTATCCTGTTTACAGTCAGTGCCCCTGACAGTCCATCAGACAGACCATACTCCATCACTCACTTCGCTTATACTGACTGGGCACCAGATTTGATTGTTTACAGGTAAAGTCTGGAAGGTAATTTAAGGTACCGACATTTACTACAATATCTGAAAAACTATCGGACCTACTCCAGTCAAAGTTGGTATGAGATTATTAAACAGTCATACATAACTGGATATTACATTTAAAGACAATCGGTGCATGAATAAAAAATCTGTCTCTTTAGCTATCACTATATTTCATCAACAACCAGACCTGTTCGTCACGGGTGGAACGAGCATTCATTGAAACAGCCATCTGCATAATGCTACCCCTGCATCACAGGGCCATATGACACAGTTGAACCAATCAACTCAACTCAAAAGGTTGCACGGGAATCACGCACGCACGAATATGGTGTTAGCGTTGGGCGACTCAACGTGCGTGATTCCCGTGCACCCTTTCGAGTTGAGTTGATTGGTTCAACTGCACCAGAGTATACTATAGGTTTTGACCCATGTATGTTCATGTTGAGACACAGCCTGAGCCCTCACAGCTCTGGAGTATACTCTACCTGTAGGGCAACTCTCCAGGGTTGGCGCATGTCCCCGAGGCCACATAGCAGGGCACAGTGTAAGTCTTGAAGCCTCCCCTGTATTGCCTCAGTAGAGATCCTATAGCAGCAGCATAGGCCGGGGAGCTGGACAACAACATAAACACACACAACACTTAGAGAAAAGCCTTAATATCATCACACAACTTTATTATTCTCAGGTTGCTGTTGGAAACTGGATAAAATCAAATGTTCTCCAACACCAAACAGTATCACGACCAGCTTAAAAACACACCTGTTTCAAACATCCTACTGTCATTAGAACTAATATTTATCTAGTCAAGTTCTATGAACATACTGTCCGTGTGGATCTGACGTTATATAAGTGGGGATTCCAGGTTAGGTAGGTCCAAAACAACCCTGTTTCCGGAGGGGACAAAATAGATCTGGTGGGCAGACTCGGTGACTTGGAAAGTTAGTGATGTCGGTCAGCAGCATATTTTTCTGTTTTCCGAATCTAATTTTGTTTGTCAAAACACAGCAACAGAATTACTTTGCTCAGTAGGTTTAGGAATCGGTGGGGATTCAAAGTTTGAATAATTCCCCAGCAACCTATGCTGTTCATAAAAGGCTATTAGGGGTGCCTGCTCTTAGAGATGTATATCAGGGAGTGCTATTAGGGGTGTATATCAAGAGTTCCTGCTATTAGGGGTGCATATCAAGAGTTCCTGCTATTAGGGGTACATATCAAGAGTTCCTGCTATTAGGGGTATATATCAAGAGTTCCTGCTATTAGGGGTATATATCAAGAGCTCCTGCTATTAGGGGTGTAAATCAAGAGTTCCTGCTATTAGGGGTGCATATCAAGAGTTCCTGCTATTAGGGGTATATATCAAGAGTTCCTGCAATTAGGGGTATATATCAAGAGCTCCTGCTATTAGGGGTGTAAATCAAGAGTTCCTGCTATTAGGGGTGAATATCAAGAGTTCCTGCTATTAGGGGTGTATATCAAGAGTTCCTGCTATTAGGGGTATATATCAAGAGTTCCTGCTATTAGGGGTGTATATCAAGAGTTCCTGCTATTAGGGGTGTATATCAAGAGCTCCTGCTATTAGGGGTGTATATCAAGAGCTCCTGCTATTAGGGGTATATATCAAGAGTTCCTGCTATTAGGGGTGTATATCAAGAGCTCCTGCTATTAGGGGTGTATATCAAAAGTTCCTGCTATTAGGGGTATATATCAAGAGTTCCTGCTATTAGGGGTGTATATCAAGATTTTCTTTTGTATCATTTCAGGCTGTCAGCATAAACTACGAAATTTACAATTTGTCAACTCTGTTTTTGTTCTCACCAAAATTATATCTAATAAGAGCCCTCTATTTTCAATTTTGAGAGCGCCCTGGGCGCTTAATACGTCGAATAAGGTATTCAACATGCTCTCATGCTTAAAACACCAAGCATTTCCTTGATTCCGAAGATTGCATGGGAGGCTGGGTGTCTTTCAAGGTGGCTTCATTTGACATATTTAACTGGGCTGATTTGTCTTTTCAAGACTAAGTTTGTGTGGGTGTAAGCGTTGTGAAAACAGTTTGCAAACAAGTTTATGAAGTTTGACAAACTGAGCAAGAAATTGAATTGGTCTCTTTTCTCATCAATGTTATGGCCAACATTTAAGTTTTGGCAACTCTCTTTTTGACTTGTGAATGGTTGTCGAACATACATTGGTTGATCACAACCAATAAAAAATGCTGGATCTAATTCCTGTCTGCTACAAAAAGACATGTGTCAATTAAATCGATAACTTGGCAGACAACAACTCACTCTGTGCTGATAGCATCTGGCTCCGGTGGGATCACAGTACCAGGCTTGGCAACAGATGACCCTGCCCCATGTGTTTGGGGAGATGGGCCCTTGCCCTTCCCCGCAGGCTTAGGGGAGGCCTTCCCCTTGGCTGGCTTCTTGGCCACAGCAGCTGCCTTCTGAAGAGGAAACACAAAGCCTAAGTAACTTACATGCAATAATTCCTTTTGAAAAATTGCATCTACAAGCTTTTGGGTGAGATGTTTCTCTTTCGTGACCTTGAGACACAACTATGTCTTCCTGCATAGTCAAGTCTTGTTAATCCGACACTTGTTAATCCGACAAACGGCTTTATCCGACATGAATGATGGGAACCAATTAAATCAGTGCTATTTAGACCCGTTAATCTGACAGTCTCACACTCCGACTCTGACACATCTAATTTGCAACGAATTACCAAAATTTCTCATTAATAAGTCTCGTTAATCTGACACAGTGATCAGCGTACTCCGTGGTCATCTGCCCGCGAGTACACAGCCAATTTTTGATGTGAGAAGAGTCAGCTGGTAGCTGCATATTACAACGGCTGCAGAGATAAACTTGCTTAATAATAAACAATTAATTAACAATTAGTGTTTGTATCGTTATCTATCATGTAGTTGTCCGATTTTCAATCACAAACGTTGATACTACTTAATTTTGTTTATCCGACATACTCGTTAATCCGACATAATCATATGCAACCAATCATGTCGGATTAATGGGACTCATCTTCAAGAGGCAAGAGTGTTAACTGACTTTACAAGTCCAGTTTCCACCCTTGCCGAACTAGGCTGGAATTCCTGGGCTCGATCGTAGCGCCACCAGTGCCAAATACGAGTTATGTCCATTCTATGCCTCTCCCATATGTACCAATCCGATTCCACCTCTCGTATCACATGCATTTGTTTCAAACAAAATGGTGGCACCCAGTCAAGACGATCTGATCGACCATCAAGATCTATTTTGTCATAAAACGGTTCTTACTTCGCGAAGTGCATCAAATCACGTGAGCACCTTGATTAAAAACATGAAAAGATTTGGAAAATATCTGTTGACACACGAGTTGGCGATGCACATGCTTTGCAAATCCTGCAATCGACCGAACTCTGCATGACAGTTTACGAACCGGATTTCGATTTCGGTGCGCGATTTTGATTGGACTATGCATAGACTCGTTAGTCCAGCCAAAATGTAACTCCATAATCCCAGCCTAGTTCGGCAAGGGTGGAAACTGGACTTTTATAGTCAGTTAACTCTCTTGCCTCGGGAAGATGAACGGGACTAGACTGTATCTGAAGGCCCCCATGTTACCTGAGCCTGCTCCTGCTGTTCCTTCTCCTTCTTCAAGGCCTCACGGTACTCCCTGTCTGCCTGGGCCTCCATGATCCGAGTGGCCATCCGCACCGCCTCCTTACGTATGTCACACTCCTTCAGCTTGGGGGAGAATCGCAAATGGATGCGACATTTCTGGGGAGACAATCACAAACACAATGACAAGAGATCTGACAAAGCAGAGGCAGATCTAACAGTGCAAAGTCATGAACAACACACTAGGTGTCTGATGAAGAGGGAGTGTGCATACTTGACCCCAATCTGGATCCATCAGTGCATAATTGAAGCTAACCTAATTCTTTTACTGGATCACTGAAAGGCCCCATGTGTTTTTATTTGCAACACTTATTGAGAAATTCAATTGGCATTTTCAGTGAGTGAGTGAGTGAGTGAGTGAGTATATTTTTACGCCGCTTTTAGCAATATTACAGCAATATCACGGCAGGGGACACCAGAAATGGGCTTCACACATTGTACCCATGTTTGGAATCGAACCCGGGTTTTCGGCGTGACGAGCAAACCACTAATCACATGCCAACAATCATTTATTTGGTGACAATTTCTATACATGTGTCAGTGTCAGTGGAAATAGCAGTGTCAGGGAAAGTATCACGTAGCCATGTAGGATTTGTTTATTTGTAAGTTGTTTAGTTCATCACTCAGCAGTATTCCAGCTATATATTGGTAACCTGTTCATAAATGAGTCTGGACCAGACAAACCAGTGATTGATGCTGTGAGCAGTATACCATGTTGTCAGGCTACAAGGTCACTGATCCTGACCAATTGATCCATGGGACAAGCAAAGGTTTCTGGGAACCTTTTCTAAACCTCAGGGGGCAGAGGTGACTCAGTCATCTAAGGCGCCACAATTCGCTGTGCAGAGTTGAAACCCTTAAGCATGGCAGATTGTGGGTTCAAATCCCAATTTACCCTGATTATGTTTCAAGGTTTGTCAAAACCATTCCTATGTCCGTGGGTTTCACCAAAGTAGTAAACGTCCAAGACCTGCATAATTTCGGACATTCCTCCTACATTAAGCTGAGATGCTGTGATATATCTAATCTGGATTACAGTTCAAAACCTAACTCAGGGCCCAGGGCAGCTTGTGGTACAATGTTTGTTTGTTTGTTTGATTTGTTTCTTTGTTATTTAACGCCACACTCAACAATATTCCAGCTATATGACGGTGGTCTGTAAATACATCTAGTTTGGACTAGACAATCCAGTGATTGACACCATGAGCATTGATCCACGCAACTGGGATACAATGACATGCATCAACCAAGTCAGCGAGCCTGACCACCCGATTCCATTAGTCGCCTCTTACAACAAGCAGTCGCCTATAACGACAAGCATGGGTTGCTGAAGACCTATTCTACCCCGGCTCTTCAAGTGTCTGTGGTACAATGTATTAGTATGAGACTCTCTGGAACATGATCAATCACTAATTGTGCCATCTGTTTCAAAGGCAACATATGGGTTGTATATTGCTGAACATTCTGAAACATCCAACCTGCTAATGCAGTGGCAGATTCAAGGGGTGGCCACCTCCTTTTTTAATGTTACCTTCTATGATAACATTAAATTTAAATAACGGTTTACATATCGAGTTTGTTATTTGTTAGATGGACTGATTGAAACCCCCCCCCCCACAACTGAAGGCCAAAGTAGGACCCCCCTCTCCCTTTCCACCCCAGAAATTTATATGGACTGTGCAGAATTAAGAAAAAGATTTCCTGAAATATGACACAAAAATTAACAGACCTTTCCTGGCTCAATGGTGCCGACAGTAGGAGAGACGGTCAGTGGGCAGTCCTCCGGAAGGACAAACTCGAAGGATGTCGGCCCAACAGGAGCAATCTCACCTGCAACATAACATTATTTCGTCTTAGACGTTTACCACTTTGGTAAATTTTACCAGCAGAGTACTGACTAATCAAAATGAATCATGCAAATCTGGAATTCAAACCCATGTTTACAGGTTTCTGAGGGATGCAAATCTGCACTGCATATTGCAACAATAAGGTGCCGACCCGGTGTCCCTCTCAAAATAGTGAGTATGGTTTCAAGGCGGCTTTGGTGCGACAAGTGAACGCTTTAACCACTTGGCTACACCACTACCCCCTCTCCAAGAAGAAGAAATTATTGTTAATTTTACTATCTTATCACTTTGTCACACTTTGTAAATTGATGAATGCTTCCATTACTGTTATTATGAAATATATATTGCCGTCTATAAAACGACCCCACATATAAGACGACCCCTTGTACAAGCCTTCAAAATCGATGCTAATTTATATACCCTGTCTTGATTGCTGTAAATGATGTTGAGTTGTGCGATCTTCCAATCACTTCACATACGACCTTGCCGAAATGAATGAAACAATATTGAATGCAATTTTGAATAAATATTATAAAATATGGTACAAAGATATACAATGATTATTTTTAGAACCAGACAGTGTAATTACATGATTAATTTGCGTACTTCAGTACAGATTTGTTGACATAGTATTTCTGATATCACGTGCTAACAGTAATATCTTTGTGTTGGGGGTTAAAAAAACATCAAAGCTCTTCAACCCTGTGTTTAAGACGACCCCCCTTGAAAGCCCCCTAATTCAAGGTACGAAAAACTCGCCGTATACACAGCGATATACGGTATGTCCAGGTTGTTCCCAAATGTAGCATCCTGAAACTGACCTTTGCCAATCCTTGGAACAGGATGAGTGAACTCATTGCTGCTGGTGTGAGAGTTGACGACATGGAGCGAGGCAGTGGAGACGTCGTACAGCGATGTAGCAGCGAAGTGGATGACTTGGTGGGACAACTCCAGGGGGGGGTGGACGCCGACCCCCTTACACTGAATCTTGAACATCCTGCCATAAAGTGAGTCAGTGTTGTTTTACGGCACAGTATCACCGATTTGATATTTTTGTCAAAGTTTTTTTTGTTAATAAACAAATAATTGGTATGTGAAGTTATTATTGTTGATTTATTTATTTATCAGAATTTACTTCTGTAACTGTTGTTGTTGTAATGGAGGTGTAAACAAAAAAAATTGTGTGTGTGTGTGTGTGTGTGTGTGTGTGTGTGTGTGTGTGTGTGTGTGTGTGTGTGTGTGTGTGTGTGTGTGTGTGTGTGTGTGTGTGTGTGTGCTTCTACTAGTCTGCACTGATGCCGATTTATAGAGCTAGTCCGCTGAGATACCATGCCTAACAAGTACCATCTTTTAACGTCTTTTGGTATAACATGGCTGGGGATCAAACCCCGGACCTTCCACTCTCCAGGCAGAAGCTCTAACACTAGACCACGGAGATGGTCTTATTGTCAAGGCTCATAAATGCTTGGTATGAGTAAGCTTTCAGTATCCTGAATAGGAAGATAATCCAGGATTCCCTTTTACAAATAGAGTAAAGACACACTATAATGAGTGAGTGAGTATGGATTTATGCCGCATTTAGCGATATTCCAGCAATATCACGGTGCGGGACACCAGAAACGGGCTTCACACATTGTACCCATGTCGGGAATCGAACTCGGGTCTTCGGCGTGACGAGCGAACGCTTTAACCAGTAGGCTCTTCGACCGTCCCCGCGCTTTAATGATGTTGTAGATATTATATGCATGCCCTGTTGACAGGCTCAAGAACCAATGCTTCATTCATTTTTATTATGCGGTCAAAGTTCCTTCTATGGAGGTGTCCTTATGTAGAAATGGTATCATATCTGAGAAAACTATGTGATTCTAATGAAAATGGCCTTAAATATATATCTCGCTTCACTTGAACTTGCTTCAAACAAAATGGCGGCGCCCAAGGCAGGACGATCTGGTTGATAATCAAGATCTGTATTGTGATAAAACGGGTCTTACATCATGAATTGCATCAAATCACATGACCCCTTGATTAAAAACATGAAAAGATTTGGAAAACATCTGTTCACAACGAGTTGGCAGTGCACATGCTTTGCAAATCCTGCAATTGACCGAAATCTGCGAACAGTTTACGAACCGGATTTCAATTTCATTGAAATGACGTCCAGTCAAAACTCCATTATACCAGCCTAGTTTGGCAAGGGTGGAAACTGGACTTTTACAGTCAGTTAACACCCTTGTCTCAGGAAGATGGAGTAAAACCAACTGTCTTTACACTGTTAACTGTAGATTCAATAACACTAACCTAAATTTGAACCCAAACACATCAATTTCGTCTTGTATCATTTGATATTTTCATAGTCCACAATCAAAACTATGTTCCTATTAACCAACTGTAAAAACATCTCACCTGTTGATAAGAGATTTACAGCAGAGGTCAAACTTGTAGTCCCTGGCTTTGGGAGGGCTGAAGATGACGTGTAGTTCAATAGTCTCGAGTGGCAGCAGAGTCCCGAAGCCATCGTTGGGCTGGATCTCCACGTACTGAAGTCACAACATGATCAGATTAAAAACCAATACACCTCAGTACACCTTATACAATGTCCAACTATAGTTTCATGACACATCATCCTACTATTGCACTTGTTCAATGTACCCGTGAAGATCTGGGTTATGATAGGTCTTCAGCAACCCATGCTTGTCGTAAGAGGCGATTAACGGGATCAAGTGGTCAGGCTCGCTGACATGGTTGATGCATGTCATCATATCCCAATTGCGTGGATCAATGCTCATGATGTCGATCACTGGATTTTCTGGTCCAGACTCAATTATTTACAGACCGCGGTCATATAGCTGGAATATTGCTGAGTCCCACGTTAAACAACAAACAAACAAAATAAGGCATCAATATGTATGAGCAACGTCTGACGCCATCAAGGTACAAAGACACGAAATTAACCAAGTACCTGAGTCTGACCCCAATACATTTTGTCGCCTTGTACGACAAGCATAGGTTGATGAGGAGCTATTCTAAACCCAAATCCCCATGGTTTGCTTTGGTTTGGTTTGTTGTTTAATGCCGCACTCAGCAAATATTCAAGCTATATGACGGCGGTCTGTGAATACCATGGGGTTGTAATTATGCAATATGCTCTCTACGATCATCTTACATCTGGATGCCCAACAAAGCCAAATGGCTGGGGTAGGATGGACTTGTTGGTCAGTTGGATGGACGTCTTGACTGACTCGTAGATGGTGCAGCAGCCGAAGTCAATGTTGGTGATATCAAACTCCATGTCTGAGTTAGTGACTACTGCTGTCACGGTGAAGGGCACAGGCTGTGTCTGCAACATAAACATGCATGGGTCAAAAACTGCCCCTGCAATGCCACCACCACACGGCCATCATATCCTTCACACCACCAGGGGGCACTCACACAGCCATCATATCGTTCACACCACCAGGGAGCACTCACACAGCCGTCATATCCTTCACACCACCAGGGGGCACTCACACAGCCGTCATATCCTTCACACCACCAGGGAGCACTCACACAGCCATCATATCCTTCACACCACCAGGGAGCACTCACACAGCCATCATATCCTTCACACCACCAGGGGGCACTCACACAGCCATCATATCGTTCACACCACCAGGGAGCACTCACACAGCCGTCATATCGTTCACGCCACCAGGGGGCACTCACACAGCCTCCATATCCTTCACACCACCAGGGGGCACTCACACACCCTCCATATCCTTCACACCACCAGGGGGCACTCACACAGCCTTCATATCCCTCACACCACCAGGGGGCACTCACACAGCTGTCATATCGTTCACGCCACCAGGGAGCACTCACACAGCCGTCATATCGTTCACGCCACCAGGGAGCACTCACATAGCCGTCATATCCTTCACACCACCAGGGGGCACTCACACAGCCGTCATATCGTTCACACCACCAGGGGGCACTCACACAGCCGTCATATCCTTCACACCACCAGGGGGCACTCACACAGCCGTCATATCCTTCACACAACCAGGGGGCACTCACACAGATGTCATATCCTTCACACCAACAGCAGGCACTCACACAGCCGTCAAATCCTTCACACCACCAGGGGGCACTCACACAGCCGTCATATCCTTCACACCACCAGGGGGCACTCACACAGCCGTCATATCCTTCACACCAACAGCAGGCACTCACACAGCCGTCATATCCTTCACACCACCAGGGGGCACTCACACAGCCGTCATATCCTTCACACCACCAGGGGGCAGTTACACAGCCGTCATATCCTTCACACCACCAGGGGGCATTAACAGCCGTCATATCCTTCACACAACCAGGGGGCACTCACACAGATGTCATATCGTTCACATCACCAGGGGGCACTCACACAGCCGTCATATCCTTCAAACCAACAGCAGGCACTCACACAAATGTCATATCCTTCACACCACCAGGGGGCACTCACACAGCTGTCATATCCTTCACACCAACAGCAGGCACTCACACAGATGTCATATCCTTCACACCACCAGGGGGCACTTACACAGCCATCATATCCTTCACACCACCAGGGGGCACTCACACAGCCATCATATCCTTCACACAACCAGGGGGCACTCACACAGATGTCATATCTTTCACACCAACAGCAGGCACTCACACAGCCGTCATATCCTGCACACCACCAGGGGGCAGTCACACAGCCGTCATATCCTTCACACCACCAGGGGGCACTCACACAGCCATCATATCCTTCACACCACCAGGGGGCACTCACACAGCCGTCATATCCTTCACACAACCAGGGGGCACTCACACAGATGTCATATCCTTCACACCACCAGGGGGCACTCACACAGCCGTCATATCCTTCAAACCAACAGCAGGCACTCACACAGATGTCATATCCTTCACACCAACAGCAGGCACTCACACAGCCATCATATCCTTCACACCACCAGGGGGCAGTCACACAGCCGTCATATCCTTCACACCACCAGGGGGCACTCACACAGCCATCATATCCTTCACACCACCAGGGGGCACTCACACAACCGTCATATCCTTCACACAACCAGGGGGCACTCACACAGATGTCATATCCTTCACACCACCAGGGGGCACTCACACAGCCGTCATATCCTTCAAACCAACAGCAGGCACTCACACAGCCGTCATATCCTTCACACCACCAGGGGGCACTCACACAGAAGTCATATCCTTCACACCACCAGGGGGCACTTACACAGCCGTCATATCCTTCACACCAACAGCAGGCACTCACACAGCCGTCATATCCTTCACACCACCAGGGGGCACTTACACAGCCGTCATATCCTTCACACGACCGGGGGCACTCACACAGCCGTCATATCCTTCACACCAACAGCAGGCACTCACACAGAAGTCATATCCTTCACACCACCAGGGGGCACTTACACAGCCGTCATATCCTTCACACCAACAGCAGGCACTCACACAGCCGTCATATCCTATACACCACCAGGGGGCACTCACACAGCCATCATATCCTTCACACCACCAGGGGGCACTCACACAGCCGTCATATCCTTCACACAACCAGGGGGCACTCACACAGATGTCATATCGTTCACACCACCAGGGGGCACTCACACAGCCGTCATATCCTTCACACAACCAGGGGGCACTCACACAGCCGTCATATCCTTCACACAACCAGGGGGCACTCACACAGATGTCATATCCTTCACACCAACAGCAGGCACTCACACAGCCGTCATATCGTTCACACCACCAGGGGGCACTCACACAGCCGTCATATCGTTCACACCACCAGGGGGCACTCACACAGCCATCATATCCTTCACACCAACAGCAGGCACTCACACAGCCGTCATATCCTTCACACCACCAGGGGGCACTCACACAGCCGTCATATCCTTCACACCACCAGGGGGCACTCACACAGCCGTCATATCCTTCAAACCAACAGCAGGCACTCACACAAATGTCATATCCTTCACACCACCAGGGGGCACTCACACAGCCGTCATATCCTTCACACCAACAGCAGGCACTCACACAGATGTCATATCCTTCACACCACCAGGGGGCACTTACACAGCCATCATATCCTTCACACCACCAGGGGGCACTCACACAGCCATCATATCCTTCACACAACCAGGGGGCACTCACACAGATGTCATATCCTTCACACCAACAGCAGGCACTCACACAGCCGTCATATCCTGCACACCACCAGGGGGCAGTCACACAGCCGTCATATCCTTCACACAACCAGGGGGCACTCACACAGATGTCATATCCTTCACACCACCAGGGGGCACTCACACAGCCGTCATATCCTTCAAACCAACAGCAGGCACTCACACAGATGTCATATCCTTCACACCAACAGCAGGCACTCACACAGCCGTCATATCCTTCACACCACCAGGGGGCAGTCACACAGCCGTCATATCCTTCACACCACCAGGGGGCACTCACACAGCCATCATATCCTTCACACCACCAGGGGGCACTCACACAGCCGTCATATCCTTCACACAACCAGGGGGCACTCACACAGATGTCATATCCTTCACACCACCAGGGGGCACTCACACAGCCATCATATCCTTCAAACCAACAGCAGGCACTCACACAGCCGTCATATCCTTCACACCACCAGGGGGCACTCACACAGAAGTCATATCCTTCACACCACCAGGGGGCACTTACACAGCCGTCATATCCTTCACACCAACAGCAGGCACTCACACAGCCGTCATATCCTTCACACCACCAGGGGGCACTTACACAGCCGTCATATCCTTCACACGACCGGGGGCACTCACACAGCCGTCATATCCTTCACACCAACAGCAGGCACTCACACAGAAGTCATATCCTTCACACCACCAGGGGGCACTTACACAGCCGTCATATCCTTCACACCAACAGCAGGCACTCACACAGCCGTCATATCCTATACACCACTAGGGGGCACTCACACAGCCATCATATCCTTCACACCACCAGGGGGCACTCACACAGCCGTCATATCCTTCACACAACCAGGGGGCACTCACACAGCCGTCATATCCTTCACACAACCAGGGGGCACTCACACAGATGTCATATCCTTCACACCACCAGGGGGCACTCACACAGCCGTCATATCCTTCAAACCAACAGCAGGCACTCACACAGATGTCATATCCTTCACACCAACAGCAGGCACTCACACAGCCGTCATATCCTTCACACCACCAGGGGGCAGTCACACAGCCGTCATATCCTTCACACCACCAGGGGGCACTCACACAGCCATCATATCCTTCACACCACCAGGGGGCACTCACACAGCCGTCATATCCTTCACACAACCAGGGGGCACTCACACAGATGTCATATCCTTCACACCACCAGGGGGCACTCACACAGCCATCATATCCTTCAAACCAACAGCAGGCACTCACACAGCCGTCATATCCTTCACACCACCAGGGGGCACTCACACAGAAGTCATATCCTTCACACCACCAGGGGGCACTTACACAGCCGTCATATCCTTCACACCAACAGCAGGCACTCACACAGCCGTCATATCCTTCACACCACCAGGGGGCACTTACACAGCCGTCATATCCTTCACACGACCGGGGGCACTCACACAGCCGTCATATCCTTCACACCAACAGCAGGCACTCACACAGAAGTCATATCCTTCACACCACCAGGGGGCACTTACACAGCCGTCATATCCTTCACACCAACAGCAGGCACTCACACAGCCGTCATATCCTATACACCACTAGGGGGCACTCACACAGCCATCATATCCTTCACACCACCAGGGGGCACTCACACAGCCGTTATATCCTTCACACAACCAGGGGGCACTCACACAGATGTCATATCGTTCACACCACCAGGGGGCACTCACACAGCCGTCATATCCTTCACACAACCAGGGGGCACTCACACAGCCGTCATATCCTTCACACAACCAGGGGGCACTCACACAGATGTCATATCCTTCACACCAACAGCAGGCACTCACACAGCCGTCATATCGTTCACACCACCAGGGGGCACTCACACAGCCGTCATATCGTTCACACCACCAGGGGGCACTCACACAGCCATCATATCCTTCACACCAACAGCAGGCACTCACACAGCCGTCATATCCTTCACACCACCAGGGGGCACTCACACAGCCGTCATATCGTTCACACCACCAGGGGGCACTCACACAGCCATCATATCCTTCACACCAACAGCAGGCACTCACACAGCCGTCATATCCTTCACACCACCAGGGGGCACTCACACAGCCGTCATATCCTTCACACCACCAGGGGGCACTCACACAGCCGTCATATCCTTCACACAACCAGGGGGCACTCACACAGATGTCATATCCTTCACACCACCAGGGGGCACTCACACTGCCGTCATATCCTTCAAACCAACAGTAGGCACTCACACAGCCGTCATATCCTTCACACCACCAGGGGGCACTCACACAGAAGTCATATCCTTCACACCACCAGGGGGCACTTACACAGCAGTCATATCCTTCACACCAACAGCAGGCACTCACACAGCCGTTATATCCTTCACACCACCAGGGGGCACTTACACAGCCGTCATATCCTTCACACGACCGGGGGCACTCACACAGCCGTCATATCCTTCACACCAACAGCAGGCACTCACACAGAAGTCATATCCTTCACACCACCAGGGGGCACTTACACAGCCGTCATATCCTTCACACCAACAGCAGGCACTCACACAGCCGTCATATCCTTCACACCACCAGGGGGCACTCACACAGCCATCATATCCTTCACACCACCAGGGGGCACTCACACAGCCGTCATATCCTTCACACCACCAGGGGGCACTCACACAGCCGTCATATCCTTCACACAACCAGGGGGCACTCACACAGATGTCATATCCTTCACACCACCAGGGGGCACTCACACTGCCGTCATATCCTTCAAACCAACAGTAGGCACTCACACAGCCGTCATATCCTTCACACCACCAGGGGGCACTCACACAGCCGTCATATCCTTCACACAACCAGGGGGCACTCACACAGATGTCATATCCTTCACACCACCAGGGGGCACTCACACTGCCGTCATATCCTTCAAACCAACAGTAGGCACTCACACAGCCGTCATATCCTTCACACCACCAGGGGGCACTCACACAGAAGTCATATCCTTCACACCACCAGGGGGCACTTACACAGCAGTCATATCCTTCACACCAACAGCAGGCACTCACACAGCCGTTATATCCTTCACACCACCAGGGGGCACTTACACAGCAGTCATATCCTTCACACCACCAGGGGGCACTTACACAGCCGTCATATCCTTCACACCAACAGCAGGCACTCACACAGCCGTCATATCCTTCACACCACCAGGGGGCACTTACACAGCCGTCATATCCTTCACACGACCGGGGGCACTCACACAGCCGTCATATCCTTCACACCAACAGCAGGCACTCACACAGAAGTCATATCCTTCACACCACCAGGGGGCACTTACACAGCCGTCATATCCTTCACACCAACAGCAGGCACTCACACAGCCGTCATATCCTATACACCACTAGGGGGCACTCACACAGCCATCATATCCTTCACACCACCAGGGGGCACTCACACAGCCGTTATATCCTTCACACAACCAGGGGGCACTCACACAGATGTCATATCGTTCACACCACCAGGGGGCACTCACACAGCCGTCATATCCTTCACACAACCAGGGGGCACTCACACAGCCGTCATATCCTTCACACAACCAGGGGGCACTCACACAGATGTCATATCCTTCACACCAACAGCAGGCACTCACACAGCCGTCATATCGTTCACACCACCAGGGGGCACTCACACAGCCGTCATATCGTTCACACCACCAGGGGGCACTCACACAGCCATCATATCCTTCACACCAACAGCAGGCACTCACACAGCCGTCATATCCTTCACACCACCAGGGGGCACTCACACAGCCGTCATATCGTTCACACCACCAGGGGGCACTCACACAGCCATCATATCCTTCACACCAACAGCAGGCACTCACACAGCCGTCATATCCTTCACACCACCAGGGGGCACTCACACAGCCGTCATATCCTTCACACCACCAGGGGGCACTCACACAGCCGTCATATCCTTCACACAACCAGGGGGCACTCACACAGATGTCATATCCTTCACACCACCAGGGGGCACTCACACTGCCGTCATATCCTTCAAACCAACAGTAGGCACTCACACAGCCGTCATATCCTTCACACCACCAGGGGGCACTCACACAGAAGTCATATCCTTCACACCACCAGGGGGCACTTACACAGCAGTCATATCCTTCACACCAACAGCAGGCACTCACACAGCCGTTATATCCTTCACACCACCAGGGGGCACTTACACAGCCGTCATATCCTTCACACGACCGGGGGCACTCACACAGCCGTCATATCCTTCACACCAACAGCAGGCACTCACACAGAAGTCATATCCTTCACACCACCAGGGGGCACTTACACAGCCGTCATATCCTTCACACCAACAGCAGGCACTCACACAGCCGTCATATCCTTCACACCACCAGGGGGCACTCACACAGCCATCATATCCTTCACACCACCAGGGGGCACTCACACAGCCGTCATATCCTTCACACCACCAGGGGGCACTCACACAGCCGTCATATCCTTCACACAACCAGGGGGCACTCACACAGATGTCATATCCTTCACACCACCAGGGGGCACTCACACTGCCGTCATATCCTTCAAACCAACAGTAGGCACTCACACAGCCGTCATATCCTTCACACCACCAGGGGGCACTCACACAGCCGTCATATCCTTCACACAACCAGGGGGCACTCACACAGATGTCATATCCTTCACACCACCAGGGGGCACTCACACTGCCGTCATATCCTTCAAACCAACAGTAGGCACTCACACAGCCGTCATATCCTTCACACCACCAGGGGGCACTCACACAGAAGTCATATCCTTCACACCACCAGGGGGCACTTACACAGCAGTCATATCCTTCACACCAACAGCAGGCACTCACACAGCCGTTATATCCTTCACACCACCAGGGGGCACTTACACAGCCGTCATATCCTTCACACCAACAGCAGGCACTCACACAGCCGTTATATCCTTCACACCACCAGGGGGCACTTACACAGCCGTCATATCCTTCACACCACCAGGGGGCACTCACACAGCCGTCATATCCTTCACACCAACAGCAGGCACTCACACAGAAGTCATATCCTTCACACCACCAGGGGGCACTTACACAGCCGTCATATCCTTCACACCAACAGCAGGCACTCACACAGCCATCATATCCTTCACACCACCAGGGAGCACTCACACAGCCGTCATATCGTTCACGCCACCAGGGGGCACTCACACAGCCTCCATATCCTTCACACAACCAGGGGGCACTCACACAGATGTCATATCGTTCACACCACCAGGGGGCACTCACACAGCCGTCATATCCTTCACACAACCAGGGGGCACTCACACAGCCATCATATCCTTCACACAACCAGGCGGCACTCACACAGATGTCATATCGTTCACACCACCAGGGGGCACTCACACAGCCGTCATATCCTTCAAACCAACAGCAGGCACTCACACAGCCGTCATATCCTTCACACCAACAGCAGGCACTCACACAGCCGTCATATCCTTCACACAACCAGGGGGCACTCACACAGATGTCATATCGTTCACACCACCAGGGGGCACTCACACAGCCGTCATATCCTTCACACAACCAGGGGGCACTCACACAGCCGTCATATCCTTCACACAACCAGGCGGCACTCACACAGATGTCATATCGTTCACACCACCAGGGGGCACTCACACAGCCGTCATATCCTTCAAACCCACAGCAGGCACTCACACAGCCGTCATATCCTTCACACCAACAGCAGGCACTCACACAGCCGTCATATCCTTCACACCACCAGGGGGCACTTACACAGCCGTCATATCCTTCACACCACCAGGGGGCACTCACACAGCCGTCAAATCCTTCACACCAACAGCAGGCACTCACACAGCCGTCATATCCTTCACATCTGTCCGGAAAGAGAAAGGTGGGGGCTTCGATTCGGGGACAAGTCATACAAAAAGATGTAAAAAGATGGAACTTGATGTTTCCCCGGTGGTGTCTCAGTGGGCCAGCACCATAAAACCAGCATTAGTCCAGATGAGGACAAGAAGCCACAAATATGCATGCATGCACAAGAGTGAGTGTGTACTAAATTTAAATACTACGATGATGTAAACTGTAAAAAATCCATAGAAGACAAAAACAAATCTGATCTCGAACCTTGAGGACATTACTAAACTGTTTTCTAAGCATCACCTCACAGCAGTAATGAAATTTCTGTGAGTTTCATAAATGAGAGTATTGCAAAGTTTGAAAGAAAATGTCCCACACGGTTATAACCAATGCAATGACATATAATATAACCTTTTTATTTTAAATCCCCTGTGTATACGTTGAATATATTACAACAATGAATACAAAATACAAGTTGTCACGAACCTGATCCGCCACCCGTATGAGCAGGGGAGCTTCCAACACTCCGGTCTCCTTGTCAAAGTACTTCCCTGCTTCCTCAAACAGGCTCTTTCTGGCCACGAAGAAACAGTAAATTATAATATTATTACAGTATATTGTTTTCAAAAACTGTTCATGGCATCTGTGTATATTCACTGACAACAGATTCATGTGATTCACACGAAGCATGAATATTTGGTACACATTGAAAAATACACATTATTTCCAGATTTCAAATCTTTGGCTACACAGTTGCAATAATTCTGATACAAAGTTTAATCTTAATTCCATTGAAGCATCAGGGCACCCAGTGACATCAGTCCTACAGTGATTACCTGGGCAGGAACTTGAGCTGAGCAGAGAACTGGGACTGTGCCTGGATATATCCAGTTTTAGGCAGCAGCTCCAGGTGGTTACGCAACTCCTTACACACCTCAAACCTCAGCCGCAGGGCCGTGGTCGCTCTAAAACAAAGATCACCTTATTATTAGACTCGGGGTAGAATAGGTTTTCAGCAACCCATGCTTGTCGTAAAAGGCGACTATGCTTGTTGTAAGAGGCGACTAATGGGTGGTCAGGCTCACTGACTTGGTTGATGCATGTCACCGATCCCAATTGCGTGGCTCGATGCTCATGATATCAATCACTGGATTGTCTGGTCCAGACTTGATTGTTTACAGACCGACGTCATTTCGCTGGAATATTGCTGAGTGCGGCGTTAAACAACAAACCAACCAACCAACCTAGAGACATATTTTGCTTTGGAACACAATCTACATATAACACCTTTACAATCCAAACTGAAGAAAATCGGGGAATGATGTATAATCAAACAACAAATGTTAATTAAATTTCAGCGTGTTTGAACATCGTACTTGTAGACTTGTAATTAACTCCCATTTTCCGGGTACAGATTGCCTTGGTGGTGCCAGGATTTTGAAAAGGTCGGGTGCACACTGTACACAACCCAAGTCATGAACAGGACTCATGTTTGTGGGACTGACACAGGTTCTACACGAGGAGCCTGACAAAAAGGGGAGACAATTGTTGGTGGGGTAGCCAAGTGGGTAAAGCAATGGCTCATCACACAGAAGACCAAGGTCATTCTAGAAATAAAGCTAAATGTGACATACCGTATTCAACATTATAAGCTCCCAGGGGGCTCTCAAAATTAGTAATAGGGGGCTCTTTAGAATACTATTTTGGTGAAAAAAAAACAGTTGAAAGATTGTAAATTTTGTGGTTTATGCTGACAGCCTGAAATGTTTATACGACAGATAATTTTTTAATTGCCCTTAACTAAGGGTGCATATAACACATGAGTGCGTATTATACATGAATAAATAAGTCTTGTGCACATTGATCAATTGGAAGGGGTGCTAATTAGGACTGTTCACCAGCCACAATATTAGCAATTATCGCCTAGGGCGCTTATAAGAGAGGGGCGCTTATTACGTCGACTACGGTACCCACATTTAATCCCAGTAACCATCAAATAGTAACAGGGGAGACTGTATGTAGATTTCTCCAACCCATTATGATGAACTGGAGTCTCCATCATGTTACAGGAAGACAGCAGGAAGCCACACCCACCTGTTGTTTACGATAACAGTGTCCTGGAAGAGTCGGTCCAGCATGCAGATCCTCAGGTCCACGGTCTGTCTCTCCACCCACACAGGGACGTCCATTGCCGTCCCCAACGCACTGACAGAAAGCTGCAACATTATCACCATTTTCAGATGTCCATTAATCCATTTGTCATTATTCCTCAAAATATGTCTTAATTAAGAAATAAATGATGAGTTGGAATTGTTTATCGTACCATAAAACAATGCAGAGAAACTAAACCATGAAGGTCGCAGCCCCTAGTGGTTTATTCTCCCTGCAGCATTTTATTGTACGATAAACAACGACCACGATTCATTTATCTCTCATATGAGATATCAACATTATGTTCAGCCTCTTTAAGGATGTTGACAAAATAGGCCTTTATCCAAAGAATTATCATCTAAGAAGGCTTTTCAAGGGTCTGGTTATGTGATCGGCCTATTTCCTTGGCATATCATTTATGAAGTCTTCTCAACGGTCGAACTTGCAGGTCAACCTATAACTGATGTTAACCCCTATTTAAATAATGATGACTCCCTCATTAGAATCCGACCTCAGCAATGTCAGACAAGTCGATTTTATGCACAGGATGGTATTTCCCGCATATTCTCACAATCCTCATGTCGATAACCTGTACCTTTTCTCCCAATATCGACTGACAAATCTCTCCCTGTTGGATGCAATAGTTCAGCCATCATGTTTATATGCGTTGCCCTGCTACCTCTATGGAGAACAACTCACAAGACACTCCCCTCTCAAAAATAACGTCGTCATCAAGTTGCAAGCACACGGTCAAATCTCCAGAAATGACATCATGATAGAACAATGTCTTTTCATGAAATAAACCACACTTCGTTCTTCATTGTTCTTTGCGATATATTACGCAGCTATCTTATATATGACAAGAAACGAAGGTCTTTCAGCTCTAGATTTCTTCAATCATGGCTATATATATCTAATATAATACATAATGGTACAGCGGGGTGAGTCAGTGTGTTTATGCTTATTCAGCGATATGTAACCTGCTAATAACTTTTGTGCATGTGATCCTCATTTCAGTCAACACCTTTGAGTGAATGTTGTCAAATGACGCAGTCAGCAATAATCCAGCTATGTCACAGCAACCCTGGAAATAATCATGTCTGTACCCCACAAACCAGTGACTGAAAGCATGAGCAACAATCTAAACCATCAGCCAAATGCAAGTCACCAACCTGACCATGTGATCGATATGAGTCGCTTCTTGCAACAAGCATAGGTTACTGGGGACCAATTCTTTATGAATGTTTTTTTATGACATCATGGGGTACTGGGCATCAATTCTGCCCCAGAATTCTCTGGGGTTTCTATTACAAGTCCTACAGAGGCAGCAGCACCACCTACCACATCAGACAGGGGGTCTGAGAAAGTAACGAGGAACTCGGTGTCCACTTTCCCTGGTATTGTTGGTTGCCAGATGATCTCAAGTTTGATTGAAGAGAAAGGACCAATCTCCCCTGTGACCACCTGACCGACTCGCATTCCATCCAGTGTCCCATAATCGTCCATTTCACTGATTGCAAAGTCAGGGGAGGCAACTACAAAAAGTTGAATTTTTTAATATAGGATTTTCTAATGAAGGTGTCATTTTAGAACAAAATATATTTGAAACACAATCTCATCTTTCATTTAGAACAGAAATATTTCGCTTGAGCTTATTAAGAAAAAATGACAACCATAATAAAATCATGATCAGTCTTCGGAGTTGGTATTTCAATCTGCATGTTCCAGGGTTCTGTGTGAAACAATTGATGCAAGGGAGATAACTCTCAACTATCTACCTTCTCCATCCAGCTCCCCTGGCTTCAGCTCACTGCCTGGCAGAACATCTCCTCTCCCACCAGAACCCTCTGGCAGAACAGCTCCGTCGGGTAATGCCTGACTATATGAAGGAGTCAACTCAGGGCTTTGTTCTGGGATCTTCTCCAAATCTGAGACAAAACAGAAACTTCAAGTACTGTAAATCGTGAAATTAATGCGTCTCCAAAAGAATGCAACCGCTGGCCCCTCGCCAAAAATGCAACACAATATGAATGCGACACCCCCATCCTCTCAAGCATCAGTGGATTTATACAAGTATCTAAAGAAAACGTCCTCTGTCAGGTTTACAGGAGAATCCTCACCTTAATCCAACCTTACATTAATCCAATCACAAACCAAATAGCACCTCTTATTAGTGCTGAGTAGAGTACTTCCCCTAAAACAATACATGCGGCTGGCTCGTGTCGGACTTTGACGCAGTCGTAAAGAACAAAGACACAGTGTTGCATGGGTGACGTCTGTCTGGACTTGCAGGTGTGATCAGTGATGACATGAGTGAGTAGAACGCTTGTCTTCACCCATGCAGTAACAATTCACAGGATGTAATTATTGTTTGAATGACATTGTTTATATACTTGTTACAAGTGCTGCTCAATAAACAGTGATGTGGAATACATAGTTGTTTGTTTTCAGCGTATGTCTAAGTTGGTATTTCTGCTACCCAAAATGTTGGTTGGTTGGTTGGTTTATTGTTTAACGCCGCACTCAGCAATATTCCAGCTATATGACGGTGGTCTGTAAATAATCGAGTCACGACCAGACAATCCAGTGATTAATATCATGAGCATCAATCCATGCAATCGGGATCGATGACATGCATCAACCAAGTCAGCGAGTCTGACCACCCGACCCCGTTAGTCGTCTTTTACGACAAGCATAGTCACCATTTACGGCAAGCATGGGTTGCTGAAGACATATCTTATTGTTGATAAGACCACTTGCATTTTTCGCATTTAATTCATACTCGCGTTGATTTCATGATTTACAGTATACCCTGATCTAGAAGGGAGGTGCAAGAGTGCTTACCCACTGTTTTGAAGTATCCTACTCATGTTCACATATAAGAAACAACTAACTAAATTGTTTGGTGACATAAAATTAATGGACTAATTTGGGGCAAGCAAGCTCAAATTATTTCTCAAATTTTGTGCCTGCATTTTTGTATGTAAACTCCACTCCCCCTTTATCAAGAAGCTGTATATGTGTTTGTGTAAATCTGTAAAGTGTTGATACAGGGTGTAGCACAAAAATGACTTGAATTCGCTTTTCTTAATGGAATCCTCACCATCCATAGACATCTTTTTTCTGCTCTCTTGCCCTCTGTCTGTGAGACTGATGGACTTTGCCTTGTCTGTGAATTCCACCGAGTCTGGGCTCACAGCTCTCAGTGTGTCCGCAGTTGTCTGGAAGGATATGAGGGCTTTTCTATGGAACATCATTTATGAAGGCTCTTCAAGGATCAGATTTGGGGATCAGCCTATATCCGAGACAAATCATTTATGCAGTCTTCTCTATTTGTGGGTCAACCTATAACCGATTTTGACTTATACATTGACGTAGCTGTGCCAGGCTGCATTATTCGACACAATGACATTTGAGTCAAATCCTCGATTTATTTCCTTTTGGGGGGGGCAAAAATAATCACAGGCACCTCTGTTAGTTAATCTCCAAACAACTCTCTATCTATAGCTGCTGACAGTATTTGTTTAATTTTACACATAACTATTTTATGAATAGTGTAGCATGGCATCGATGTCAATTATTCTCAATGTATTGCTTTTGGGCCAAGGCCCATGGATAATTAAGAGTTGGATCAATTGTTGCATCCCCATATTTTAACATACTGAAATGCTTTCACATTTTGTATTTTTGAGTGAGTGAGTTGTGTTTAATTCTGCTTTAAACAGTATTTAAGTATTATCACAGCATGTCAGCTTCATGTGGGAGGAACGCAAGTCTTAGATGTTTAACCCTCTGGTGATAACCTGGGTGATATAAGCACAGGTGCTGACAAACTGAGAAACATAAACAGGATTCCAACTAACGATCAAAGAATTATGGCATGCCTAAGTGATTCATCTCTGCACAGCAATATATCTTTGACAACTGGGCCACCCATACACTGTGTGTTGTACAATAAACATCATTGCCTTACCAGCCTTCCTAGTGAAGTCTCAGCTGTTGTGCAGGTTCTCTGCTTCATCCCTGCAACACACATTCAACACTGTAGCCATGGTTACACAATGGAAACTTCATCAGCAACATAATTTTTTGTTTCATAAGTTAACCCTCATACAGTGCTTTGATTTGAAGAAAATTTAGCATTTTGTCCAGCTAACCTGTGACCTTGAAGAACTCAAACTTGGTTCCAAGCGCTCCCTTGTTGCTGAGAGTCACAGTGCGTTTGAGTGTCTCTCCAATCACGGTGGTACCGAACTCCACGATCTTGGAGTCAACGTGGAGCTGGAACAAATAAACTTCCGTCACTAGATCTTGGTTTTAGTGTCACCTTGTGTATGCACACTTAAAATAACAACTGAATACAATTTCTCTAATCATCCAGAATCTGTATCAGCTCCCGCCACAATGTTTTTTCCCAACATTCAGAAACCAGGAACATAGACAAAAATGGTTCCGTACAAATGAGCTTGAAAAAGTAGGATCATATCTATCTGTAGCTATTCTACCACAGAATGTCAACATCAGCTGACTGACCGACTGACTGACTGAGTATGGTTTTACACCGCTTTTAGCAATATCCCAGCAATATCACGGCGGGGGACACCAGAAATGGGCCTCACACAGTGTACCCATGTCGGGAATTGAACCCGGGTCTTCGGTGTGACGAGAGAACGCTTTAACCACTAGGCTACCAGTCATATTACAGCAGGTGATGAACCTGTGGTTAATAGTGTGAGCATCGATTTGAGAGTCTTTTCTGGTGGTCATACTATCCTCCATTTTTGGCACTTGGTACACATTCTAGTTACCTGTCACAGCATGTCCTGGAGTCCACATGTCCATGTGAGCTAATAATCGGGGTATCGGTATTTGATTCATTCATTCCTTGATCTGGTGATGGAATACAACTACTGGTTCTAACTTACATCACATTTCTTGGTTGTACATCGCAGCGGGATTGCAAAAGGCCCCGTCTGGGACAGGAAGCTGACCTCACCAATCAGGTCCTCGTTGATCTGTGGATTAATTGGTTCAAAGAAAATAAACAGAATTTGTTCCAGTCAGGTGATAATGTATTATTATATGTTCATTGGATTCTGAAAATGTATGCACAAAATTATGGACAATATTTATATAGTTGTACACTGGTTGAAAATGGCTACACCACAAAAACAACTTCAGTAATCCACTGGAATCTCAGATATCTTTGTCACTTCTATTGTATTAGTGACTGGTTACATGGTTTTATGGTGCTCTCAGCAATAATTCTTCAACATCATGACAGGGGACATAAAGAATCCATCTCACACAGTGAACCCAAGTGTGTACGTCTGTTGATGCGTAACACCTCACTTAGAAATACCCCAGTTATATGTTGGCAGCCGGTAAATAATTGAATCTGGACCAGACAATCCAGTGATTGATATTATGAACAACAATCCACGTCATCTGGGCAGGTAGACATGCCCTAAACCAATCCACTACGTCGCCTCTTACGACCAGCTAGGGTACAAGGGACCAATTCTAGCCTGGAAACGCACTTTGGCATAATGACTTTGGCATAATAATAATAATAACAGGCCATTTATATTGCTCATATTTCCACATCACTAATGGACATGCTCAAAGTGTGATTATTACCCTGGTCACTGGATCAGTATGCACCCAAGAATCATTCTCAGCTCCCTAGGGAGTATACAACCCAAGCTGTCTGTTAGGCGCTAGAAGGTTAACAACCATATTGCCACCTCATCCTACCGGGTACCCATTCACTGCTGGGTGAGCAAGACCTTTAACCACTATGCTACCCCACCATACATTTAATGGGATAGCACCACATGTCATTGATATGTATGTAGGGTGCAGACTTTTACCATGTTCTTTGTGTTCTTACTAGAATACATGCAATTCAGACAATAAGAGGATACATTATGACACTTTTAATCATGCCCATATTATCAAATCTTTTACCTCAAAAGGATCTGACAAACTCTCCAAATGAAGTCACGTCAGATGAACCCTGAGCGAACTTTGGCTAATCAATTGTAACATTTCCAATGAGATTTGGCTTAACTATTTTCTTTATTTTGTTAACATGTTATGTTGGTGAGCTCAGAAAAAAGATGGGGTGTTACTCTTTTAATTATTGTTCTCCATTCAGAACTGACCATTAAATTCATTTTCGAATTGTAGAAATCGTATGTCCTGCTCCATATGCTTTCACACTTGTGAAATTTTTGGGGGGGGTACAGGTGGCTTAGTCATCCAAGGCGCATAGAAATGTACGCCACCTGACCAAAGTAGTGACCAGTACACTTGATAGAAGTGCGTAACTCTCATGCTTCATGAAACTTGTACATTTCCGCATGACAGGCTTAAACAACAAACACTTGGCTGCACAAACCATACAGTCAAAAATTGTGCAATCTGCTTCAAATGTGAATGGAGGAGTTTGTGAGATCTGTTGCGAATATTTCATGGAACCTGGGTATTTGCCTGTTTATATGCCAATAAGGTACTGGCACTCATCCTCTATGTCTGACATAATGAGATACATTATTAACCAAGGGTTTCCATTTCAGGATCTTATTATAATATATTAACTTACCATAGGCTTGAATGTGACCATCATCTCACAGGTCAAACCAGCTGACATCTGGCCAGGGGGATCAAAGCTGAAAGAAGAATCAGGGGAGGTAACTTTGCAGCTGTTCCCATTTACATTACGAGGGAGTGTGTGAACGTTATATGCTGCAGGCAGAATTAATCCAACTGTATCGCATCGGGGTACACATCGGGGTACACATCGGGGTACACATTAGGGTACACATCAGGGTATACATCGGGGTACACTTCCGGGTACACATCGGGGTGTCAGGGTACACATCAGGGTACACATCGGGGTACACATCGGGGTACACATCTGGGTATACATCGGGGTACACGTCAGGGTACACATCGGGGTGTCTGGGTACACATCAGGGTACACATCGGGGTACACATCTGGGTATACATTGGGGTACACTTCAGGGTACACATCAGGGTACACATTGGGGTACACTTCAGGGTACACATCAGGGTATATACATGAGGGTACACATGAGGGTACACTTCAGGGTACACATCGGGGTACACATCAGGGTACACTTCAGGGTACACATCGGGGTACACATCGGGGTACACATCGGGGTACATATCGGGGTACACCAGGGGTCCGGAAAATTTAAAATCCCAGTCGGACATTTGCATTTAGGCCACGCCCCCTTCAAATAGCGTATTTTAGTACGACTTTTCACACACATTACAAGTTTACGTATTCATAATATGATGAATTATGAATTGTTTCAATTTAAATTGTTTAATTCACCGGACAATTAATAACAAATAATACCATATTAGATTTACATGGAAAACATACGTTTGTTTCTGTTATAATAACGACCTGTTAACGTAGTGAACGGTCTAATTAATATTCATGAGTTATATTCATGAGTCTGCTCAAGTGTACGTTGTAACATTTGGATCGAGACTATTATCCCATAGTTGGTTATCACGTGACCTCATGGGAAAAGGTTTTTTTTAAACTAAAGGTTTTTTTAAAAACAAGACAGATAATTTAATCACAAATACTAAAATATCGTTGATAGCAATAGTTATTTGAATACTTTTTTCATCTGTACTTAATTATTGACCATAAAAAAATTGGATATCGATCGACCGAGAAAGCAAAATGGCGCTCAATCAAGATTCAATATACGACTAGCTACTGAAAACAATATCCACGACTTACAAAATGATCGTCAAGACTTTGAGGGTTTGACAGATCCGCTCGATTGATCTGCATCGGTCAACTGGCTGTCGTCACGCTTTCGCTTCTTGTCTGAGGTTACGTATCGTAGCATTGTGAGGATAATGAGGTACATCAATGATGCAAGGTATTAATGTACAGTTGTAAACACCTTTCACTCAAATTAACAAGATGTTCTCAGTAAATAATCCTCGATTAATCAGTGTCAACTCAGTTTATTGCCTATTACAGTGATTGACCGATTGGACTATCATGTAGGTACGATGTATTTTCAGCAATCAAAACAAACAAAGCTTGTCAGTGTAGTTAATCTTCATTGTGTTGCAACTGCAGACAGAAACTGCTCAGTCCTAACTGTTTATCATGTCCGGTCAAAATTTAAGAATGTCCGGACAATACTTTTTAAAATGTCCGGTAAGCAATATTTTAAAACGGACATTTGAGATTCCCAGTCGGACATGTCCGGCGCATATGACGGTTTCCGGACCCGTGGGGTACACATCAGGGTACACATCGGGTTACACATCAGGGTATACACATCGGGGTACACATCAGGGTACACATCAGGGTACACATCAGGGTACACTTCAGGGTACACATCGGGTTACTCATCAGGGTACACTTCAGGGTATATACATCGGGGTACACATCGGGGTACACATCGGGGTACACTTCAGGCTACACTTCAGGGTATATACATTGGGGTACACTTCAGGGTATATACTTCAGGGTATATACATTGGGGTACACATCAGGGTACACATCAGGGTACACTTCAGGGTACACATCAGGTTACACATCAGGGTACACTTCAGGGTATATACATCGGGGTACACATCGGGGTACACTTCAGGCTACACTTCAGGGTATATACATTGGGGTACACATCAGGGTATACACATCAGGGTACACATCGGGGTACACAACAGGGTACACATCGGGGTACACCTCAGGGTACACATAAGGGTATGCTTCAGGGTACACATCAGGGTACACATAAGGGTACACTTCAGGATACACATCAGGGTATACACATCAGGGTACACATAAGGGTACACTTCAGGATACACATCAGGGTACACATCAGGGTACACATCGGGGTACACATCAGGGTATACACATCAGGGTACACATCGGGGTACACCTCAGGGTACACATAAGGGTACACTTCAGGGTACACATCAGGGTACACTTCAGGATACACATCGAGGTACACTTCAGGGTACACTTCGGGGTACACATCGGGGTACACTTCAGGCTACACTTCAGGGTATATACATTGGGGTACACATCAGGGTACACATAAGGGTACACTTCAGGGTACACATCAGGGTACACATAAGGGTACACTTCAGGACACACATCGAGGTACACTTCAGGGTACACTTCGGGGTACACATCGGGGTACACTTCAGGCTACACTTCAGGGTATATACATCGGGGTACACATCAGGGTACACATCGGGGTACACCTCAGGGTACACATCAGGGTAGACATCATGGGAACACATCAGGTACATTTACACAAATGTCAGCCACATCTCCCATTGTGACCACCCTATCTTCATCATAGTTGGATGAGACCTGCTCTCTGCAGGGTAACTACAGCGTGGAAAAGATACCAAACACGCTGACAGTGACTCAGACTACCTTTTCATCTTAGCCATGGGATAAGTTCTCAAATTTGAAGCTCTGTCATAATGTTCAATAAAAAAATGATGTTTGTAATTTTTCCCCCCCCCAAACTCTTGATTGGTCTTTATAAAAGCATGCATAAATAATTTGTCTGGATCAGTCCCTGACATGTATTGAACACAATGTTAACAGGTATCCAATCTGTCGATTACTGGAATTTCTGTAAATGACAGGATAAATAGTGTTCAAATTTAATGGGGGTCAATGATCCTTGCATTGATGGTTTCTGGTACAGTATCTTAATCTGGGGGCCCCCTTAATCTTTTCCTTCCTTCCTTCCTTCCTTCATTCATTCATTCCAGTTCTTCAACTGGACACCAGGTGGTGTTCTGTGTGACTCACTCAATATGGATGAAGTCCTTGAGCCTCTCTGTGATACCCACAAACTTGCAATAGTTGACTGTGTACGAGACATTGGTCAGCGTCACCTTCTTCTTGTAGCAGTGGCCGACATTGAAGTCCTAGGAGAAACAACTTGTCATGAGACACAGCAACAAAGTTAGGACTCAAATCAAACAGTAACAAAGAGTTCCCAGAGTCTTTGGCATACACAGAAATTGAATTTTAGTATCTAAACTCCCATTTGAGTTGTTCATCACATAAACATGATAAAGCCAGTTATAAATGTACACACAAGTCAGCTGGACAAACACACATGGAATGATGAGAATATGAACAATATGAACTGTATGATTCACAAAATAAACTTAGAGATTCAGAAATGAAAATTGTATTAACAACTTTCAATGAACTGGACGGGGGTAAACTTCCTAACTCACAACTGTGTTTTGTCTTGCTTATTGTGAAATTCAGTGAGTTCATTAATGTTTTAAAGTATACTTGTTCATGATCAGACACTTTATTTCCAAATGGCACACATATACAGTAAGTTAAATACATTGATATTCCTCGATAATATGGGTGATCAACTTCATTATTACCTTTTTTAAAAGAAAAAAAGAAAAAAAAGCTTTTGTAAAAGAAGTTGATCAACCACAGAATCTTGTCATCAGTAACAGATATGGTACTTCTGAATGCCACTCAAAGGTCACATGAGTAGTTACTGCAGGTACAGAGAGATGTCAATGACAGGGACACAAATGTGGAACATGAACATTAATACAGTGGCATGAAGTTTCATAAAAAATAACTCAAAATTCTATCTGAATGAAAAAGTCTTTTTTTTTAGAAATGCCATCAAAGAACTTTGGGACACAGGAAATAAGGATGGAAATTCTGCTTGTGAATGTCTGAAGGACTGTTTAAATAATGCCGCAGAAAACATGAACAATCAACCTTTCTTTACAAACCACCAAAGATATCAAAATTCTATTCTGTTTGCTATTGATTCTTTTTTATTTACATAACGGTTAGTAGATTGGAAAAAAACCCAACATATTTACATGACAAAAATAAAGTTACTTACAATATATTAGTTATTTATAAAGTACATGTCATTTAATGTGAAGGTAAGGTTGTGTTTGGTGTACCAAAAACATGGTGCCATATTTGCCTCAAGAGCATGAATGTTGGCGGATTCTCGGAGATATGAGTGAGCAATGCAATCTCATTAAAATCAGATCTGAGTTCTCGGTTCCGCTAAACAAAGATCTGAGAACACCCCATTATGGGTCACATCAGACCGACCTCTTGCGAACTTTGACCGACCAATGGAATGACTGGCAAGAAGTCGACATTAGCCAATCAGAAGGCAGCCTTCTCGTGCTTTCAATTTTCAAATTGGCGACTACGCTTAGAAACATATTTTGACAAATTCTCAATTAAAAATTTGGAAACCTGAACAAAAGAACATTCTGAAATGGCTAATAGATGGTCTAGATTGTATGGATTCAGTCGCTAAGCCCGTAACTAACATTACCAATACCCATGTTAAAGTTTTAGAGGTTGCATGATTAGAAATCACAATCCGACTGTCACTTTCATGATCTGGTAAGTGACGCCCTGATTGGTCAGATGAAAGGTCGTTTTGACATGACCCCTAGTGGGATGTCCTCAGATCTTTGTTGAGCGGTAGCGAGAACTAAGATCTGATTTTAATGAGATTGGTGAGCAATGAGGCCTACAAGAAGGGGAGACAACTGGCTTACCTTGAAGTGAATGATGTCCGGTTTGCTGTAGAAGGGACATCCTGTGAACTCCTTCCCTGCAGCCACTTGTTTAACAATGATTCCCTCACGGTGTTTGTCCAAAACCTTCGCCAGGATTTCCTGGTTTAACATGACAAGTTATCTCTGTTAAACATGACCTTCTAACACCACATAATGCATCCTTGGTAGAAACTAACATTATTAGTCCACTAGTTCTTATAATGATGACATACAGCAAAACTCTTACAAATGGCAAATTTCTACTGGTCCTTATGGATCATAACTACTGGGCAGTTTGGAAAGGACAACAGGACTATTGCCAATTTCTAACGATGATGATGATGATGATGATGATGATGATGATGATGATGATGATTACGATAGTTAAAGAACAAACATATTTTTGGAAGTCTAACATCTTTCAACAGTTCAGAGTATACCGTACGTGAATGAGTGAGTCCAATAGATTTAATGCTGCTTTGAGTTGTATTTCCATCTTGTTATGGCCTGCCATCTTAATGTGGGAGAAGAGATCAAAGTATCATAGGTCATAAGACTTTCTCACTTTTGCTAAACTCCTGAGCAAGGATTAACACGCAGACCATCATACTCAGGACTACTCCTGAATTCAAACCCACTGACCAGAAGATCTGGACATGCTTGGGGTTGAACTCTACACAGAGAATTGTGGCAGCTCACACCACTGGGCCATGTGTGCCTGTCCTCACCTGGTCCATCTTGCTGGCTCCAGGCAGCTTGACAAGGCCGTCCATATCTTTTGGCACCTTGTACGGCTTGTGCTGGTCCCACAACCCTTCAAACTCTGGCTTGGCCAAGTTAACATGCTGCTCATCTGGAATCACAAAGCAAACATGACATTAGGAAAGTGGCTTCCACAAAAAATTTATCTGAGCGAATAGGCTCTTCTGCAATTTTTACTAGAATATGAAACAACCTGTGTTTGAAACCAAGTAAAACAATACCCGTGGCCTTGAGGTCTCTTCTTATAGTATTTCAATCTTGGGTCTTCCTGTCCACAAGTATTCAGGGTATTATGTCTCTTTTCAATTATCATGATTATGATAAATACCCTGGACCTAGCCACCATCACAGCTTGAGCTTGATTTGTATGGCACTATGCTAAGTTAAGCCTTCCAATCAAATTACTCAGCTAAGCTGCCTGTCAATAACCAAATCCGGACCAGACAAACACTGAGACAATGACTGAGAGCACGACAGTATGAACAACAATCTACACCATCAGGGCACACAAACAACCAAGCCAATGATCCTGATGTATCTTCAACAACCATCGGGACGTCACAATCTGATACTGATTCTCCTCGTCTCTTCACTGTCAAGCATGGACTCCCCACAGGGAGACAGTACAGAAGACAACACAGCATAGACTCCCCACAGGGACACAGTACAGAAGACAACACAGCATAGACTCCCCACAGGGAGACAGTACAGAAGGCAACACAGCATGGACTCCCCACAGGGAGACAGTACAGAAGACAGCACAGCATAGACTCCCCACAGGGAGACAGTACAGAAGGCAGCACAGCATAGACTCCCCACAGGGAGACAGTACAGAAGACAACACAGCATAGACTCCCCACAGGGAGACAGTACAGAAGGCAACACACCATGGACTCCCCACAGGGAGACAGTACAGAAGACAGCACAGCATAGACTCCCCACAGGGAGACAGTACAGAAGACAGCACAGCATAGACTCCCCACAGGGACACAGTACAGAAGACATCACAGCATAGACTCCCCACAGGGACACAGTACAGAAGACAACACAGCATGGACTCCCCACAGGGACACAGTACAGAAGACAACACAGCATAGACTCCCCACAGGGAGACAGTACAGAAGACAGCACAGCATAGACTCCCCACAGGGAGACAGTACAGAAGGCAACACAGCATGGACTCCCCACAGAGAGACAGTACAGAATGCAGCACAGCATAGACTCCCCACAGGGAGACAGTACAGAAGGCAACACAGCATAGACTCCCCACAGGGACACAGTACAGAAGACAACACAGCATGGACTCCCCACAGGGAGACAGTACAGAAGACAGCACAGCATAGACTCCCCACAGGGAGACAGTACAGAAGACAGCACAGCATAGACTCCCCACAGGGAGACAGTACAGAAGACAGCACACAGAGAGACAGTACAGAAGACAACACAGCATAGACTCCCCACAGGGAGACAGTACAGAAGACAGCACAGCATAGACTCCCCACAGGGAGACAGTACAGAAGACAGCACAGCATAGACTCCCCACAGGGAGACAGTACAGAAGACAGCACAGCATAGACTCCCCACAGGGAGACAGTACAGAAGACAACACAGCATAGACTCCCCACAGGGAGACAGTACAGAAGGCAACACAGCATAGACTCCCCACAGGGAGACAGTACAGAAGACAGCACAGCATAGACTCCCCACAGGCAGCACATCTTACCTTCACTGTCTCCGGCATTGGAGTCACTAGAGTCGAGCAGTTTATGGGTAGTGTCCATCTCCCGGAACTGGTCCTGTCTCTCATCCTCATCCTCTGTGTCATCCTTCACCCCATCCTGCTTCTGATCACAAAGTTTTTAAAACAATTCAGAAAAAATTCAACAATAACAGAGAATTGAAATGAGAAGTAGCAGGAAAACCATAACATAGATTATTGTAATGAGTTTATTTTTTGTTATTTTTTTCCAATACTGACAAGTCAGTTCAACAGGCCAGTGGTTGTTATGATGTGTTTATTTCCCACAGAGGACAACCCCTCACAGGGAATTCCTGCCCCACTGGAGTGAGAGAGTAGAAGTCAGCAGTATACAGCCATATTATGACGAGAATAAGTTGCCCAACTGGAAGAAACATAGCTGCTGTCTATTCATGAATTCATCTTCTCAAGCAATGTCCATCTATTTGAATACAAACATTTTTATCTAACCAGCCTGAAATCTTTTCAGTTTAAAACAAGGGTTGAAAAGCATATTTGACTTTCATGCTTAATTTCAATCATGACTGTCACACAGCTACTTCAACACTGACTTATGCTTGTCAGAGCACAAAGATCGTCTTATGGTAAAGGACCTGGACTGAGATAGCGTCCCACCTCTGGTTGTAGATCAGGAGATCGACTGAATGTTTCCTCTGACGTGAGACCCTCAGACATCTTGGTATATTCCTCAAACACTTTCAAAGTCTTCTTCTTATGGGGGGCAACCATCTTCAAAAATAAAACAATGAGGCAATTTCAGAGGAAAGTTACATAAGAGGTGCAACAACCCCCTTTTCAAAAAAGCTGTTAATCCCAGAGTGTTAATCAGACAAAAATACCAGGCTACAAGTTCAAATATTCAACGTTGTATGCACACCTTGCTACATACCTTTGCCTTTTGTCTCTTCTGGTCCTCCCACAACAGGGGCTGTTGTTTCTTCCTCCGGCGCATCCTCTCTTCCTCCAACAAAACCCGCCCCAGGATTTCACTCTTGTTTTGGACCTGCTGCTCCTCAAACTGACTGTAAATAGATGTTCGTCATGGTTGCTTGTTCGTAAGTGACATCATGGCTCATATCTCTGAGCACAGAATTTGACTGGACAGCTATTTTGAGCATTTTAGCATTGCGTTATTTGAATTGGTCTCAAAACAAAGTTATAGTGGCGAATGGATTCTGGGAATTTATCACACTAAAATTGAGGTATAATACCCTGAATAATGAAGCATGGGTGCTTTTAGAACAATAAAAATATACAACAAATTCAAAGTCCTCTTAAAGTTTAGTCCCCATAACAAGAAAATTAAGATGACAATATTCGATTAAATAAATATTTGATGAACATGATATTTTCCCAATGCGAAAACTCTGAGTGGGAAACTATTTTCATTGTGTGAAGGTTAACACGAAACTCAGGATCACCACATCTGTTTTCAGAGTGATTGAACACTACTTTACCAATTACCAATTGAAATTACCCTACTGTTTTGTATCATTTTTTTTAACATTTTCCCTTTCTAAGTCAAGATTACTGTTAATTTTTTTTTCAAAAGTACACTAATACAAACATTATGAATGTATGTTACTATTTGTGTCTTTCTTCATGCAAATTAATACTCTTTTGATACGAAAAAGGGGGAAAAAATGTAAAAACAGGCCAAACTGAATTTCTACACAGAGTTATGGGAATTGAATTGCCGCGCGGGGAAGAGGCCACCCTAACTGTTTACGCTGCAGTTAGTACACAACAGACAACCAGTGACTGATAGCATGAGCAACAACATATGCAACTGAGTATGATGACCCACAAATCAGTTAGATTACCCACTGCAACAACCCCAACCTCCTTTTAACTGACTCTTAAATAAAGCTAAGGACTTTTCTGAATTGAATTCCCAATAAAGTGTAACATTATCCAAAAGATAAGTACCCATGTTAAATGACATCATTTTCAAGATACATAAGCGTATTGTTAAAGGTATAATGCTCACAGTTTTTGCTTCTCAAAACTATTTAGACGTTTCTTTATGAGCAGAGCCTCATCTGGATTTCCTCCATCTTGCGATATCCTCCGTCTCTCCTCTTGCTCCATGAATGTCTCCTCTCTCTCGCGCGCCTTGTCACGAGCTCGAAGTGCTCGCAGGTTTTCCTACAATACAAGTGAGAAGAAACGTAGTACACTTTCCAAGAAGACTTGCTGTGCAATGAAATGATTTAAACAACGATCAAGTATGTTCAGACACATGATATAAAAACTTAACAGGAATTTCGCCAGTAATATGGACTCAAAACTGCACTTGACCTTGACCTTGACCTACATCCATCATCAATTAATAAAGGACAGTTTGTCTTGATTCGACATACGCCGGTTCAGAGATACATGTAACAGAACTTGATGTTCACGTGACTCCACCATGTGACCCTGACCTCCACATGCTCAAATCACGATTGTTAATATCGCATTGATATATATGATTAGAATAAACCAAAATGGATACTTATATTACAGCTATGTTAATTGTCTTCAGCAGATAATCTAATGATTTTAGTTTTCATGTGAAGTTCACACATATTTGGCTTCCCTATTGAATGAGAGGCCAATCAGATGACCACAATACTGATCTGATATTCATACATTTTATGGGACACTGTATTCTAGACTTACAAACTATAAAGGTTCATACTCAAACATACTTAATACACAAACAGTCAATTCTTTTAGTTACCCTGTTGGCTGCAATATCATTCTTGAGTTTCACCAACATCTCTATTTTCTTCTGCATGTCGGACTGGTAGCGGTTCTCTACCTCCTTTTCTCGGGTGCGCAGTCTGCAGAAATTCAAACATATTTGGAAACCCAAAATGTGAATTCGGCTAAATTATCCTTATATTTAGTGCAAGTGTTATCATTTATGTTTCAAGGTCTCAGTAATAGTGTTTGCAGTGTTCTTTACTTCCTCGATTATCCAGCGTATTAAATCTCCATTCGATTATGATAGATACCCCGTACATCCATTTGACACATAAAGATTCATTTTGAGCCCAGTTTGAATGACACGATGCCAAAAGTTCCCATCCAATCCAACCACACTGTTCTTTCTGTACTCTACTCTACTTTTGCATACCGTCTTATATGCAGCTAGAGTGTCTTGTGGCATAAGGAATTCCCTCCCCCTTGTGTAAGGACTCAGGAACATCGTTTCTTCCGAAAAGTTTATTTATAACTGTGTTCCGATTTAATTAAATATAGCGAGGGCATGCTTGGATGAGGTCCCAATTTTAAAATGTCAAGCTCATGAGCAAGAGAAATTCTTTGCTGAATTTGTGATTGGAGAGATGGAGCTGGTGACATCACTTCCAAAACAAAGGTGTGGTGTTGAATAGATCCAGGGTACATTCTGACATAGCAAAATGATACACTGGATAATCGAAGTGTAAGCCTGACAGTCAAGGGTAACATACATATCCAGATCTATTTGAACTTGGTAGTGACACAGCTGGATCCATTTAGGAGATCAATTCCCAAAACTGATAGAGTCGTCCTCAAGAGTGGTGTTATCATTACATGTGTTTTCACATCACTTTGTCAGGGTTAGAAATTAACACTAGCCCACCGGCCCGGGGCTAGTACAAATTCCTGCAGGCTAGTACACATTTCAGAATTTCCCCATTTAAACAATTTAAATTTAAATTTAAACAAGTGCATTTATCTTTACCCGGGCTTGTAAAGGTCTTGAGTTTAGTTCTAACCCCGACTTTGTTTCCCCCTCTCTTCTTACATGATCACAAAAACAAATATGTTCTTATCAATTTGGGGCGGTCGGGTAGCCTAGTGGTTAAAGCATTCGCTCATCACGCCGAAGACCCGGGTTCGATTCCCGACATGGGTACAATGTGTGAAGCCCATTTCTGGTGTCCCCCGCCGTGATATTGCTGGAATATTGCTAAAAGCGGCGTAAAACCATACTCACTCACTCACTCACTCTTATCAATTTCGAATTATTGTTATTTTCAAGAGTGACCCAATGGTTTTGAAACAAAAAGTATTAAGTAACAATCACTTAACCCTTAAATAAACTGTACCAGTTCCTACTTCCAATATGAAATCGGTATTTTGGTAATGAACAGAAAACCTCTGGAATCAGAATCTCAAATTTCAGTTTTTTTCAACAATATTACAAATAAAATAATTTTGTTGGTACACTGTTGTTTGTGTGCTTGCAATCTCATTGAAATCAGATCTCAGTTCTCTCTGCCGCAAAACAAAGATCTGAGGACATCCCATTACGGGTCACGTCAGACCGACCTTTCGCGAACTCTGACCGACCAATGGAGTTACTGACAAGAAGTCGACATTAGCCAATCAGAAGACAGTTTTGTGATGCTTTACGGCATTAACTGCAAATTGGCGACTACGCTTCAAAACATATCTTGACAAATTCTCGCTCAAAAATTTAAAAACCTGAACAAAAGAGCATTCTCGAACGGCTAACATATGGTCTAGATTGTATAGATTCAGTTGTTAAGCCAGTAACTATCGTTTGGAATACCCCGTTTTAAAGTTTTCGAGGCTACATGATTAGAAATCACATTCCAACTGTCACTTTCATGATCTGGTAAGCGACGCTCTGATTGGTCAGATGAAAGGTCGTTCTGACGTGACCCCTAATGGGATGTCCTCAGATCTTTGTTTTGCGGTAGCGAGAACTAAGATCTGATTTTTATGAGATTGGTGTGCTTGAGTCAGGTTATGCGATTCATGATGTACTTTCAAAATGATGACACAGAGATCACTCCAGGGTTCGCTACAAACATATCCATAAGTTGTCTCACTTGTCAAGTGTGATGTTGAGGTACTTATTGGCCCTTTCCTGGCTTCTCTTAGCTTCCTCCATGGCATGTCGGTGTCGATCTTCTCGTGCCCGGATAGCCTCTCTCTGGTCTCTGGCAATATGGAGAACATGAAGTGGTAATCTCAGATCACTGTGTTATCAGACTGTCACAATTCAAATGTCTCACATGCAAGGATGGCATCTGAACCTGTCTATGTTTCAATGACACAAAGGTATTACTTCATTCATTGGTGACCATATGGGATTTTCTTTAAAACAAAGGGATCAGGGGTTGGGTTGAACCCAAAACAAAAAACCAATGCTTATTTACAGTCAGCAGTCTTATAGCTGTAATACTGCTGAGTGCAGAGGTAATCAACAGCTTTTTTTTAAGTGTGGATAATAAAAAATGTTTTATATTTGCTTGTATTGTATTGTATTGTATTGTATTGTATTGTATTGTATTGTATTGTATTCACATTTCATAAAATTGCAACAGTTAAAAGTGTTAGTAAAATCAGTATAAGATAGCTACGCAATAAATCACAAAGAACAATGAAGAGCAATGTGTAGGACACTGCAGAACACAAGGCTGACATGAACAGACATACAACACAGGACTAAATATAATGAAACTAAGATCTAAGTTGGCACAGGACACTACAGAACACAGGGCTGACGTGAACACAGACATACAACACAGGACTAAATATAATGAAACTAAGATCTCAGTTGGCACAGGACACTACAGAACACAAGGCTGACGTGAACAGACATACACCACAGGGCTCACCTCTCCCGTCTACGTTGTGCGTGTCCAGCCTGATCTGCGTACTTCTGTTCCTTCTTCAACCTCACCATCGCCTGTGTTGTCTTGTCAGCTGCCAGCTGCTCCTCTCTCTCTAACAGGTCAGCCTCGATGAGGATATACTTGCCATGTTCAACCTCCGTTTTTGCAAGCTCATATCTATCAGTGACAATTGAAAAACATTAAGCAGCAGTTCAAATAGTCAACATAGAATATAAAAAAACAATTAATTCTAGGGCTGGCTATCGATATAGATTAAAGGGATTGATAATTTCTAACTCTACTTTATTCCTTAGGTTTGACATAAATCCCTGTCCACCAAAAACCCTTAATTCCTTGAGCTGCACGGTAAGATGCACCGTGAGCTGCACAGTAAAATGCACTGTGAGCTGCACAGTAAGATGCACTGTGAGCTGCACAGTGAGATGCACCGTGAGCTGTACAGTAAGATGCACTGTGAGCTGCACAGTAAGATGCACCTCAAGCTACACAGTAAGATGCACCATGAGCTACACAGTAAGATGCATCTCGAGCTGCACAGTAAGATGAAATATGAGCTGCACAGTAAGATGCACCTCAAGCTGCACAGTAAGATGCACTATGAGCTGCACAGTAAGATGCACCGTGAGCTGCACAGTAAGATACACTATGAGCTGCACAGTAAGTTGCACAGTAAGATGCACCTCAAGCTGCACAGTAAGATGCACTATGAGCTGCACAGTAAGATGCACTATCAGCTGCACAGTAAGATACACTATCAGCTGCACAGTAAGATGCACTATCAGCTGCACAGTAAGATGCCCTATCAGCTGCACAGTAAGATGCACCCTGAGCTGCACAGTAAGATACACTATGAGCTGCACAGTAAGTTGCACCGTGAGCTGCACAGTAAGATACACTATGAGCTGCACAGTAAGATGCACCGTGAGCTGCACAGTAAGATGCACCGTGAGCTGCACAACTGAGCCAGCCATGCCATCCCAATGCATGAGAATAACCCGCACCAGAACAAAATATTTTGCAGGAATAAACAACATATTTACAAACAAATTACCCAATATTAAGAAAAATAAATTGAATTGTTTTAATTATTGACTTGGAAATATCACAGCGGCCATATTCAATCCATGAAAAATTACCTTAATACTGAGTGAGTATGGTTTTACACTGCTTTAGCAATATTACAGCAATATCGCAGCGGGGGACACCAAAAATGGCCTTCACACACAAACATCTCAGACCTTAATACTGAAACGTGTGACCATGGAAACAAAATATATCAAGAAAGTGAATGTTTCACCAGGAACAACTGAAAGGAAAATCAAAGACACGATTCTTCCCATAGCAGCTAATACACTTACTCTGCTTCCTCGAGTCGCTCAGCAATCACCTTCTCCAAGTCCCCCTCAGCCTGGATCTCCCTGCACACTCTCTCATGTGCCGACCGTAGTCTGTACAGCGCAGCTCTGTCAACCAACATGGAGGTCAGTAATAGGGCCAATTTGTCTTCTGATTGGATGGATATACAATGTATCAGGTAGGATATCATTCATTTAAATAAAGCAAAAAAATACATTTGAAAACTGACTGTAAAGGTACTTAACGCAATTACACAAAAGATGAACATTTTGAATTACTTACCGGTAAATGTAGAACTTGTCAGATGTAAACACAGAAGTGAAAAACTGAACAAAAATGGGTTTCTGATGTCAGCATTTCCAAAAAATGTTTTTATTCCCTCCTCCGACTTCTGACTGACCAAAAGAATGTGTGATCCAACAAATTAAAATACAATGACCTAACATGTTATTACCTAAAATGCTTGTTTTTCTGATTATCATAAACAAACTTACATTCATGAATGAGACATTAAAATCTTACTTAAGTAACTTAAGTCCATAAGGATATCCATAACTTACGTGTTGTTATCAGTTTCATTTTGTTCTATCTCCATGAACAGCCTGTCTCTCTCTGAAGTCAGCTCCTGTATATGACCCTGACACTTCTTCTGTTCCTCCCTGGACATGAGAGTGAGATAAATGGGAGAGTGAGTGAGTGAGTTTGGTTTAACGCCGCTTTTAACAGTTTTCCAGTCATATCACGGTGTGTCAGCTTAATGTGGGAGGAAAGCCCGAAGTGATGCAGATCTCAAACGTTTACCACTTCGGTGAAACCCACGAGCATGGGTATGGTGCTGACAAACCTAGAAACATAATTGGCGAGAACCGGGATTTGAACCCACAATCATAGGTTTCTGGCGTGCCCAAGGGACGCAACTCTGCACAGCGAATCGCGGCGCTTTAGACGACTGGGCCACCTATGCCCCCGATAAATGGAAGAAAATGAGAGAGAGGACAATAGAATGAGAAAATGAGAGCATGAAAAGCATGAGAGAGAGAGAGAGAGAGAGAGAGAGAGAGAGAGAGAGAGAGAGAGAGGGAAATGAGATGATGCAGTTCTTTTGTATTTTGATTTGACTTACAGATATGGTGTATAGACTAACAAATCAGTGGGAGCCAAGTTTTTTTAAAAAAGGGAGTGTTCCACTCAGGCCATCTGTATCTTCAGGGGTGGGTGAATGGAAGTCCATCCAAAAGCCTACCCCCAAAGTCACAGACGCTTTATGTAAGCCATTATTAATTTTACTTTTACAACCAAATCAAGATGTTATCATTGAAGACAAAGTCAGTGTTGGAAATTGGCACTAGTCCTGTGGCCTTTAAGGGGTCTGCTATATGTTATCATTATAAGGACAAGTGGTCTAAAAATGTTAGTTTCTATCAATCCTTACAAAATGTCATCAGATGTAAAAAAAGAGGGTTGTCCGCCCCCTGAACACCCCCCACCCCGGATCCGCCACTGCAAATAAGGACAATCAATCTGTCACAAAGTGTAAATGACTCAATGATGAATTCATAGTTACTTGTCCCTACTGCATATATCGAGATCAGTCAAGGATCATCTTCCCGAGGCAAGAGAGTTAACTGACTATAAAAGTCCAGTTTCCACCCTTGCCAAACTAGGCTGGGATTATGGAGTTTTGGCTGGACTAACGAGTCTATACATAGTCCAATCAAAATCGCGGGCCGAAATCGAAATCCGGTTCGTAAACTGTCATGCATAGTTTGGTCGATTGCAGGATTTGCAAAGCATGTGCATCGCCAACTCGTTGTCAACAGATATTTTCCAAATCTTTTCATGTTTTTAATCAAGGCGCTCACGTGATTTGATGTACTTCGCGAAGTAAGAACCATTTTATGACAAAATAGATCTTGATGGTCGATCAGATCGTCTTGACTGGGCGCCACCATTTTGTTTGAAGCAAATGCATGTGATACGAGAGGTGGAATCTGATTGGTCCATATGGGAGAGGCATAGAATGGACATAACTCGTAATAGCCACTGGTGGCGCTTGTTCGGCAAGGGTGGAAACCTGACTTTAATTGTCAGTTAACGCTCTTGCCTCGGGAAGATGGTCAAAGATGTGACATACAGGGTTGATAATGACAAATGTTTGTTTCAAGTAATGCAAAACCAGCAGATCCTCTCAAATCTAAGGCACACAACTTTGCACAGAGACAATCAGTGTCATGAATATGAAGCTGACTGACCTTGTTTTCTCGGCTGTGTACTGGTGAGCCTCCACCTTCTCCACCATCTGGTTGATGTGGCTCCTCAGGTGGATCATTCGAATCTGCTCCTGGTATGTCACCTTCTCCCCGGCCGTCGCAGGGTACTGGTGCTCGCTGAAATATTGTCATGAGACAATGTGGGTTTTTTTGTTTCAGATTGAAAAACTTGAACCTTAAAATAATCAAACTGAAATAATTCATTCTCTTATTTGCCTGTCATTGTGATGAGATTTCTTTTTTTGTAAATTTCAATTTGCAGATCAATCGCCTGGAGACTAAAAAAGCATGTCAAATAAAATTGAAATAATTCAAAATTGTTTCTTTATTATGCACTGCAATAAAACTTTACACAACAATATGATCAAAGATGAAGTAACAATATGTACTGTGTAGTCTCTTGCTTCTCGAAACACCTCCTCCAGAGATTTAAGAATCCTCTGAAGTATGTACTTTTGCTGTAATCAGCCAATCGCACAGGATACTGACACCGTCTGTTTGCAAATCGGTCTTTAGCTGGGTCACAAACATCCTGCAACTAATTGTCTATTTTCATTTTGCACGGAATGACAAACATTTAAACTTACTCAATGACAGTGTCAACATCCAAGTCATCATCATCATCAAGGTCAAGGTCCCCTTCATAATCCAGGATTCCATCCTCATCCTCCAGGATCCCCATCACATCAGGGCCTTCTATGTTCGCTGATGCTGACAGGTCCATCTACAATTATAAAATTATTGTCATGACAGTGTGTGCTGGAATCTGATTGGTTGAAGAATGTTGTTAAAAGGATTAGGTCTCAGATATATTTCCCTGTGTAAGAATACTTTCCTTTTTGTTTGAACAATATCAATTTAGATATTTTTTCCTGCTAAGGAAAGAGCCATTTCATTTTCGAAAGGGGGAGACAGGATTTTTGTTTGAGATCAGCTTTTTTTAATGTTATGGTGCTGAATTGTTTTTTTCCAAAATAAACAGGTGCTCATTTACTATTTTTGAAAATTGAGTAAATAACTAAAAATAACAAACAATATTCTTTGAACTCTTGTCTGCAAGAAACATATTTAAAACAAATTGGGAAAAGAGCACCCAAGCCCCACATCCACCCACCCCTAAATAATAAATGGTAGCTTCCTGGGTTGAATTATTATGTCAACATCACTTTCGCATTTTAAAGGTCAATTAACTTCTAGGTACAAGTTCCAAATGAAATATCCATGCATTGAATACTGAAGAGAGAATCAGAAAACATATAATGTTTATCACTTAATCACATCAGGGCTCCAGTTATTTTTTTACCCATTGAGTATTTACTTACATGTAATCAATCTTATTGGGTATTAATAAATTTGTTTGGGCATTAAAAGTATTTTTATTGTAGCACACATTGTTATCATGTAACTGGATGATTTTTGAAAAACAAAAAAATTGTACAAATAATCAAGGATAGTATTTCTTAGGTAGATGAATTCAAAAGTGATTGTATTCAACCATTTAACCATAATGTGAAAGATCTGTCTTTAAAAACATATTAATAAATGAAACAACACATTCATAGGTGCACCAACACTGTGCCTCCTGACATGTTTTATGGACAATCTTTCTTTTGTTGTTGAGTAGCACATATTCCAATATTGCTGTATAACATGGTATAAGTGATTGAGTGAGTATGGTTTTACGCCGCTTTTAGCAATATTCCAGCAATATCACGGCGGGGGACACCAGAAATGGGCTTCACACATTGTACCCATGTCGAGAATCGAACCCGGGTCTTCGGCATGACGAGCGAACGCTTTAACCACCAGGCTACCCGACCGCCCCTTAACATGGTATAAAGCATGATCATGATGATAACTTATTACAACATGATGTTACTTATTATGCAATGAAATTATCAAGTCACACCTCAGTACATGTACTATAACATGTACTTTCAAGCTGTCGCCTGTCTTACTATTATTAAAAATGGTAATGTTATGATGGAAATTGAATTCTTCCCAACAATCTGAAAAACTAAACAAAGATTTAAGCATTGATTTTCATTTCTTTTGCGAATTTATAGAAGAATAACAGTCACAAATTGTACAAAATCAGGTAAACATGTTCAGCTGTTATATTTTAAGATTGTCACAAGAGTGAAAACGTTGAAAATATCTGACTGACAGACCAAGGGCAGTGCTTGAATATCTGCAGAAAGAAAGAGCGATGTACAACCGATGGGAAGAGGTGACAACGACTATGGTTTACTCATTTTGTCAAAGAATCTTATGCTCAAAGAACAACTGACAATTAGAAAAACAATGAGATCTTACTTCAAATATTAAGAATGCAAAATCACAATGTATCCAATCCTTCAAGTCCAAACACAAGTTTCGTCCGCCATTGATGTTGTAGCAACGAAATCTCGAAATTACTCGCGAGATTTACTTCACGAAGCGGATTACGGATCCGTCCTATAATTAGATCTAACAATATCATTTTAACAGTCAAGCATAAAATGTGAATGGTAATGTTCACTGTTTACTATGTATATTTTATCGCGACACAACACAGTGCATTTTTTACCCACAAATGAGAAAAGTAGCAGTCAAAAACGACAGAATCGAAAAATGACAACTGACATTTTCCGGAAACGGCTTCCAGTATATTCATGCAGACGTTTGTGTAGACGCCTCATTTAAATTGGTCTCCAACTATATGACGGCGTTCTGTAGATGGGCTATAACAAATGAGCCGTAACCAGAAATGTACACATTTATATTTTTTGTAATTTGAAGAAACAGAACTGTGTCATATGTTCATATCCGCGCAACCCCCTCTCCTTTTATAGTTGTATGTTTTAGCGACCCCCTCTATTTCGCTTTGTCATGTTTTCATAACACCGGCCCTGAATCTCACCGGCAAAATAAATAGCATGAGCATTGATCAGGCGCCAGGGTACGATTGAACACATTGTGACAAGTGTAAGCCTCCTTTTACCGTACTTCCTCGATTAAACGCCTGGCAGGTTTTTTATGCACGGAATTCTCCCTATTATTGCACGGTTCCAGGCGTGCTTTATTTGTTTTGGGTTTGAGAAAGTTACACGGGGCTGGGAAATAGTTGGAAAGATGTAACCAAACTTTTAAAAGAAACTTTATCTCACATATGTATAATGATATGCGTACATACGAAATTCATACACTTATGACGATCATTTTTAGAACATTCCTAACTGTAAACAGAGATGATAAAATAAATTTACTTAATGGTCCCTGCTGTACATTATTACACTAAATACGTTTCTGCTATGCGGTCTCAATCATAAGAGGGAGGCACGCTGTTTCCTAGACTGGTTTACCTTCCCACGAGCGCTTGCGCCGCTATAGGAGGTGAAGGGCAGGGTACCAGTCTAGCTTTACCGCAGTAGAGATATCAATGTCAACAGTAACATGTATACCACTATGATTGTGTCAAATTAGAACCTCTTGTTCCTTGAAAACAGTAACACATGTTTCCAGGAGTAGAAACTAAGATATTTAGTCCACTTGTCCTTGTAGTGATAACATATAGCAAAACCCTTAAAAATAGCAAATTTCTCCTAGTGCTTTAGATGCCTTAACTATTGGGCAGTTTGGCAAGGACTACAGGACTAGTGCCACTTTCTAACGCTGGTTTCAGGAAGTCTTTGTTGTGAATGTTTGTTTTCTACTATCATAATACATAACTATTTTTCCTGAAGCGTGTCATAATCTCATTCCTGATTCTGAAGGTACCACATGCAAATTAAACTTTGTTTTACCTTCTTGGCTTCCCATGTACGGTTAACGACAGTATATATAGGTGCTTGCATCGATAGGTAGGTATGCGAAAAAAGTTCTTTGCACCTTGTTGATCCTCTGGATTCAAGGGCGGTTGGGTAGCCTAGTGGTTAAAGCGTTCGCTCGTCACGCCGAAGACCCGGGTTCGATTCCCGACATGGGTACAATGTGTGAAGCCCATTTCTGGTGTCCCCCGCAGTGATATTGGTAGAATATCGCTAAAAACGGCGTAAAACCAAACTCACTCACTCTGGATTCAAAGTTATCTTTGCATGACGATCGATCGATCCCTACACCGGAACCTGCTGAAAATCCTTGTCAAAATGATGTATTTGGGGATAAAATAGAAATGTAATGTTGTGTGGAGGTAGGTTAGAAGTGGGGAAGTGAGTGATTATTAATTAAATTGACGGTTTGGACGTTAAAGACAAATGAATGAAATAGCGCGAGTTTTATAACGCATACGGTATTGTATTTCAACTATAGTGAGGTGAAATTGGGTTTAACGTCGCGTCCAAGATTATTGCACTTATATAGCGACGTGCATGCACGTGTATGTGTGTGTGTGGCTGCTTGTACTAGTCCGGACTGATGCCGATATATAGTGCTAGCTCACTGAGATACCATGCCGCAGTTTAACATGAATACCCCACTCAGACACAGTATACTGACTCCGAGCCGACCAGTCCTTGTTTTAGCCCCTTAATGCCGAGCGCCAGACAGGGTAACAACAAGTACAATCTTTTAACGTCTTTTTGTATGACGCGGCCGGGATCGAACCCTGGACCTTCCGCTCTCCGGGCGGACGCTCTACCACAAGACCACGGAGGCGGTCTATTTCAACTATAGCATGCCCCAGCTAAACATAAGCATTTTAGAGAACTACGATGGGTCTGAGCGAATCATTAGTCGGAAATTGAAATTATAAACGCCGGGCCTCGATTAACACCTGGGGAAAAGAGTGTCTGAAAAGAAAAATACGCCCTGGCGATTAAGTGTGAATTCAGTGTACGCATTAAGTATAATGAATTATCTCCCCTAGACCGAAGCCAGCGGGCTCGTAAAAGTTAACGTTCTTGTGTGTTACCTCCCTTGACATAGTGTCATGCGCACTCGCAGTCAGTAGCAGACGCAACATGGCGCAGCTCGCAGCAGGATTTATGCCGAAAAATACCCGTTTTCATGCTCCCAACCCAGTACTTTTATTGAGTGCTTGTATTTCACTTGTTCTTTCAAAGCTTGTTCTTTTAGTATTAAAGTTTGATCCCAGGTTCCAGGATGTGGGTTTTGTTTAGGCCAAGATATTAGTAAATTTATTAAATACGGTAGTGAGCTCAAAACAAGGATTGCGATTGACCCAGAATGTGAACATGGGCCTATTTGCGATGGCTAATATCTAAGTGAAATATAGATATAACACAAAACATGTTTTTATTGCAGAATTTGTCAACGAAGGCGAATAATGTTTGATTTTACAACGTATGTATCATTTCATTGCTCAGTGAATTAACACTAAACACGCCAACCTCATTTTATTGACGAACGCATATTTTCCTGCACGTGACTGTTTTGTGCACGCGCCGTTTCTCAACACAGCTTCCTGTTATCCTTCAACTACGGTACACGCAAACAAACATTGTTAAATATACCGATGGCACATTACGATGCATAGTTCCGACGGACGTCGAGAAGCCACGCCCACAATTGATACCGTTGGAGAATGATTTCTTCTCTCATAAATACAAATTATTCATTTCATTGATAACTAAGAGATACAGAGATTTGGTGAAATCTAAAGCCATGATATAATTGGACTAATGTTTGCGGTGTTAAAGAACATTCACTGGGTAAAGTATTTCACAGACACCTCACCCTGAAAATGTACTTTACCCACTGAATGATGTTTAACACCACAAACAACAGTAGTCCAATTATATGATGGCTTAAGGTTTTTGCCAAATCTCTGTCTGTCCTGATTTGAAATACAGCTAAGATGTGCCTTCCTCTCTCGTCCATCTATTTTCCTAATCTGTATATTTTATCAAATGAGTCTTTGTCTATAATGCAAGGTGTTTTCAATAACCTGTCAATCTTTGAGATCGGCTTTCTCATCTTCTTCAGCAAATCCAGTGAACAATAAATTTCTTTCCATTGATCTACATCATTTACTTTTTCTTCCATGTTGGCCACCCTCTCTTTTGTGCCATGTGGAGTTTAATTTGGACTGGACTGGTTAAATCAGTGTCCATTGTTTTCACTCTCCTCTATTTTGATAATTGTCTCCGTTCTCTGGCCCCGTTCTATTCTGAAATGAAACCTGTGAAAAAAACAGCCTGGGTCCGGAATTAATATTGCTTGCTTTCAGTTTCAAAACTCTTGATGACCAAGGAGAAGCCGTGTTGACCAAGGTATATTACCCGGTATTTACGATTTACTTGACAATTTCCCGCGTCGTAGGCTCTTTTTGATGTGTGTTCTTATCATACGTCAACGATTGTTGCATCCAATGTCGGGTTTTGTTTGAAGAGTTACAGGAAGTGATGACGGAGCATGTTTTTCCAAAGTCACTGAAATCGGATCTCTTACATCGAAAGTTAACCTGAATCCCTTGTTTGATTTCAATTGAGGACAAATAAAACATTGCGCTCTTCGTTGCTTTTGTTCTCAATGAAACATAAGAGTGAGTCTTTAAAATTTAATATCAAGCAAAACCGCGGTAACCGTATGTTGAGAATATATAAAAACTTTCCTCGTCCAAAAAATATAATTCTTTCAAATACAAATTGAAGCCAATTGCAATTATACGAAGTATAACGAGCTTGGGGGACTGATGACACGTGAATTCAAATAATTAATTCTGTGTTGTTCTGTGACGTTACTATGCCACCAGAAAGAAAAAAAATGAGAACCTGTTAAAAATCCAATATTCTCTTGCGAGCTCAGCAATAATCACCCTCCGGAGCGGTTGACTATGCGACGCCCTAGTCGAGCATTATATCATTAAGTTAGAGTGATACATCATCATACTTGAACAACTGAAGTCGGTGTAGGTAGTGTAGTGTATTCTATAATCGATGTGAGCTTCAAACGTATTTACGTCGATATTGTCTATATAGCTTTTGCCTTTGATGGTGGACGATTCCATTTTACACTTGCAGTAACAGTCTACGCATTTACACTTTGGATGAAGTATACCCACTGCTCTGCGATGGTGCTCCACTCCAGTAGATGCAAGGTACCGTTGGTTGACACTAATTTAAATTCTTTATTAGTCGCGAATTACATGTATGTTAAACTCGGCTTGCCGATGATGTTTAAGCCTTTTAGACGAGTGTTAAGTCACAAGCGTACAATTTATAGTGGTCGATACTGTGTCTGAGTAGGATACCCATGTTAAAGTGCGACATCTCAGTGGGTTAACATGCGCGCACGCACACACACTCACACACACACACGTCGCACCATGTACGAGTAGCTATCATTACGATTAATTTCTCAGGTATCAATTTCGGCGGTGTTTCCCCACGACCCTGTTAAAGGGTTTCCCCAATATGATTATGAGTGTTGTTTCTCCACATTCCTGATGATAAGGGTCGGTGTTGTTTCCCCACATTCCTGATGGTAAAGGTCGGTGTTATTTCCCCACATTCCTGATGGTAAGGGTCGGTGTTGTTTCCCCATATTCCTGATGGTAAGGGTCGGTGTTATTTCCCCACATTCCTGATGGTAAGGGTCGGTGTTGTTTCCCCACATTCCTGATGGTAAAGGTCGGTGTTGTTTCCCCACATTCCTGATGGTAAAGGTCGGTGTTATTTCCCCACATTCCTGATGGTAAGGGTCGGTGTTGTTTCCCCACATTCCTGATGGTAAGGGTCGGTGTTATTTCCCCACATTCCTGATGGTAAGGGTCGGTGTTGTTTCCCCACATTCCTGATGGTAAAGGTCGGTGTTGTTTCCCCACATTCCTGATGGTAAGGGTCGGTGTTGTTTCCCCACATTCCTGATGGTAAGGGTCGGTGTTGTTTCCCCACATTCCTGATGGTAAGGGTCGGTGTTGTTTCCCCACATTCCTGATGGTAAAGGTCGGTGTTGTTTCCCCACATTCCTGATGGTAAAGGTCGGTGTTGTTTCCCCACATTCCTGATGGTAAGGGTCGGTGTTGTTTCCCCACATTCCTGATGGTAAGGGTCGGTGTTGTTTCCCCACATTCCTGATGGTAAAGGTCGGTGTTGTTTCCCCACATTCCTGATGGTAAGGGTCGGTGTTGTTTCCCCACATTCCTGATGGTAAGGGTCGGTGTTGTTTCCCCACATTCCTGATGGTAAAGGTCGGTGTTGTTTCCCCACATTCCTGATGGTAAGGGTCGGTGTTGTTTCCCCACATTCCTGATGGTAAGGGTCGGTGTTATTTCCCCACATTCCTGATGGTAAGGGTCAGTGTTATTTACCCACATTCCTGATGGTAAAGGTCGGTGTTATTTCCCCACATTCCTGATGGTAAAGGTCGGTGTTGTTTCCCCATATTCCTGATGGTAAGGGTCGGTGTTGTTTCCCCATATTCCTGGTGATAAGGGTCGGTGTTGTTTCCCCACATTCCTGGTGATAAGGGTCGGTGTTGTTTCCCCATATTCCTGATGGTAAGGGTCGGTGTTGTGTCCCCACATTCCTGATGATAATCTGTACTGATCCATTGCAACAAAAGTTAAGCAGCACAGCCCTTTCTTGTTGACCAGTCTGACAACTGGGGTGTCTGGCATTGCGCTGACGTCACAATTGTCCGTAAAAGGCGACCATGCTTGTCGTAAAAGGCGACTAACGGGATCGGGTGGTCAGGCTCGCTGACTTGGTTGATGCATGTCATCGATCCCAATTACGTGGGTCGATGCTCATGATGTCTGGTCCAGATTCGATTATTTCCAGACCACCGTCATATAGCTGGAATATTGCTGAGTGCGGCGTTAAACAACAAACAAACTAACACAATTGTCAATTTTTCAAGTCACCATGATCTTAGCTTGGTTTATTTGTTCACCATTATGTTTATATTGTACCGTTGTAATTCCTGGTGGATGTGCTACGCAAGTGCCTGTGTATTTGATTTGCATATCTAACTTTAATACTATACATTATACATCTTATCCATATTTGACGTAATGCTCAATAATATGCACTTTCTTCAAACATGGTCAGATTATGTGGATAAAACACAATGAAATGTTTTTTTATATCGTAAATGTATAGATTATAAGGATTTTGTGTTCAGCTGTGTTCTGGCTGAGACGATAGCTCATTTCACGTATTTCGACCCTAAACGTGTTTGATAGAGCACACTAAATGTCAGTAAACATTGAACTTGTGGTGTTTTATCTTGTTCCTTTTCCAGTGTTATATTTGACACCGGGTTTGAAGTGTATGATCAGAGTGAAATTGTATTATTTAAATACATTTATTGTTGTGGTTTTAATTTAAGTGGGAAACGAAGTCTGATATGATATATCGTGTGCCATATATATAACACGATGTCTTTCTCCGTGACATGAATTGGTGCTTTGTTCTTGTTGCCATAAATATTGCAAATGCATCCCCTGAATCAGTCGTATTGAATCATTTATGAATATATCTCACATTTCTATTTCAGATGAAAGTTGTCAAGTTGTTGATGTTCCTACCCATAGCATTATCGCTGTACCTACTGACCAGGGTTATCGACATCGATTCTGCCACTGAAGTCAAGACGACGTCGTTGACGTCAAAACACCCACGCAGTCGCTACATCATCTACAACTGTGGTGGCAGATTTGGACTTTGCGGCGGCTGGTCAGACCGTATTATGGGAATATTGATGACGTATTTTATATCACTCGCGACAAATCGGAAATTCGGAATCGAAATGACGTCACCACCATGTAATCTGACGTCATACATCGTACCAAACATGGTAGACTGGTATTCGAGCATAGACGAAGTGGCCCAGCTTGGGCATAAAACATCGAAAGGCTTCCACAATCAATACAACAACCGCAACCTTGTGTTTCGTGCAAAATCAGTTGACTTCGACAAATGGTTAAGACATGATGTAACATATTTCATAACAAACCTTGATTATGTAGATTCGCTTAAGATGAACCCACGCTACATGGACGGCCCTCTGTCCTGGATGAATGACATGACGAGAGACCAAGTGGTTGCAAAAGCTTACAAAGAATTATTTCAACTTTCTCCGAGTCTGAATAGGAAATTAACAGATTTCATTTCCAAAGCGAGGCCAACTTCTGATTATCAGCTAATATGTGCCCAAATAAGGGTATCGGAATTAGGCCACCGGTCAACCACATTAAATGACGTTGACTTAATATGGGACTTTCTCAGACAATATGATGACATAATGAAGTACAAGGTGTACGTTACATCCGATTCGGAATATGTCCGAAATAAGGCTAAAACATTATTCCCCCGTCAAATCATAGATAACGGAGGGTCCGTATACCATGTAGGTGATAATCCAAACGTACTTGGTTGCCAAGGGCTTGAGAAGGTGATTTACGATCAGCACGCTCTAATGACGTGTGACGTGCTGGTGTTGACTTACAGCGGTGTTGGACGGCTGGCTGCATACATCAGAGGAATGTCCGAGGGACTCTACTGCATGGTGGACCACCGCTTGATAAAATGTTCTCCCAGCGAGCTTAAAACATTATATAATGTGTAGGAGTGACATATTATTAGAAACCCCATAGTATTGCGATAACCAACTGTTAAATAATGTCCATTCATGGAGTGGGTGTATTGGTTGGCTGCACACGTTAGTGTAGTGAGTGAGTTGGGTTTAACGTCGCTTTGAACATTATTCCAGTAACATCACGGCGTGTCAGATTGATGTGGGAGGAAGCCCAAACGGATGCAGGCCTCAGACGTGTGACACTTTGGTGAAACCCCACAAGCACGGGTAAGGTGCTGACAAATCAAGAAACCTGGATTCGAACCACAACCATAGGTTTCTGGCATACCCAAGTGACGCACTGCACAGTACTGAAAAAAAACTGTCTGGTATTTAATACTGTAAACGCGAAATAGTTCTACCTGTATGCCGTTATATCACTTTGTTTTATGTAATACATCAATGGTATGTAAAATATGCTCTTGTTCCATGAAGGTTGAAAGCTTGTAAAAAGATCAGTTGACAAGGTTACAAAGAAGAAAGACCCCATCATACAGGCTTGGGGATCAACTTGTTGAAACAAACTGACGCGGAACTTGGCGAGAAGAATTAATCAATCGCCCACTTACAGTGTTTGGTGGACAGAGCGTCTGCCCCATAGTTAATGCTTTCCCAAGATACGGTCGGTACACTCCGATCGGTCGAATACCTACTGAAATGAAACGTTCGATCGAAAAACGCTTGGCTGCATTTTTTCCCTATCCGTCGAATCGGCGCTTTAGCCAGCCATGCATGGTAACCTGTTTCATATCAACAGACGTAGAAAGATTGTGACTGTTGTGACTGACGCCAGGCATAAAGGTGCTGAAACAAGAACTGGTCGGCTCGGAGTCAGTACCGTGTCTGAGTGGGGTATCCATCATGCTAAATTGCGGCTCGGAGTCAGTGTACCGTGTCTGAGTGGGGTTTCCATGTTAAATTGCGGCTCGGAGTCAATGTACCGTGTCTGAGTTGGGTTTCCATGTTAAATTGCGGCTCGGAGTCAGTGTACCGTGTCTGAGTGGGGTATTCATCTTGTTAAACTGCGGCTCGGAGTCAGTGTGCCGTGTCTGAGTGGGGTATCCATCATGCTAAACTGCGGCTCGGAGTCAGTGTGCCGTGTCTTTGTGGGTATCCATCATGCCAAACTGCGGCTCGGAATCAGTGTACCGTGTCTTATTGGGTATCCATCATGTTAAATTGCGGCTCGGAGTCAGTGTGCCGTGTCTTTGTGGGTATCCATCATGCCAAACTGCGGCTCGGAATCAGTGTACCGTGTCTTATTGGATATCCATCATGTTAAATTGCGGCTCGGAGTCAGTGTGCCGTGTCTTTGTGGGTATCCATCATGTTAAATTGCGGCTCGGAGTCAGTGTACCGTGTCTGAGTGGGGAATCCATGTTAAATTGCGGCTCGGAGTCAGTGTACCGTGTCTGAGTTGGGAATCCATGTTAAATTGCGGCTCGGAGTCAGTGTACCGTGTCTGAGTGGGGTATCCATCATGTTAAATTGCGGCTCGGAGTCAGTGTACCGTGTCTGAGTGGGGTATCCATCATGTTAAACTGCGGCTCGGAATCAGTGTACCTTGTCTTATTGGGTATCCATCATGTTAAATTGCGGCTCGGAGTCAGAGTACCTTGTCTTAGTCGGTATCCATCTTGTTAAACTGCGACTCGGAGTCAGTGTACCGTGTCTGAGTGGGGTATCCATCATGTTAAACTGCGGCATGGTATAACTGCGGTATGTCTTCTAACGGTCAGCTCGCTGGCTATCTTTGACCAATGTAAAGATCTTATTACCTCTGCTGAAATTGATGATTCAGTGGGTGTGTTAACGAATCTCTCATGTCTTGTTATGCAGTTATGCAGTACGAAAAACGTACTTAAATTAATTATATAAAAGCAAAAAACCAATACACAGCTGTTATTCATGAGAGAAAGGTGTGTTAGCAAGAAAGAATCGCAAGGCCATTATGGATAATATTGATGATGGTTAATTATTTTGGTAATCACTGTTAAGTGTTGCTCATTTGTTTAAGTATTTTAAAGAAATGTATAGTTCTTCCAGTTATGAGGCTGAGGATGCAGATATAGTTAATCACATTTCTGATGAGTTGTCTCAATCTATTGATGCTCCTATCCTCCAACAAGAGATAATCAATTCCTATTGTGGTCTAAAATTGGGTAAATCGGCTGGCAGACTATATAACTTCTGGAATGTTTAAAGGTGTTCGGGATATCCTGGTTCCATTCATGACATTATTGTTCAATGTTATGTTCGATTCGGCGTATTTTCCCTCTGGTTGGTCTCGTGGAGTAATTGTCCCATTGCATAAGAAAGGGTGACATCAACACACCAGAAAACTACAGAGGAATTATGATTTTTAGTGAGATATATATTTCAATTTTCAATACAAGATTTTAGTTTTGGAGTGAAGCATAATTATGATAAACTATTGGCATCACAGTCAGGTTTTAATAGTGGCTGCTCAACAACGGATAACATTTTCATTCTCCAATCAGTAATTCAGCGTTAAATGTCCAAGAGAAGGGGTACAATATATACTCTCTTTGCGGACTTCACTAAAGCTTTAGATTCTGTCGATGGGACTAAGTTATGGATGATTTTGAATTATAATGGATTTCTTCAAAGATGTATAATACCGTTAAATGTATCTATAAATATGTATAATTCTTGTATGAAATATAACCTTCACTTTTCAGAGAGTTTCGAATGCTACCAGGTGTTCGGCAGGGATGCATCTTGAGTCCGATTTTATTTAATATCTTCATAAATGATTTAGCAAAGGCGATCGAAACTGGTTATTCTCCAGAAATCCAATTCCACCCAGGGCTGATAGAGCTTTCTGTTATTGTTTGCAGACGACATAACCCTTATTGCTGACACTGTAATTGGTCTCCAAAAACGTATTAACTTTCTTAGGAGTTATTGTAGTAGGCCCTCACTTAGTCTCAATCTTGATAAAACAAACAATGTTGTATTCAAAGGGGGCGGGAATTTGTCAAAACATGCAAAATAATATTATTGTGACTGGCCCTTGGAATGTGTGTCATATTTGTGTCAAGTTAAATTGGAGCAAACATGTATCAAATGTATCACTATCTCTGTTTTAAAGTCCCTGAGAAATTTGAAGCCTTATGATTATGATGTGTATTTTAAGACTTTTGATACTAAAGTTGTCCCAATTTTTGTATATGGAGCTGAAATTTGGGGTTAGATATTCACAAGGAACTTGAATCTGTCCATCTATTTGCATGTAAGCAGTTTTGGGGGTAAAGCCATCCACGTCAAACCACTGTGTCGGGGGTGAATGTGCCATATACCCTTTGTATATCTCAGTATTTAAGCCATGTATTTCATATTGGCGGGCACGGGTGGCCAAGTCGTCTAAGGCGCCGCGATTTGCGGTGCAGAGTTGCGTCCCTTGGACACGCATGAAACCTATGATTGTGGGTTCGAACCCCGGCTCGCCCCGATTATGTTTCTAGGTTTGTCAGCAGCATACCCGTGCTCGTGGGTTTCACCGAAGTTATAAACGTCTGTGACCTGCATCACTTCGGGCTTTCCTCCCACATTAAGCTGACACGCCGTGATATAACTGGAATACTATTAAAAGCGGCGTTAAACCCAACTCACTCATTCATCCACTCACTCACTATTTCATATTGATGCAAGATTGTAAATATGCCTCAATCTTGTTACCATAAAAGGTCATATGCTGTATCTTGAAGCTGCCAATGGTAAATGTTTTTGGGCATATATTGAAACACGTTTGTAATCGGCTTATGAACAGGACTGGCACTCAATTGTTGGAAGCTCAAAGATGCTCCATTATGCTCTTTTTAAATCAACCTTCACTGTGGAATATAAATTTAGATCGACAATGGCTCGATTCCGCTGTAGCTCACATTCTTAACATATGGAATAATATGGATACGATATTCCTCCCAGAGAACAGAGGTTTTGAAAGACAGGTAACGGGCTATGTGGAGGATGAATATCATGCGTTATATAAGTCAAATATTCCAATAAGAAACACACACACACACACACACACACACACACACACACGTACATGCACGTTGTCATCTGTCTGCAATAATCTTGAACGCGACGTTAAACCTCATTTTACCTCATCCATTATGTTTTGGGTATCTTTGTTATAAATCATTGTTTCCGAAATGTGAAGTGAACTTCACGCGAGAGTAATTAAACTGCAATATGTCCAGATAAAAGTGCGTCTCTCACAATGCATAACTCGAAGACAAAGCAACATTTTCAAGCTTGGAACGAACTTGGAATGGGTGTTCCTTCCAGCATTTCCAAGAGCGGAAAGTCTGATCTTTCAAGAAACTTTCAAAAAAATAAAGGTCTTTAAAGGTGTTTTCGATTTGTTTCCAATACCGACCTCTTTAAACTTTTTAACCACCTGATAATGTCACATTTTTCACTTCGTCATCTGTACCGTCGTCGATACACATGTTTTGTCCATAGATGCTCATAAAGTGTGTTGCTTGCATCAGCTAAGACTGTACAAAGCAGCTGGTGTGTTACTGTCATCGCACTCCTCATCACACATTAAGCTAGCGCTGTCCAGGTGTTACTGGTAGATTCACAAGTACTACTAGTTGGTATATTGTATTTGGTACATCCCCGACCGCGTCACACCAAAAGACGTTAAAAGATGGTACTTGTTGTTACCCTAACTGGCGCTCGGCATTAAGGGGCTAAAACATGGACTGGTCGGCTCGGAGTCAGTATACTGTGTCTGAGTGGGGTATTCGTGTTAAACTGCGGCATGGTATCTGAGTGAGCTAGCACTATAAAACGGCATCAGTCCGGACTAGTACAAGCAGCCACACACGCTATATAAGTGCAATAATCTTGGACGCGACGTTAAACCCCATTTCACCTCACCTCGCCTTGTATTTGGTACACATGGAAACTAGTTCTCGATGCAACCTATCAATCTCTTGGCTTGATGCCCAACAAGGTGCTTAAGTAAAGTGCTATAAGTAAACAGCTCGCACTGCAAGACTGCTGTCATATTCGTAGAGACCCGACTTCCATCGCGCGGGCGTTTCTATTGATTGCATCATGTTACGACTCAAAGCATTGTTGTCTTAACGCTCAACGCACTTGCGCTAATAGCGTTGTGCTGTATGTTCGGTGCATCACAATACCTTTCTCTGTTGACGTGCAATGCTTGAATGATAAAAGCAAGTCTTGAAAGACAACACGGCGACGTTTCAGTAATCAGGTGCATGTTTATACACGCCTCTTAACCGTTGATCACTGTTTGATGGCCATATGTTCATATGCAGTATATACATAAAATCCTTTCTTATTGTATCGGAATATAATAATATTTGAGTGCATTGATTTTTCTCTCTAAATACAGAACCATCAAAGGCGGGAATATTCGCAGTCTTAGTAAATTTGAATCAAGTCGTACAGGCAGCACTTTGTCCGATAACTCAGGTTGTACAGTGTATATCTTCAGATTGCCCTGCTCTCCTGCTCATAAACACGCGCTGATTCGGTTTCACGCTAGTCATAACAGGCGACTTAATGGATGGGTTTGGCAGGCTTGGTTGAGGGCGTGTCATTTGATCCGGATGGCGTAGGACGTTGCTTACAATGTCAATCATTGTTTTGTCTGTACCAGACTCAATTATCTGCAGGCTGCTTTCGCACAGCTCGACTCATTGTGGCATTGAACAACGAACATTCGATACCATTTTTCACAAGCAAGTTATATATATATGTATCCAACTTTAACACAAGCGGGACTGTGGCCAAGTGAAGTCAGCCTCTGACCGGAGAACGAAGGTCGGTGGTTCGATCCGCGACCGCG